CGTCCCTGACAGTCGCGATGGATCCTGTGAAAGTCCGCGGAGTTCTCGACTGGCCAACCCCAACCAAGGTCAAAGAAGTACAGTCCTTCTTGGGGTTTGTCAACTTTTACCGCCGGTTTATCAAAGACTTCTCCGAGACCACCCGCCCCCTCCACGCGCTGACTCGTAAAACCAAAGCATGGGCCTGGGGACCAGACGAGGACCATGCTTTCCATGCCCTTAAAGACGCCATCACCTCCGCCCCGGTCCTCGCCTTCCCCACCGATACAGGTCACTTCAAACTCGAGTGCGACACCTCTAACTTCGCCACCGGAGCCATACTATCCCAGCTCCAGACAGATGGAGAGTTCCACCCTGTAGCCTTCATGTCCAAGGGTTTCACGGATGTAGAGCATAACTATGAAGTGTACGACAAGGAGATGCTCACAATAGTGTGCACCCTCGAGGAGTGGTGGCATTTCCTACAAGGAGCGGAGGAGAAAGTCGAGGTCTACACCGACCACCGCAACTTAGGATATTTCCGCACTGCACAACGGCTGAACCGGCGCCAAGCGCGGTGGTCCCTCTTCCTCTCCCAATTCCACTTCACCCTCATCCACTGCCCTGGGAAACTCATGGGAAAGCCAGACGCGCTCTCACGCCGTGTGGACCACCCAAAGGCAAGGACGACAATGATGGGCTGACCCTCCTCCAACCTGCTTGGTTCGAGGCCCGTGCAGCGGAGGCGGTCTTGGTGGAGGGTGAGGAGACGACTATCCTTGAGAGGATTAGCAGGGCAAAAGACCTGGATGAAAAAGTGGTGAAGGCGATGTGGGAACTGGGAGAGGGCATGCTGAGGTCAGACGAGTGGGAGAAGCAAGGAGAGCTGGTTCTGTACAGAGGGAAGATATATGTCCTGAAAGACCCACAGCTCCACCACGACCTGGTGCAGCTACACCACGACACGTGGGCGATGGGACACCCAGGACGGTGGAAAACCCTGGAACTTGTCTCCCGCGACACTACTGGTGGCCATGGATGGCGGAGTATGTCGGGCAGTACATCTGCGGGTGCGACACCTGCAACCGTGTCAAGTCCTTCCCCTCCCGCAAAGTGGGGAAGCTCATTCCGAACAAGATCCCTGCCCACCGCTGGCAGTTGATTTTGGTGGACATGATCAGAGAGCTCCCCAAGTCGAAGGGCTACAATGCTGTCCTGGTCGTAGTGGATCGCCTATCCAAATGCATCCACGCAATCCCAACAGTGACAACGGTGGACTCAGCGGGGATCGCGCGGCTTTTCCTTGAACATGTCTGGAAGCACCACGGCCTCCCTGAGGGAATCCTCAGTGACAGAGGGAGCGCCTTCGTCTCACGATTCTCGAAGGAACTCACGGACCTCCTTGGCGTCAAGCTCACCCCCTCGACACCCTACCACCCCCAGACAGATGGGCAGACGGAGAGAGTAAACCAAGAGGTAGAAGCCTACCTCCGGGTATTTGTCAACCACCGCCAAGATGATTGGGTGGACTGGCTCCCGCTAGCGGAGTTCGCCTATAACAACCATGTCCACTCCTCCACTTGCCGCACCCCTTTTGAGCTCGACACTGGCCAACACCCCAGGATGGGGACAGAGCCTACACGCACATCCGAGGTAGAAGCCACTGATGCCTTCTCATCGAGGATGATGAAGATGCAGGAAGAGGCAAAAGCGGCGCTAGAGCACGCAGCAGACGAGATGGCCTGCTACTATGATCGGAACTGCAAGGCGGCCCCTACGTACCAAGAAGGCGACTGGGTCTGGCTCAGCACCCAGAACTACACAACTGACTGCCCAACCAAGAAGCTAGACCATAAATGGACTGGCCCCTTCATGATCGTTAAAGTCGTCTCCCCCACCGCCATCAAACACCAGCTCACCGCCCGACAAAGAGGGATCCACCCAGTTGTATCCGTGACAAACATCAGACTGCACCGCCCCAATGAAATCGCGGAACGCCCCACCGAACCCCGCCCTGGCCCAGACCTCGTAGATGGAGAAGAGGAGTATGAGGTCGAGAAAATCCTAGACTCTAAGTGGCTATGCCAAAAACTCCGGTACCTGGTAAAGTATACAGGCTGGCCACACTCAGAAAACCAGTGGCTCACACGCGACCACCTGACCCACACCTCCGACCTAGTTGAGGAGTTCCACCGAACGCACCCCCACGCCCCAGGGAGAGAGAAGGAGAACTGCCCAGCCACTTCGAGGTGAAGCGGCTTAAGGGGGGGTGATGTCAGGGCACGCCCGCCTGACCCTGCACCGCACCCCGCGCCGTACTGCATGTCAGGGACAGCTCCAAAAGCGGCGAGGTCCCTGCATGCGGGACTCGGTGGGACGAATAGTGGCTGTGCATAGCGGCGATCCCGTCGCGGGGTGAGCGTCCCTGACCACTTAGTCTGAAGTGGGAAGTTGAGATTATCATTAAAGGGGAAAACTACGGTACTTACCTGAAGTGGGAAGTTGAGAAGAAGGCTGCTTCTTCTGTTCCCACCCCAGGCACTATTATATACATGCAGCTAGGGTCACGTGGAGGAAGCCACGTCATCTCTGCACACAGCCGCACCTCCCTGGGTGTCTCTGTGGGAGATCCTGGAGGTGGCCGCTCAGTAGGTGGGAGTGTGCGCAGTGCGTGCAGCGATCAGGGGGGGGCGGGGTTAGGTATGTAGTGGTACATAGAGAAAGGGAAATCGACCATAGGATAGAAATAGAAATAGAGATAGAGAGAAAGGGGAAAGTGGGGGAGGAGAGAGGGGGAGTGATAGCGGGGTAGTGCAGTACAGCATGGGGTGCAGTGCGGGGTCAGGTGGGCGTGCCCTGACAGTACCTCACAGACGCCCAAGCAAGGCATCTAAACCATGGTGGAATGAGGACCTATCTAAGTCATACCACGAACTGAGACAGACGAGAGAGAATCCCTAAAAGGATGGGTGAAAGACTTCAACCGCCCATCACTATACCTCGTGGAAAAAGTAAAACACCTACACAAGGACATTCGCACACGGATCAGGAAAGCCAAACAGGCTCACTACCGCAAACTCACAGAGGAAGCCAATCACGGCAACCTGTGGGACTTCTGCAAGTGGACAAAAAGCCAAAGAACATACATTTCACCCCCCATCCTAAACAGAACAGACCAACTCGCAGTCAGCCATAAAGAAAAATGTAACATACTCCGTGAAAACCTCTTCCCCCAACCACCATCACTACCACACTCCCCAAGTATCAACCTGACCCCACGCAATGACGACATGGAATATGTAAGCGTGACGAAGGGCGAAGTCCGCGACTCCATATTCACTGCTGCCCAACTAAATGCCCCAGGTATCTCAGGCCTGATGGGCCGTGCATGGAGATGGGCCTGGGACGTAATGGAAGATGAAATCTTCCACCTACTGAGACTCTGCGCCGACTCGGGTTACCACCCTAAAGCATGGAGAACATCCATCGCGGTAGCACTGCAGAAACCAGGCAGAGACTACTCACTCCCCGATCCTACAGACTAATCCAACTGTTGGAAGTGTCAGGAAAAGCGCTAGAGAGGATCCAAGCATGGAGACTGGCCTTCTTAGCAGCAAAACACCAACTCTTCCCAAACACCCAGTACGGAGGACTACCAGGCAGATCAGCACAGGATGCCCTGCTCACCATCACGCACAACATAGAAGCCGCATGGAACCACAACAAAGTGGTGTCAATGCTCACCTTCGACATCACCGGCTTTTTCGACTTCATCCCACACGCGCACCTGCTAGACACAATGAGGAAACTACATATCCCCACCCCCATCGTGAGATGGACACACAGCTTCCTATCAGAGAGGAAAGCAGCAATCTGCCTTGATGGCAAATGTGATAAGCTCAAACCCATAACAACAGGCATCCCCCAGGGTTCATGTGTATCCCCGATCCTCGCGGCCTATTTCACTTCCCCAATGTGCAAGGCTATAGCCGAGGAAACCACAAAGAAAATAGAAGGAGACCCAGAGCTAAGCCCGCAATACAACAAAGGCATAATAAAACTATCACCACTAATGCTTTATGTAGATGACAGCTCACTGGTGGTGTCAGCCCCATCTAGAGCAGAAGCAACAAAGGTGATCCAGCTGGCGTTTGTTGCAGCACACAAGTGGTTAAAGCAGAGAGGACTAAAGACCGACCAGGTGAAGAACAAACTTATGCACTTCACCAAAACCAAGACTGGCAGAAATGCAGGTCCGGGCCCATCAGTCACTATCCCCTCGAACGAAGAAGGCGCAACCAGAACAATCCACCCATCCAACCTTATGAGATACTTAGGTATCTGGTTCGACCCACACCTCAAGTTCATGGAGCACATAAAAGACAGCTGCAAAAGCTTCGGGTGTGGCACACGCACTAAGGATGTTAGGAAACTCTGAGAGAGGCATACACCAAACACATCTCTGCCAGATGTACATAGGTGCTGTACTCCCAATAGTCTTATACAGCCTACCCATCTTCTGGCGATCAAAGCGCGGCTTAATTCTCAGAACTTTATCTACTCTACAGAATAAATGTCTGAGAATGCTAACAGGCGCTTTCTGCACGACCAGCATCACCACGATGGAAATAGAGGCCTCCATTCCCCCCATCGACATTTATCTAGATGTCAGGGAACACACCCTGACTAGCCTGGACCTGCACCTGCACCTGCATGTGCACCTCCGCCCTGCACGCTCCGCGTGCCACATGCTCCAGGCCCGGTTCCTACCCTTCATGTGACTTCCGGGTATCCCCGGAAGTTTTCGCCATATTGGGGCCACTGTGGGAAAGTGAGAAGTTAACCTTCTTCTCACTTTCTTACCCACAGTAGGCAAGTGTAGCCTACTTTCTATTTATCTATACACTTTCTTACCCACAGTAGCTCTTTGCCTTGAGACTAGGCTGTTACAGGTTGGGCTGTGGGCCATAGAGAGAGGGTCATGGGGACCCGGGGTCCGTCCCCTGACACTAGATTACAGAATGGAAATGGAGGCAACTAGACTTGCCCACATCCCCGACGACCACCCGCTGATCAATAGACTCTACCCACACCAAAGAAGACTCACCACTCCAACTTCCCCCCCACCTCTCCCAGTCTTCGACCCGCAGAAGAAATACAAGTCCGACCCACGAAAGCGCTTCTCAACCTGCATCACCCGCATCGTGCAACACATAATCCCAGGCATGGAAAGAATAAGGCCACTCCTTGAAAGCCCATGGGATGCATCTGCACATGACATCACCGACCGAATCCAACTCTTCACCCCGCCAGACGACCCTGGAAACTCATTCAAACAGGAATGGGCTGACGACCACATGAACTTCGTTGCGGAGTGTGAAGATGACCTGTCATATCCGTGCATACCTGACCCCGATCTGACTTCCGGACCTCCACCCTCTTCACTCCGGAGTCATAACCTACCGCTGCCGTTCCGATACTCACCTTCGGTCTTGGCAACACACCCCTCCTCTTACCTCTCCGACCCTTTCTCCGTCCGCTCCGATACTCATCTCGGACCGAACATCGCCCCACTCGCCACCCTTCCTACAACTCCGCTCCCCCCTCACAAGACCTCCACCCTCCCGTCATCCCCCTATGCTTCCCCCGTCCGTTCCGATACTCACCTTCGGACCTGACTACTCTCCTTTCTGCCACTCCCTCTCCCTTACCTGTCCCCTCTCTCCTCCTTCCGTTACCCTTCCGCCAAGTTACGACCGTCCACCGCTGCTCCGTACTTCACACTTGGACACCGTTCGTACCTTACTCCGAGCCTCCGTCATAGTCCCTACCTCGGACTTTGACTCCACCTCGGACTTTGACTCCACCTCGGTCTTAGTCCATTGCATTGGTGACCTCATACTACGTAAACACCATTGCCAATATTCCTCGGACTTCCAACCCCGCCTCCGTAAGCTCCGTAAGCTCCGCAACCCCCGAGCTTCGCGGACCGCCTCCGGCACTCTCGCCGTTTGTAATGTATTTCTCGCAACTCCCCCTCATCCCTATTTGGACTACTGCTTCTTTCTATTCTAGCCAGTTAGTCATCACCCCCACTTCCCCTCATCCTCCTGCCCCTCTGGGCCTCGCCCTCTCTACCTCCTTTCGGACGTATCACAGGTCTTGCCCTATGACCTTCGGTACCGCTCCGCTCCCTCTACCCTTTGTTCCCGTTCGGACGTCTTCGTTCCGATTCGGTCACCCTTTGTTCTCCTTGTGCTTTTGCCCCTTCTTTATATATCGGCGCTTGTACATACTCGTCTGGTTTCAGTCCGAAATCGACCTGAAATGCCCCCAAGAGACTTCCTGCTCACCTACTGTGAAATTAAGGACCAAATGGACAAACAGCAATGGCACAGCGCTCCGCTTGAGTCGCTGAGGCCAAGGTCCCTCCATGCTAAGTCTCCGATTCCACTCCGGAGTCGTCCGTTTCCGCCCCGTTCTAACAACCCAAACACACTCCTCGTCTACTCAGATGGATCCCGATACAAAGATGATGGCAGAATCAAAACTGGCTTTGTGTCAGAGTACAGCCCGGTTAAGTCCGGACTGCTTACACACAACTGATGACACACCTGCCCCATACCCGCACAGCCTGATCATCATCCCCGGACTGGCACAGACATTTGTTATATTTCCTTCTGCAGAGCGGCCCCGCTTTGCCGGGTATACTGACTTTATCATTCCCTGGGTAGCGAGTGAGGAAGATAACTTTCTTCTCTCACTTCCCCTCGCTGCTCAGCTGGAATCCCTATCGCAATCCGCTTTGCCGGGTTCCCCCATTGAGACTGACCCTGTCCCCCTCGGCCTCAGCTCCAGCGAAGGCTCGGGATCCCTCGACTTAGAGTCCGAGCAGCTCGGTACCCTGACACTTTGGCGCAGTAGGATACTCACACAGCAAAGTTGTCTTCGAAGAGAAAGGAGCAATGGGCGAACACATTGAAGCCTACGACACAGAGATGATGGGCCTGAAAACAGCCGCGGATGGAATCAGATGCACCCTAGATGATGGTAACGTCACCACAAAACCCACCCGCATCGTCATATATGCAGATAATACTAGCGCACTAAAACGTGTCTTTCAGGGTAAACCTCGCAAGGCCCAGGAACTAGCCAGGGACTTCAGGAATACCATATGCAAAGTCCTAACAGACTCTGAGGAGACGAAAATCGCATTGCACTGGTGCCGAGGCCATCTTGGAATTCCGGGGAACGAGAGAGCCGACCAGCTAGCAAAAGAAGGCGCACGACTTAGACCAGCCCGACCCAATTTTAAATCACTCTCATACATAGAGAGCCTGCGCAGGAGAGAGATGGCCGAAACATGGACTCACCGATGGACGAACACACTGAACCCCCGAGATCGGGCTTCTACGCAGCGAACCAACTCGCACCGAAGCTCAGACCCACCAAACGGTTCAGAAAACTCGACAGAAAAACCTTCAGCCGCGTACATCAGCAAGTACTACCACCAATTTGGAATCACAACGGAGAATAGAGCATGTCAATGCGGTAAATCAACACAAACGAGGGCCCACATTCTGACGGAGTGCCCCTGGACAAGCAGACACAGATACCTACTAGGACGTGGAAACCAGACGAAATTCCACATCCTCATGGGCAAGATGAAAGGCATAGAAAGGCTTGCCAATTTCATCAAAAAGTCCAAGACAGGCAACAAACCGACGACAACAAACACACCACAAGGACCGCCATCGCCCGACCGACTCACAGGATAGACGAAGCAGAACAGGACTTGCAGGGGACAGACGGAACCTCTTCATTTTTTCCATTTCTTATTTTTATTTTTTATCACCACAACAATACCTATGGACATCACAGAACCCGAGGATCATTGACACCCGAATACACCACCCAGAATACCACCATGTATAGATATTCCCCCCATGTACGCTCCGGTGTTAGGACAGGATAGCCGCACTGCCACGTCATCACGAGGCCGCAGGGTATTAAGATAGATTTATCATCATCATCATGGCCCTTTTTCCAATTGCTAGGACCCGGAACTTCATGTTCAATGCCTGTGTCTATACGGGATCAACCTTGCTGGACAGGCAAGATCGCTCATCATAGTAACACTGAATATGGCGCCGTACTCTCCGCTGCTTATAAGTGCAACTGACTCACATCTATACAGTGAAATGCATGCTGTATTCTCATTTCTGACACATTCCTGGAGCGTCTCCCGGTTGTGGGCCCCGATAGAGGAACAATCCTTTTTGCTGCAATCGGAGAATTCAGGGAGTCATGGGACACAGATAGGTCCGTCAAAGTTCTATCGTCAGCGTCGATAGCTTGCTGATTTATATCATTGTCTTGTAGTCCGCTGATGAAACCTCTCCACCATCTTAAACGCCTCATTCAATTGTGAATCTGTGGTAAAGGCCGCTTCTTTGGAGTCAGTATGGGATGACCCTGGGCCCCCCACCAATTGTTAAACCTTCAGCTTTTTCACCCTTTGCGATTAGGATCTATGATAACGGCATCGATTCAATGGCGATTACTGCGACAGATATACATAGAAGAGCAACACCAGGGCCGTCGGGTAATGTTCCGTGTGGGAAGTTACTGATTCAGTGCGTAGCGTATGTTGCGAAGCTAACCAGCTTGTATAGGTTCAATTAACACGAACATTCCTCGACGTTGCTAATTCGATACATCAAACCATGAGGGGGAGTTGTGTGAAACCGAACTTCTTGGTTTCCTTGAAGAGACATCTCAATTTGGAGGGAACAATGTTATTAAGTACTACAAGTCGAGTGTTGAGAAGTATCGTCATCATTTCCGATCTCGTTCAGCGACACGATCCAGTATGCGATAGAATGATCTTCCGTTTCGAATTCGACCAAGTTTTGTTCTGCCTGGGTCGTTTTGTAGAGGCATGAAGTTGGAAAACTGACTTGGAACACCAAGAGACATTGTAGGCAGTGACTGGTCTGACCCGGGGAGTTATGAAGATCCCACACTGAGGAATAGACATTTTGAGTCCTTTGCAGTGGGATCATACGGTCCCTGGATACGAATGCCGGAGACAGGAAGAATGCCATGCAACTGCTGACAGATCTCGTAATTTCACATCGTGTTCCAGACTCGTACCCAGCCGTCTCCACTACGTGGACGCGCAAAATCTCAACTAAGTGGTTGTTATATTACAATTCAGTTATAAAGTCATGTTCAAGTACAAAAGTGTATTACAATATAAAAGTCACATGCGACGGACATAAACACAAGTCCGATCACCTACTCCGGAAACCAACTCGCGACACTTCGCTCCAACGACTGGTGCAAAATGGCAGTGGCGATGCTCCACGGCAACTTCTGGGACCGACAGGAAAGCTAGTATCTCAGCCTCAAACCCCTCCTGGCTCCTTCCAACCACCGTGCCACCATGAGCGGGTCTGTAGAATGAGCAGCAGATGTACTTGAGTACATGACATCCAATGGGTTCACCCTCACGTCCTTTCTATCAACTCTGTTGACTTCCATACGCTTTGGTGACATACTGCGTGAAATTCAATTCCATATTCTCAATCCTGAGGAAAATCCTGGGAGTGCTGTCATTGTGAAAGACTGGATCCTTACAAGTGCTGAAGCCGTTTACATAGAAGAAATATGGATACTCATGGAAAAGGAGAGCGGGCTTCACATGACGGCCTACAACCTTCATCCGGCACAGCTTGAAGGGGGAAGGATCCGTGCATTGGCGCCATTTTTCGAGTCTAGGGTGCCAGCACTGTGGGGCCTTTTCCAGAAACTGCTCGTAGTGGAAAGTAAGATGCAAGTGAGGCGTTGGGCAAAGCCTGCACCTCCAAGCACAGAAACTCGCAGTGGAAGGAACAAAGCTGACGATGGGGACCACGTTAGTGCGGGAAGGCAGTCGAAGGGAAATTCTTCAGAGAGACAGTTTTCCCTCCTTAAAATAGTAAGTGATGACGCACTTGTTGAGTATAACAGTTGACTTACCAAAGAACCCTGCTTAGAAGGGAGTTGTGATCATATCGCTAATTGTGAATAATTGCAATGGGCACTGTAATGCATTGCAAGTGCAAAATTCTTTCTATTTGGCCGCGTCAAATGCTTCAAAATCAGTCCGTGGGTGGGCCGCTCACACTGGACTTGCAGTTTCCCCCTCATCGATTGAGAACATTCGAACTTCGTTGATAAAGAATCAAAAGATCTTGAACAAAAGCCTTGGTCGCACTCGCATCGTGAACTTGGCATATGATAATTGCGACTTCAAGTTTGGGGTTGGCCAGCCAATGGACCTTAAGGACCGAACATTCGAGAGCATCACGACAGGCCTGTTCTTTATGCCACCAAAGGAAGTGCTTCCTGAGCACTTAGAATACGCTGAAACGATATGGAACACTCACCCAAACAATCCCAATTTCATCAATGTACCAGCTGCGATCACCTTTGCCGATATTGTACCAACAGCTGCCGCTGTGTTCAAGTTGATGAAGCATTGTCAGTGGCACATTAAATCAGTATTAATTGAAGAATACTTCCCCGAACTGCATCCACATCTCATAGACCCACCATCGACATTTCAATTACCACCACATCGAACTACATACTCAACTGCAGAGGCTGTCTATGCAAAGGCCTCTACTATCGATGGGAATGTGGAAGCAATAATGTCACTTCTCGAACAAAGCGGCATCATGGAGGAGAGGGTTTCTGATCATCTGCTGCTCGTTCTACAGACCCGCTCATGGTGGCACGGTGGTTGGAAGGAGCCAGGAGGGGTTTGAGGCTGAGATACTAGCTTTCCTGTCGGTCCCGGAAGTTGCCGTGGAGCATCGCCACTGCCATTTTGCACCAGTCGTCGGAGCGAAGTGTCGCGAGTTGGTTTCCGGAGTAGGTGATCGGACTTGTGTTTATGTCCGTCGCATGTGACTTTTATATTGTAATACACTTTTGTACTTGAACGTGACTTTATAACTGAATTGTAATATAACAACCACTTAGTCGAGATTTTGCGCATCCACGTAGCGGAGACGGCTGGGTACGAGTCTGATCGTGTTCAGAATGTACTACAATCGGCAAACCCGCCATAAACCTTATCCATACACTAATAGCAAAACTTCTAAAGGAGAGTTCTTGAGTTAGTCACATCGCGAAGATAAACACGACTTGTGCCAAGGGATGATGGCTGATCCGGTGACTGCTTCTTCCGTCCGGCACTCGATGATGGGAAAGCGGTGTTGACCACAAGCCAGTGCGGAGCTCTCCCGATATTTGAACCAGAGGATGTGCAGATTTGAGATCTTTGACGACGTCGACAATGCATTTCACGTTACCGCTATGTTGAAGTGGCATTCCGATGCCCTTTGTCACCACGGTTATTGTTCCCTTTTATGGGAAGTTTTATTGCTTTAACGCTTTGGCCTTTGTTCTTTTGCGCCACACAGAAATGTATATAAGTGTGCTCATCATGTACTTTATTTATGAGAATATCTAATGACACTGTGATATCGTGCTCAGAGGTCGGGCTGCAATGCCGCGATTATAACACGCTAAGTTTCGCCATTTGGCTCCAAGGTGGTTCAGCGGCTGCGTACATACATGGACGCACATCGCTCACTGATTTAACCGCCAATGTGCTGCAGAGGCACTGACTGCGCGCCTTCAATTTCTTGAGGTAAGCCAGGAGAATATTCTCTGCTGTGACATTGCATTGGCTTGCATGCGTGATGGTTCTGGGGCAGATTCGGAATCAAGGAAGTGATAGTTCCTGCAGTTGAGGGATAGGGAAGCTTGAGGGAGTCAGATAGCGCTGATAGAATCCACGCAGCGAAGGGAAAACCCCAATGTGCGACGGAAAGATTTGAATGAGGGCTCACAAAGATCAATAGATAAACCGAGGGGAAGGACCCCGGCCTACTTTGAAAGTCTGACTTCTTCCGTTCCTCACATCCATGTATGATTCATGTTCCTTCGCAGGCACATACACAGCAATGGGGTATGGTTGTGGCATATTCGCGCTGAGCTCGTATATATGGGCGCTTGTGTTATGTAAATGTGTATGCGTGGCGAACTGTCATTACTTGTGCACCCGCTTAAGATGCAGTACGTACCCAGCTGGCGAAGCTCAGCTAAATGGCTCAGTAGTCGACACAATCCCTAGCTCCACATAAAATCCTTGGGTGCCCCCCGGCCGTCAGGCTTTGGGATATCTGGCCGTCCTCTCGTACGCCGTACCTCAGGCTGCCTATGGCTTTCTGCATACTGATCATCCACGCATGGTCAGTTTGCAGGTCTAGCAGTTTTGGAGGCCTGATATTATCGGTACGTTGTTTCAGTCCTTTTTCTTGCTCGCGTCAGCTGCACGCATCGGCTTCTTTCTTTGCTTCGCGTCCCCTGTCCGTGCCTACTTTCTATCTTGCCTTGGCGTCCGCCGTATGTTCCAGCTCACATGCCTAGACTCTGCTCAGTATATCCCCAGGATCTAATTTTCGGTTTTTTATTGCTCGCTTGACTCTTTCTGCTGCCTTTGAGTGTGGTACCGATTATAAGTATTCGGGAGGTGAAGGTGTTGTGGCCTTTGGTGCCACCTTTTTGTTGTTGTTTTTCGTATCTTTCCTGTTCTTCACTCTGTTTTCTGCTTGCGTCTTGCTATTACCTGTTTTTCTGCCACCATCCCCGATCTAGTCCACCTCAGTGTATTTAATCCAGGTTGCTTGTGAATTCAGAGGCTGAGGCGGTTGTCGGGGTTGTCGCCACGCGTGCCACTCTTTTCGGCGCCGCACACTCAGCAATAGTTTGAGGCTCAAGTCGCGCATGAAAATTGCGGGTGCCAGGAATTCGAACTACGCCCACCGGTGGCAATGCGGCAATTTTATGGTAGATTCTTACTCTCGAGGTCCCCAAGATGATTTCAACTGGTATGTCGGCATTCATCAGTGGCGTTGCGATCTCACCGCTGCCCTAGTGCTTCGTTCGCAAGTGCAGTAGGTGAAATGGAGGAGACGCAGCTTCCCTCACCACTCACACAGGTGACAATGCCACTGATGAGTACGAGGCACAGCGCCTGTGTTCCAAGTACCACTCCTATGTCCCACAAGCGTATTTTGCCAAGTACTCAAGGCATCATTGGATATATTTCTCGGGATGGACATTCTTTCCCCGGTCCCCAGCACCCGCTCAACATGTGCAAGGGAGCTATCATCGCGGAAGCATCGCTCTTTATGTGCAAGCGGGCTCGGTTACATTGTCAGGGCGTTGGGTCGATCGGTATTTATGCTACGGGATCGACTTCCACTTGCTAGACAGGCAATCGTTCGCCGGATTACTCATCCAATAACACAAGACTTGGCCCTATACTCTCCACTTCTGTCCAGACGTATCACCGGGTGTATGGCGCGATGTATACTCAGCAACCATATTTTTGACCACTGCTGCTGTGCACATCAACAACAATCTCCAACGACACTTCCAGAAATGCGGATGCACTCTGATGGTTGTGCGCCTCGATACAGGAACAACCTTTGCTGCTACGGTCAGAGATGCTCATGGAGTCATTGAAGTACCGATAGGTTCATACACTGCTTCTATTGTCAAGTGTTGATTCTGAGTACTTTACTAGTTTTATGTCAGGTTTCCGGTCGTTATCTTATGGTGAAGCCTTTGCGTTCCGTCCGATCTGTGAACATGTTATAGGGCCGCCTCTTTGGGATCAGTATGAGGTGACTCGGGGCCTCCTGTCAATTGTTATCACAATCAGTCCCTGTCATTTTTCATCACCCTCTCCTTGGCAGGTACAAACTACAATATCATCATCGATTCTACTAGTAGTATGGCGATTACTACGACAGGTATACACAGAAGAGTATCACCAGGTTCGTTAGGTGATGCTCAATGTGGGTCATATTGATTCAGCGCGAAGTGTATCTGTTGCATGCTGCGAAGCTGACTAGCTCGTGTAGATTCCTCGACGTTACCAATTCGATATCACAAACGATGAACGGGGCTTGTACGAAACCGAATTTCTCGATTTCCAAGGGACGTCTTAAATTTGGAGGGAGCAATGGTGTTGAGTACTCGAGTCGAGCGTTGAGAAGTACCATTAGATGGGATAGAAATACTGACCTTTCATTTTCGATCTCGTTCAGCGATGCAGTCCACTACGCGATAGAGTGGTTGTCCCGTTTGGCTGAGATGGCCCAGGTGGCATATATTCCGCTGCGGAATAACAATAAATCATCCTGTATTATCCTTGGCGATGGCTCAGCTAGTTGAATGCAATCCGGACCATCGGGGTGCAGTTGCACATGAAAATGGGGTGCCAAGAAATGATCCAAATTCATGTTGAGATTTCAACGGACATCCGAGTGACAAGTCGCGGATTTTTCTTTTGAGAGACGCTTGCTGAGACACAACACCACTGAGCGAGGTTTAAGGGTGTTGAGCCGTACTTAGCGCTGCAATTTCATGGTGACTCGGTGCATACTCATGTGAACCGATTTCCATATGTGTATGCGTGGAACGACCGTGACACTCTGCAGCCTGGGCAAGAGCTCTGCGCGCCTCGACTTCTTAAGCTCACTCACACTATCCACAATGGGGTCATGATACCAGCATACGAGGTTTGCTCCGTGACAATATGAAGAGTTGGAGGGAAGAACGATCCATTAACTGACGATAGCTTTGGTGAAAAGATCAAGGTAATGCAGCCTCCCAGAGGCGCAGGCAGGAATAGCAAGGCAAACGATTGGGATGAAACTATGTAGCGGGTTTTCGAAGGAGCAGATAGATCGGAAGTGCAGCTGTTGGTCTAGTAGCTGGGTCATATTGCCAAAGTGTATATATAGTGGCGGCATTGATTATGCCACGGAATTGGTGGTAGTAGGCTGTAGACACTGAACGGTAGTCAGCTCGAAGAGCGCAGATTGTGGAGTCTTGTCGAGGATATGTGCCGAAGAGTCGAACAACTACTCGTCATTCTTTGACGTCAATGACTCAAACTAGAACATCATAATTGATCTACCCCATGCTTCGGACTTCCTACTTCACTCAAATGCAATGGCAATGTGGCTCCACAGGCATTCGTTCTACGAACTACTTGATTGTGGTGTCAGGATATAACCTATCCGATTGACGTGCTACAGGGAGTTGTAGAAAACCCGTAAACGTTTCATCAATAGTCCCAAACCAAAAATCAATGTCAACCCCCCAAACTGAGCTGTGTGCACTACAAGTAGCAAACAAGGGAATGCAATGAAAAGGGAAATAGGAAGGCCCAAGGTCTCAGGGGGACCCAAGTTGTTCAGATTAGTGCCTCAGAATCACGTCCGAGGTTAGAAAGAGCGGTGCGTAGTGTGTTGAGTGACCTATCCAAATTCAAGGTGTGTAATCCTGGGTTGACGGAAACCAGCTCACGGTAGAGTTTGACACTTTCCTGGATGAATGGGAGCGCCTCCGAGTGCCGTCCGAGATTCGAAAGAGCGGCATATAGACCGTTGAGTGACCAAGCCAAATCTGCATTGTATGATCCTGGGTGAACGGCAACTAGGTCGCGCCGGAGTTTGGCGCTTTCCTCGATGAATGGGAGTGCCTCCGAGTGCCGTCCGAGATTCGAAAGAGCGAGATATAGATTGCTGAGTGACCAAGCCAAATCTGCGTTGTATGATCCTGGGTGAACGGCAACTAGGTCGCGCCGGAGTTTGACGCTTTCCTCGACGAATGGGAGCGCCTCCAAGTGCCGTCCAAGTTTCGAAAGAGCGTTATATAGATTATTGAGAGACACAGCCAAATCTGGGGTGTATGATCCTGGGTGAACAGCAACTAGGTCGCGCCGGAGTTTGACGCTTTCCTCGATGAATGGGAGTGCCTCCGAGTGCCGTCCGAGCTTCGAAAGAGCGCCATATAGACTGTTGAGTGACCAAGCCAAATCTGTATTGTATGATCCTGGGTGAACGGCAACTAGGTCGCGCCGGAGTTTGACGCTTTCCTCAACGAATGGGAGCGCCTCCAAGTGCCGTCCAAGTCTCGAAAGAGCGTTACATAGATTATTGAGAGAGAAAGCCAAATCTGGGGTGTATGATCCTGGGTGAACAGCAACGAGCTGGCGGTAGAGTTTGACGCTCTCCTCGATGAATGGGAGCGCCTCCAAGTGCCGTCCGAGATCCGAAAGAGCTAAATATAAAGTGCCAAGTGACATGGCCAATTCCGGGGTGTAGGACTCTGAGTCCATGGAAACAAGGCAACGGCAAAGTACAACTGAATCCTTTGCTACCTCATATGCCTCCCTGAATCTTGAAAAAAATTGCAGGTTCGACTGGAGCCAGATAAGCACATTGGCCAGCATGCAGATAGCATCTTTTGACCTTTGGTCAACCACCAACTGCCAGGAAAACGTGAGCTCATTTAATTAACACAATTGATAATCCACACCTTAGGCCAGTCAGGGAGTATCGAGATACTGATGTAGCCTTCCATTCTTACGCAGACTTCAACCCAGCGAGTGGCTTGCTGACTGAGAAATATGCAAACTGATTTATCCAGCTCCTGCGACCGTTCCTGGACTTCACTGAGGTGATAAACTATGTAATGACATGCATAATGCAAGTGCTTGGATAACTTCTCTGGAGGAATGCGCGGCAGTACATCTTGTCTCTGCAAGCCCTCAATCAGTCCGAGGCCCTCTAAAGAGGAGAGATCCTGATTCAGAATCTCAGTACATCGGAGGGCAATTCTCGCATTCTCCCGTCCCACATCTACTGGACTGCAACGAAGGCTGATTGACTGGGGATCCATCCGTTCTAGAATAAAGTCGCGGAAAGATTGGTGCAAGATGCGAATCGGATTATCAGGATCCTCAAGACCTGAGAGGAGAGGTGAAAGTTCAACCAACGTATATCGAACCGACGACTTCAAGAAAGGCGACAAAATTGCATCCCAAGCTGCGACAGACAAAGGCTGCCGTGCAACGGAGATGGCCCCCATCACAACCGGATAGTCATCTGCAAAATCTCCATCCTCCCAACCACACTTCTTCAAGATACCTGTATACAACCGATCCATCATTCCTTCGGCAGACACCACCGATCCCTTCGCGCCTGTGCCGAGCAGTCCCTCCAGCGTCCTCATAGGGTCCTTGCTGGCCTTCCTCATGTAGCGAAAAATGGTGCTGATCCAAATAAACAAGCCACCTGCTCGTTCCAAGATTCCCTCTACCATTTTCTCCTCGTCCTCAAGCTTATGCTGCATATCGGGATGACAATCCTTCACCGTTTCCAGCTGGGAACGTATATATGTAGCGCAATCGTGCACGTTTGCATTATCCGAGAGATCAATGGAAAGACGATCGATTGGGAAACGGGATGAGAGGAAGCGATTGACACGATCGAATTGCCTTGATGTGATAAAGAACTTTATGGGGGATGGTAATTTAGGCACTTCTTCCCGGAGAATATTTGCAAGGGACTCAAATGCTTCATCGTCACATTCATCTAAAGCATCGATGATGACCACCAGAGGATGGTCGGAAAGTGGAGGCTTATGCAGGAGGGGTGGAGCCACCAACCCCTTGAATTGCATCGCGAATGGTGCTGTTGAGAGTGTAGGGTCGTCCTGAAGAGCAGAGATAATGGAGGAGCGATAAACCTGATCCCGCTTTGCTAACGCTCGAGCCATCCCGCTGAACAGACAATCAGGCCGCGACTGTTCGCCCGCCTTGAAAAAGAAGCTTAGCAATAGGGAACGCTCCCTTGCGCATCGTTCCGCAATCGTGTGCGCAATCGAAGTCTTCCCAGCACCGGCCACAGCAGTGAGTAGCATGACACGGTTTCCGCTGTCCCTAGTGTCGTGGCACCAGGCCATGATACGCTCCGTAAGACCGACCCTAGTGCCTTCTAGGCACGCCTGAGTTGAGTCATGGTGCGCGACATCAGGGTATCGGAGTCTGCCAAGAATCAAGTCATCTTCGATGACCGACAATTTCACTCCAACCGTTAAATTCGTTCTAAGCTGCATCAGGAAAAATCAGAGGGATTATGGAACGATACCGTGAGGACAATTACCTGAAACGACGCCAATGCTTTGTCAAGATCCTTCTTTAGGGAATCAATCCTTCCCGGATCTCTCAAGTGCGATAATGCATTGATAAAAGCTGACCGCTTCTCTATTTTTGTGCGTCTTTGTTCGATTTCCGACTTGATCCTCTGTAGCACGCTGGGGCTTGATGTGAACACGAAGACTGTCAAAAATGGATGAAACTTACCGATCGAGCTTTTTAGCGCTCTCCACCCATGGCTTTGCCTCTTCCGTTGACGGATCATAGGACTTTATGGCTGCAACTACTTCAGCCACGTTGTCCACAACGTATTTCCCAAAGTCCTCCCATTCCTTATTATTCTCCTTGAACTTCTACCCGACCCAAACCATGAGCCTTTGTTCGCGCGAACCCAGCATGAATAATTTTTAACTTGAACCTCGCTAATGATGAAGAGTGCGCCGCCAGTCGCGCTCTTTAGAGGAGGGCACATATCAGCCGCAACATTGATGGCTGTAAGAATTGGTATCGCCATATCGCCTCCCGCTGCGATGATCTCATCGATCTTTCGCCTGAGACCTTCAGCTTTTTGTCGCAGTGACATGATGGTCGATGTTGATAAGTGGATGGAGGAGAGAGATCTTTGGGCATTCAACACACGTGGTGAGCCCCTAAATGCTCAAGGCCCATGAGGCCGGCCTTTGTACGATTATGGAAGGATACTGGTTGGATGCATTGAGGAAAGAAGACTCAGCGGCAAGCGCCGGCGGGATCTTACCTTAGTCTCGTTGCTACATGCCATCCGCTGTCATATTAAGCACTAAAAGCCCACCGTCTCTCGATTCATTGAAGTCATTTTCTGCCTTCGATTTATTTCCTTTCCATTACGCGCCTGTTTTTGGACTCCGCACGCCCTGGAAGTTCGCACTGAAGACGTTCCGTAATAGGCAGGACTCCAGCCTCTATTAATTCCGTAACGGTCCCCCCTGATGTCTCATTCCGCTCTCGGGTTGTTATTGCAGTGTCGGTCGGGGTGCTTCTAACACGGATTCACGGTTGTCACCCTGTGAACGCGTCATGGGTCACCTCTGAACGTTTACCAATCAATGAATATGATTGCGCCTGGAGTTCGACTTCTTCCGTTCCCCACCTTCATGTATGATGCATGTTCCTTCGCAGGCACATATACAGCGATGGGGTGTGCATTCGCACTCAGCTCGTATACATGGGCGCTTGTGTTATATAGCTGTACATGCATAGCGAATTGTCATCACTGTGCACACCCTTAAGATGCAGTACCCAGCCGGCGAAGGCCAGCTAAATGGCTCAGTAGTCGGCACTCCACATAAAATCTTCGGGTGCCCCCGGGCCCCGGTACTCCCATCCGCTGCACGCTTTGGGACATCCGGCTGTCCTCTCGTACGCCATGCCTGTCTGTGGCCTTCCGCATACCGATCATCCGCGTATGGTCGGTTTGCAGGTCTAGTAGTTTTACTAAACCTAATAACCCCCTTAGCAGAACGGACAAAAGCCACGTGCACAACTACGTAAATGAGGAAATATATTTTAAAACCAACTAGAGATACATGTCGTGAATATTATATTTATCATAAATAAATGATCAAGGTGTGGTAATCTGAATTGCTCGACTCTGAATCTGAACTACGGTATGAGCAACCCAACCCAACCGAACTCATTTTGAAAAAAATAGACACATACATACCCAATACACAGCCACCAACCCCAACCCAACTTCCCGACCCAATGCCCAACCCCGACCCAAAGCCCAACCCCCAACCCAAATGCCCAACCCCCGACCCAATTCCCAACCCACCAACCCAATTAGGCCCAACCCCCGCCCAGTGCCCCGGGGGAGTAAGAAAGAAAAAAAGGGCATAAATAGCCATGAATCAAACTGGCACCCAACCCAGCCAAGAATGAAGGCTAATCATGAATTAGCCATTAGGCCGAGACACCGCTAATGCTATTCCTGGACTTAATTTGTAAATATGCTTCTAGTAACATTACAAATATGGAAAATCTGGAATCAGATTTGCGGAACTAATTTTATAATTTTCGAGAAATTTTTCAGCGCACGTGCCTGTGCATGTGACTTTTATCCGTTCTACTAAGGGGGGTTGTTAGGTTTACTAGTAGTTTTCATCTAGACCTGATAATTTTAGTCAGTCTTTGTACTTCCTCGCGTCAGCTGCACGCATCGGCCTCAGTGCCTTCTTCGCGTCCGCTGTCCGTGCTTGCTCTGTCTATGTTGCCTTGGCGTCCCCCGTATGCTTCGGCTCCTATTCCTAGAGTCTGTTCGGTATATCCTCAGGTTCTTAATTTCGGTTTTTTTTTTGGCTTGACTCTTTTTGCCACCTTCGAGTGCGGTGCTGATTGTAAGTATCCCGTGTATTTATGTATCGGCGCCACTGTGTGTGTGTTTTTTTTGGCTCTTTCCTGTTCTTCACTCTGTTCACCCCTTGTGCGTTGCTTTTACCTGTTTTTTTTTTTCTGCCACCATTCCCGATCTCCACCTGGTGGATTAAATCCAGGCTGCTTAGAGCCTTCGGATTAGACCGAGGCTCAGTCGCACATGAAAAATGCAAGGGCTCACGTACCAAGTCCTCTTGGCATGCCCGCGTGCGGCCGAGCGCCGGCGACAATGCGGCAATTTTATGGTAGATTCTTACGGTCCCCGAGACGATTTCAACTGGCATCCATTACTGGCGTCGCGATCTCACCGCTGCTCTAGTGCTTCATTCGCAAGTGCAGTAGGTGAAATGGCGGAGACGCAGCTTACCTCACCGCTCACACAGGTGACAATGCCACTGAGGATGAGGCACAACGCCCGTGTTCTAAGCACCACTCCTGTGTCCCATTTTGCCAAGTACTCAAAGCATAGTTCTCGGGATGGTTATTCTTCTCTGGTCCCTGGCACCCCACTCAACAGGTACAAGGGAGCTATCATCGCAGCAGCATCGCTCTTCATGTACAAGCGGGCTTGGTTACATTGCCATCAGGGCGTTGGGTTGATTGGTATCTATGCCGCGGGATCGACTTCCACTTGCTGGACAGGCAGTCATTCGCCAGATTACTCATCCAACGGCACGAGATTTGGCCCTATACTCTCCACTTCTGGACAGGTCGTCCAGATGCATCATCGGGTGTATGGCCCGATGTGTACTCAGCAATCATATTTTCGTCTACTGCTGCCGCGTACAACAATAATAATTTCCAATGACATTTCCAGAGATGCGGATGCACACTCTTGGTTGCGCGCCCCGATACAGGAACAAACTTTGCTGCTGTGGTCAGAGAAGCTTATGGAGTTATTGAGGCGCCGATAGGTTCATAAACTTCTATCGATCCTGAGTACCGATTTACTAGTTTTATATCAGATTTCCAGTCGTTATCTTATGGCGAGGCCTTTGCGCCGTCGCAAGGGCTCCGTCCAACCTGTGGATATGTTATAGGGCCGCTTCTTTGAGGTCCATATGAGGCGACCCCAGGCCTCCCACCAGTTGACACCACAATCCCTGTTATTTTTCATCACCCTTTCCTTCGCGGCTATATCATCATCGATTATATGGCGATTGCGACAGATATATACAGCAGAGCATCACCAGGTTCGTTAGGTGGCGCTCATTGTGGGTCATATTGATTCAGCGCGAAGTGTATCTGTTGCATGTTGCAAAGCTGACTAGCTCCTCGACGTTACCAATTCGATATCACAAACAGTGAACTGGACTCGCACGAAACCGAATTTTTCAATTTCCAAGGGACATCTCAAATTCGGAGGGAGCAATGGTGTTGAGTACTACGAGTCGAGCGTTAAGTATCAATACTAATCTTTCATTTCTGATCTCGTTCAGCAATGCAGTCCACTAAGCGATAGAGCAGTCTCCCGATTCTGATTCAACAAGTTGGAACCGCTATCCTTCTGCCTGGGTCGTTCCCTTGGGGCGTGAAGTTCGAAAACCAACTTGGAACACTGATCGAAAATCCTAGTAGGTGGCAGCTGATCTGATCCGGAGAGTTATGAAGATCTAACACTGAGGTCACTGAGGCATAATGATTTTGAGATCTTCGCAGTGGGGTCATACGGTCCTTGAATACCAATACTGACTCCCGGAGATGTAAAAAGCGGGATTGTCAAATTGTGTCCATCGGGGCACTGACGGGGCAATCGATCTGAAGCGTTGGAGGCCCAGGGTTGACAGGTGGGTGTAGGATTATAGCATTGCTTATCGACCCGCCATTTGCGATAGCCATTACAGAGTAATTCTGAGTCGCCGGCTCTGCTCCCTCCATTCATTTGGTCGAGGAGCATTCACGGAAAAGTGCAACATTTGCAAAGTAGTCTACGTAATGGCGGCGACTTCTGCGCGGTTCCTGAGCATTGAAGAGGTATTCCTCCTCGAAACTCTCTTTGCCTGGGGATTTATTGGCTGAGATGGCCCAGGTGGTATACATTTCTCTGCGGAATAATAAATCATGCTGTGCTGTCTTTGGCAATGGCTCAGCTAGTTGAATGCAATCCCGACCATCTGTTGCACATGAAAATGAGATGTTTCAAATTCAGGTAACAACAAGTGGCAGATTTTCTTTTTGTGGTGACGAGTGATGCCTACACATTACTGACGGACGGCGGGGTGAGGTTTGAGGGTGCTGAGCCTTCCTACCCTTTGTGCGCCTTTTATGCGGTTGAGACACGTCAGCGACGTAGTTCGACACCGTCTTTTTCTCCTTCAGAACTCTTGTACAAGTCTGAGGTGAGAGCGATAGGTTTTTACTACATATCTTGGCACCAGCAGTAGTACTTAGCACCGCAATTTCATGGTGACTCGGTGCATACTCATGTAAACCGATTTCCATGTGAATGCGTGCAACGACCGCAGTGACACTCCGCAGCCCGGGCAAGAGCTCTGTGCGCCTCGACTTCTTAAACTCACACTATCCACATTAACAGGGTTATGATACCAGCATACTACGAGGTTTGCTCCATGACATGCAATACGGAAGAGTTGGAGGAACATGGAGGGAAGAACGATCCATTGACCGACGATAGCTTTGAAACTACTTATGTAGCGGGGTTTTGAAGGAGCAAATAGATTGGAAGTGCGGCTGTTGGTCTAGCTGGGTCATGGGCATTGCCAAAGTGTATATAGTGGCGGCGTTGGGCCCAGACACGGGTTTATGCCCGGATTTGATGGTAGTAGGTTGTAAACAGTGAACGGCAGTCAGCTCAAAGAGTGCAAATTGCGGAGTCTTGTCGAGGATATGTGCCGAGGAGTCGGGGTTGAGCTGAAGTGGCCAGCTACTTGACGTCAATGACTCGAGCTAGAACATCATAATCGATCTACCCCATGCTTCAGACTTCCCACTTCACTCAAATGCAATGGCAATGGTTCCACAGGCATTTGTTCTACGAACTACCTGTGGTGTCAGGATATTACCTATCCGATTGCGATTGAAGCTTATTACGTGGTACATGGAGTTGGGTTATTATTAAGTTAGGATCACGATCAGTTGTGAGCCGAACAGTCAAGAAAACTCATAAACGTTTCGTCAGTAGTCCCAAACCAAAAATCAATGTCAACCCCCAGTATTCTCAAACTGAGCTGTGTGCACTACAAGTAGCAAATGAGGGAATGGATTGAAAAGGGAAATAGGAAGGTCTCAGGGGGACCCAAGTTGTTCAAATTAGTGTCTCAGAATCATGTCCGAGGTCAGAAAGAGCGGTGCGTAGTGTGTTGAGTGCCCTATCCAAATTGGAGGTGTGTAATCCTGGGTTGATGACAACCAGCTCACGGTAGAGTTTGACGCTTTCCTTGATGAATGGGAGCGCCTCCGAGTGCCGTCCAAGATTCGAAAGAGCGTTATGTAGACTGTTGAGTGACAAAGCCAAATCTGGGGTGTATGATCCTGGGAGAACGGTAACTAACTCGAGCTGAAGTTTGACAGCTTCCTGAATGAATGAGAGCGCCTCCGAGTGCCGTTCAAGATTCGAAAGAGCTTCATATAGACTGTTGAGTGACCGAGCCAAATCCGGGGTGTATGATCCTGGGTGAATGGCAACGAGCTCGCGCTGGAGTTTGACGCTTTCCTCGACAAATGGGAGCGCCTCCAAGTGCCGTCCAAGATTCGCAAGAGCGGCATATAGTTTGTTGAGTGACCAAGCCAAATCAGCGTTGTATGATCCTGGGTGGACAGCAACTAGGTCGCGCCGAAGTTTAACGCTTTCCTCAATGAATGGGAGCGCCTCCAAGTCCCGTCCGAGATTCGAAAGAGCGGAATATAGACTGCCAAGTGATAAAGCCAAATCTGGGGTGTATGATCCTGGGTGAACAGCAACTAACTCGCGCTGAAGTTTGACACATTCCTCGATAAATGGGAGCGCCTCCGAGTGCCGTCCGAGATTTGAAAGAGAGAGATATAGATTGTTGAGTGACCGAGCCAAATGTGGGGTGTATGATCCTGGGTGAATGGTAACCAGCTCGCGCCGGAGTTTGACGCTTTCCTCGATGAATGGGAGTGCCTCCGAATGCCGTCCGAGTTTCGAAAGAGCATGATATAGACTGTTGAGTGAAAAAGCCAAATCTGCGTTGTATGATCCTGGGTGAACAGCAACTAGGTCGCGCCGAAGTTTGACGCTTTCCTCAATGAATGGGAGCGCCTCCAAGTGCTGTCCGAGATTCGAAAGAGCACCATATAGACTGTTGAGTGACCAAGCCAAATCTGCGTTATATAAGCCTGGGCGAATGGCAACTAGGGCGCGCTGAAGTTTGACGCTTTCCTCAATGAATGGGAGTGCCTCTAAGTGCCGTCCGAGTTTCGAAAGAGAAGAAAATAGATTGTTGAGTGACGGAGCTAAATATAGGATGTATGATCCTGGGTGAACAGCAACGAGCTGGCGGTAGAGTTTGACCCTCTCCTCGATGAACAGGAGTGCCTCCGAGTGCCGTCCGAGATCCGAAAGAGCTAAATATAAAGCGCCAAGTGACCTGGCCAATTCCGGGGTGTAGGACTCTGAGTCCACGGAGACAAGGCAACGGCAAAGTACAACTGAATCCTTTGCTGCCTCATATGCCTCCCTGAATCTTAAAAAAAATCCCAAGTTCAACTGGAGCCGGATAAGCAGATTGGCCAGCATGCAGACAGCAGCTTTTGACCTTTGGTCAACCACCAGCTGGGAAAATATGAGCTAAGGCCATTCACACAATTGATAATCCACACCTTAGGCCACTGAGGGAGTATCGATATACTGATGTAGCCTTCCGTTCTCACACACACTTCCGCCCAGCAAGTGGCTTGCTGACTGAGAAATATACCAACTGATTTATCGAGCCCATGCGACCGTTCCTGAACTCCACTGAGGTGATAAACAGTGTGACGACATGCATAATGCAAATGCTCGGATAACTTCTCTGAAGGGATGTGCGGGAGCACATCTTGTCTCTGCAAGTCCTTAATCAGTCCAAGGCCCTCTAAAGAGGAGAGATCCTGATTCAGAATCTCAGTACATCGGAGGGCAATTCTCGCATTCTCCCGTCCCACATCTACTGGATTGCAATGAAGGCTGACTAATTGGGTATTGATCCGTTCTAGAATAAAGTCGCGGAAGGATTGGTGTAAGATGCGAATTGGATTGTCAGGATCCTCAAGGCCTGACAGGAGCGGCGCAAGTTCGGCCAACGTATATCGAACCGACGACTTCAAGAACGGTGACAAAATTGCATCCCAAGCTGCGACAGACAGAGGCTGTTGTGCAACGAAGATTGCTCCCATCACAACCGGATAGTCGTGCCCAAAATCTTTATCTTCCCAACCACACTTCTTCAGAATGCTTGTATACAACCGATCCATCATTCCCTCAGCAGAAACCGCTGATCCCTTCACCCCTGTGCCGAGCAGTCCCTCCAGCGTCCTCATGGGGTCCTTGCTGGCCTTCCTCATGTAGCGAAAGATAGTGCTGATCCAAATAAACAAGCCACCTGCTCGTTCCAAGATTCCCTCTACTGCTTTCTCTTCGTCCTCGAGTTTATGCCGTATATCGGGATGCCAATTCTTCAGTGTCTGCAGTTGGGAACGTATGTACGTCGCGCAGTCCTGCACGTTTGCATCATCCGAGAGATCTATGGTAAGACGATCGATATGGAAATGGGATGAGAGGAAGCGATTGACACGATCGAATTGTCTTGATGTGATAAAGAACTTTATGGAGGATGGTAATTTAGGCACTTCTTCCCGAAGAATATTCGCAAGGGGCTCAAATGCTTCATCGTCACATTCATCCAAAGCATCAATGATGACCACCATAGGACGGTCCGAAAGCGGAGGGTTATGCAGGAGGGGTGGAGCCACCAATCTCCTGAATTGCATCGTAAACGGTGCTGTTGAGAGTGTAGGATCGTCCTGAAGAGCAGAGATAATGGAGGAGTGATAAACTCGATCGCGCTTTGCCAACGTTCGAGCCATCCCACTGAACAGATAATCAGGCCGCGACTGTTCGCCTGCCTTGAAAAAGAAGCTTAGCAATAACACACGCTCCATTGCGCATCGTTCCGCAATCGTGTGTGCGATGGAAGTCTTGCCAGCGCCGGCCACAGCGCTCAGCAATGCCAGCCGATTCTCGCTATCTGCGGTGTTATGACACCAGGCCATAATACGTTCAATGAGATCGACCCTAGTGCCTTCTAGGCAAGCCTGAGTTGAATCGTAGTGGGCGATATCGGGGTATCGGAGTCTGCCAAGAATCGAGTCATCTTCCATCGCCGATAATTTAACTCCAATTGTCAAGTTCGTCCTGAGCTACATCGGCAGAAAATAAGAATGGTTATAAAACAACGCCGAGACAAAAATTACCTGAAACGACGCCAATGCTTTGTCAAGATCCTTCTTTAGGGAATCAATCCTTCCCGGATCTCTCAAGTGGGACAACGCATTGATTAAAGCCGACCGCTTCTCTATTTTTGTGCGTCTTTGTTCTATTTCGGACTTGATCTTCTGTAGCGCACTGGGACTTGATGTAAACACAAAGACTATCAAGAATGGATGAAACTTACCGATCAAGCCTTTCAGCGCTCTCCACCCATGGCTTTGCCTCTTCCGTTGACGGATCATAGGACTTTATGGCTGCAACTACTTCGGCCACGTTGTCCACGACATATCTCCCAAAATTCACCCATTCTTTCTTATTCTCTTTGAACTTCTACCCAACCCAAACTATTAGCGCTTCGTTCGCGCGAAGCCAACATGAATAATTACTAACTTGAACCTCGCTGATGATGAAGAGTGCACCGCCAGTCGCGCTCTTCAGAGGAGGGCATACACTAGCCGCAGAATTGACGGCTGTGAGAATTGGTATCGCCATATCGCCTCCCGCTGCGAGGATATCATCGATCTTTCGCCTGAGACCCTGAGCCCTTTGTCGTAGTGACATGGTCGATGTTGACAAGTGGGTGGAGGAGAGAGATTTTTGGGCGCTCAATACACAGCCCCTAAATGCTCAAGGCCCACGAAGCATTTGTACAATTATGGAAGGATGCATGCATTTAGTGTGCCCAATCATATCGTGGCTGCCTATCCGTGGGACATTTAATTATTTGGGGGACAGATGATAACCATCGAGTGTATGGGGAACAGTATCAGGCCCTTAGAAAAGCAAGCAGACTGAGCACCGAATACGAACTCCGCACGTAACCAGAGGAAAGCATTACTCTGCTCGTGTAGCGGCAAGCGCCGGGGGGATCTTTCCTTACTGCTCGAATTCATTGAACTGGCTCTCTGCCTTCGATCTTCATTAAGCGCCTGTTTTTGGACTATGGAAGTGCGCACTGCAGACGTTCCGTGACCCCCGATGTTTCGTTCCGCTCTTGGGCTGTTATTCCAGTGACAGGGTGCTTCCAACACGGATCCACTAGCTTGGTTGCCGTACCTTGTATGATGCGTGTTCCTTCGCGGGAACCTTTGCAGCGATGGGGTGTGGTTGTGGAATGTCCATTCGCACTCAGCTCGTTGCTTGTGTTATATAAACGTGCTATGCGTAGTGAACTGCAATTACTTATGCGCCCGCTTAAGATGCAGTACCCCAGCCGGCGAAGCTCAGTTAAGTAGTCACCACAATCCCTAGCTCTAGCTCCACATAAAACCCTCGGGATCGCACAACTTGGTTGATCCGGACCTGGGAAGAACATTAATATTGTATGGTATAGCGTAACTGGAATCAAGGACCACTAGGTTCGAAGAAGAACGGGCCCGTAGTCTCACATTACATCACTGCGGGACAATCAGTCGTCATCTCCTTGTTTCATTTATCCTTAGCAATAGTTTACCCTGTTGAATGCAATCCACATCGCACATGAAAAATGCGTGTGCCAAGGAATGCCCCAAATTTAAACCACCGCAACACACCCTCATGATCTATTTCTGTCCTAGTAGCACTTCAGAGTGCAATTGTTCATTTTCAAACTGCAGTAGGTGTATGAAACGGTAGAGACCTCGCCAATCACAGTGACGAGAACACAAGGTCGCTGGGAATACGAAGGCACAGGGTTCGTTTTGTGCTGCCCATTGCGCCAAGTACCCCAGTCACTACGGAACATATTTCTCGGGATGGCCATTCGACTTCCCAATTGCGAGGACCCGGAACTCCGTGACCCTATCCATCATGTACGAGAATCCACATTGCAGCCGTATGCACAAGATAATTTGGTCACATTTACAGGGCATTCACGGTGAAACAAACAATGCCTGTGTCTATGCGCCACTTGCTGGACAGGCCTTCGTAGCAATACTAGATATGGCCCGTACTCCCCACCGCTTATAAGTTCTGGACGGTTCGTGCAGCTGCCTCACATTCACACGGTGAGATGCATACTTGGATTGTCGATTCTGACACATTCCTGGAACGTCTCCCGGTTGTGGGCCCCGATGGAGGAACGGTCCTTTTTGCTGCGATCGGAGAATTCAGGGAGTCACGGAACGTAGATAGGTCCTTCAAGGTTCTATCGCCAGCCTCGTCGATCCCTAGCTTGCTGATTTACATCATTGTCTTCTTGTCCGCTGATAAAACCTCTTTGGGGTCAGTATAGGGCGACCCTGGACCTCTCTGCCGATCGTTGAACCTTCATCACAATCAACCCCTGTCGTTTTTCACCCTTTCCTCTGCGGCTAGAATCTACGATAACATCATCGATTCAATGGTGATTACTGCGACAGATATACATAGAAAAGCAACATCGGGGCCGCCGGGAGATGCTCCACGCGGACTATTAATATTGATTCAGTGCATAGCGTATCTGTTTCATGTTGCGAGGCTAACCAGCTTGTATAGGTTCAATTAACACCCACATTCCTCGACGTTGCTAATTCGATGCATCAAACCATGAGGGGGGAGTTGTGCGAAACCGAACTTCTTGGTTTCCTTGAAGAGACATCTCAAATTCGGGGGGAACGACGATATTGAGCACTACGAATCGAGCGTTGAGAAATATCGTCAGATGGGATAGATATTATCGATCTCGTTCAGCGACACAGTCCAGTAAACGATAGAATGGTCTCCCGATTCGAAATTGAACTCCCATCGTTCTGCCTGGGTCGTTCCGTAGAGGCGTGAAGTTCGAAAACCGACTTGGAACGCTGATCAACAATCCTAAGAAGCATAGGGGGCGGTGACTGATCTGAATCCAACACTGAGAAATAGAGTTCTTTGCATGCAGTGGGGTCGGTCCCTGAATGCGAATGCGGACTCCAGAGAGGCAAAGCGGAATCCTCAAATTTAGCTCATGGGGCACTGATGGGCCTGGGGCAATCGATCTGAAGCATTGGAGGCCCAGGGCTAACAGGTGGGTGTAGCAGGATTCTAGCATTGCTCACTGTCACGTCGTTCGAGATGGCCATTACACTCCTGAGGGAGAGTGATTCCGAGTCACCAGCGCTGCTCCCTCCATTCGTTTAGTCGAGGTATGTATGTTGCTGCGGAACAATGCATCATGGTGTATTATCCTTGGCAGTGGCTTAACCAGTTGAATGCAATCGGTGCAGTTGCACATGAAAGTGCCAAGAGATGTTCTAAATTCAGATGAGTACGAAGGGCATTCACTGGTCGCAGAACAGAACTTTCTTGGCGCAACACCATCAGAGGTTAGCGCTTACAATTTTATGGTGACTCGGGTTTCCATGTGTACGCGTGGAACAACCATGACACTATGTAACCACTGTCACAGTGCGCCTCGGCCTCCTAAGCTCACTCTCACTATCCACAATGGGGTCATGATACCAGCATAGGAGGTTTTTTTACTGTGACAATACTTATTCACAAACCCAACCTACCTACCAACCAACTATCCTTTCCTTCGAAAAATTGCGATTGGAATTGCTCGTGCAATCGAGTGTCTAGTATTGCGTCATCCGGTATGAGATACGATAGCGCAGATCCAAAGCCAGGCAAAACGTAAGTGGGTGCGAATCTACGTAATTCTAATCCGTGCGTGAAAAAATAGTGGTTGATCAGATCAAAAATGGCTCAGGCGAAATAGGCGGGATGAAACTCGTTGGGTATATGGCATGTTTGACTCTGCTGTGAACGAAATTCCCATATACATGGTAAGCAGCATGGTGGAACCTCACACGGATTCGTGCAATTGACGGAACGACCATCCCAAGGGAAATACACATGGGCGCTCCGAGTATTTAGCAGGATGGGTGCAAGGATGGGTGCATGGAACATGGGAAGGGTACAAAAAAGAACATTGTGCCTTTGTAGTCACCTACGCAATTGATGGGTTGAGACCATTCACCAACGTACGTGGGAAGAGGCTTCATTTGAAGGCAAAGCGATGAGGGAGAAGAAGAGCGGGAAAATGCACAGAATAGTCAGATCCCACACTACATTTCGTCTCCTTGATTCCTTTCGAATTTCGCCATATCCCGCACCGCTCTTCTGCTCCTTTCGAAATCAAGCCGCGATGACAAACATCCTATGAACTAGGGCTAGATATGAATGGTAAGAAGAGGAAGAGTTGGAGGGAAACTGTCCATTGACCGACAATAGCCATGGTGGAAAGATGAAGGTTACGGAGCCTCCTAGAGGCACAGGCGCCCAAGGCGAATGATCAGGATGAAACTATGTAGCGGGTTTTCGAAGGAGTGGGCCAGGATATGTGATTATGCTATGGAATTGGTGGTGGTACGCTGTAGACACTGGACGGTAGTGGTCAGCTCGAAGAGCGTAGATATTGTCGTGGGTATGTGTGACGAGTTTGCCGAATCAAGACCGACTCAGAGCCGAATGGGTGCTCCAACTACTCGTCACTCCTTGACGTCAATGACTCGAGCTAGAACATAATCAATTTACCCATGCTTCGGACTTCCCACCACTCAAACACAATGGCTCGACAGGCATACGTTCCACAAATTACCTGTGGTGTTGGGATACCCCATATTCCAAGTCTCGGCTTCATTGCATGCAGTGGTGCATGGATACATGGGCAATAGGGGTACAAACGAGTGTTCTTGCAATTATCAAGTTACAGTTGTGAGCGGAATAACCAAGAAAACCCATAAACGTTTCATCAATAGTTCCAAACCAAAAATCAATGTCAACCCCCCAAACTGAGCTGTGTGCACTACAAGTAGCAAACAAGGAAATGCAATGAAAAGGGAAATTGGAAGGTCCAAGGTCTCAGGGGGACCCAAGTTGTTCAGATTAGTGCCTCGGAATCATGTCCGAGGTTAGAAAGAGCGGTGCGTAGTGTGTTAAGTGACCAATCCAAATTCGAGGTGTATAATCCTGGGTTGACGGAAACCAGCTCACGGTAGAGTTTGACACTTTCCTGGATGAATGGGAGCGCCTCCGAGTGCCGTCCGAGATCCGAAAGAGCGGCATATAGACCGTTGAGTGACCAAGCCAAATCTGCATTGTATGATCCTGGGTGAACGGCAACTAGGTCGCGCCGGAATTTGACGCTTTCCTCAACGAATGGGAGCGCCTCCAAGTGCCGTCCAAGTTTCGAAAGAGCGTGATATAGATTATTGAGAGACAAAGCCAAATATGGGGTGTATGATCCTGGGTGAACAGTAACTAGGTCGCGCCAGAGTTTGACGCTTTTCTCGATGAATGGGAGTGCCTCTGAGTGCCGTCCGAGATTCGAAAGCGCGTGATATAGATTATTGAGTGACCCAGCCAAATCTGCGTTGTATGATCCTGGGTGAACGGCAACTAGGTCGCGCCGGAGTTTGATGCTTTCCTCGACGAATGGGAGCGCCTCCAAGTGCCGTCCGAGATTCGAAAGAGCGTTATATAGATTATTGAGTGACCGAGCCAAATCTGCATTGTATGATCCTGGGTGAATGGCAACTAGGTTGCGCCGGAGTTTGACACTTTCCTCGACGAATGGGAGCGCCTCCAAGTGCCGTCCAAGTTTCGAAAGGGCGAGATATAGATTATTGAGTGACCCAGCCAAATCTGGGGTGTATGATCCTGGGTGAACAGCAACTAGGTCGCGCCAGAGTTTGACGCTTTCCTCGATGAATGGGAGTGCCTCTGAGTGCCGTCCGAGATTCGAAAGAGCAAGAGATAGACTGTTGAGTGACCAAGCCAAATCTGCATTGTATGATCCTGGGTGAACGGCAACTAGGTCGCGCCGGAGTTTGACGCTTTCCTCGACGAATGGGAGCGCCTCCAAGTGCTGTCCAAGTGTCGAAAGAGCGAGATATAGACTGTTGAGTGACCAAGCCAAATCTGCATTGTATGATCCTGGGTGAACGGCAACTAGGTCGCGCCAGAGTTTGACGCTTTCCTCGACGAATGGGAGCGCCTCCAAGTGCCGTCCGAGATTCGAAAGAGCGAGATATAGATTATTGAGTGACCCAGCCAAATCTGGGGAGTATGATCCTGGGTGAACAGCAACTAGGTCGCGCCAGAGTTTGACGCTTTCCTCGATGAATGGGAGTGCCTCCGAGTGCCGTCCGAGATTCGAAAGAGCGAGATATAGACTGTTGAGTGACCATGCCAAATCTGCATTGTATGATCCTGGGTGAACGGCAACTAGGTCGCGCCGGAGTTTGACACTTTCCTCAACGAATGGGAGCGCCTCCAAGTGCCGTCCAAGTTTCGAAAGAGCGTTATATAGATTATTGAGAGACAAAGCCAAATCTGGGGTGTATGGTCCTGGGTGAACAGCAACGAGCTGGCGGTAGAGTTTGACGCTCTCCTCGACCAATGGAAGCGCTTCCGAGCGCTGTCCGAGACCCGAAAGAGCTAAATATAAAGAGCCAAGTGACCTGGCCAATTCCGGGGTGTAGGATTCTGAGTCCACGGAAACAAGGCAACGGCAAAGTACAACTGAATCCTTTGCTACCTCATATGCCTCCCTGAATCTTGAAAAAAATTGCAGGTTCGACTGGAGCCAGATAAGCACATTGGCCAGCATGCAGATAGCATCTTTTGACCTTTGGTCAACCACCAACTGCCAGGAAAACGTGAGCTGATTTTTAATTAACACAATTGATAATCCACACCTTAGGCCAGTCAGAGAGTATCGAGATACTGATGTAGCCTTCCATTCTCACGCAGACTTCAACCCAGCGAGTCGCTTGCTGACTGAGAAATATGCAAACTGATTTATCGAACTCCTGCGACCGTTCCTGGACTCCACTGAGGTGATAAACTATGTAACGACATGCGTAATGCAAGTGCTTGGATAACTTCTCTGGAGGAATGTGCGGCAGTACATCTTGTCTCCGCAAGCCCTCAATCAGTCCGAGGCCCTCTAAAGAGGAGAGATCCTGATTCAGAATCTCAGTACATCGGAGGGCAATTCTCGCATTCTCCCGTCCCACATCCACTGAACTGCAACGAAGGCTGATTGATTGGGGATCGATCCGTTCTAGAATAAAGTCGCGGAAAGATTGGTGTAAGATGCGAATCGGATTGTCAGGATCCTCAAGTCCCGACAGGAGAGGTGCAAGTTCGACCAACGTATATCGAACAGACGACTTCAAGAACGGTGACAAAATTGCATCCCAAGCTGCAACAGACAGAGGCTGTTGTGCAACGAAGATTGCCCCCATCACAACCGGATAGTCATGCCCAAAATCTTCATCTTCCCAACCACACTTCTTCAGAATGCTTGTATACAACCGGTCCATCATTCCCTCAGCAGAAACCGCCGATCCCTTCACCCCTGTACCGAGCAGCCCCTCCAGCGTCCGAATAGGGTCCTTGCTGGCCTTCCTCATGTAGCGAAAAATGGTGCTGATCCAAATAAACAAGCCACCTGCTCGTTCCAAGATTCCCTCTACCATTTTCTCCTCGTCCTCAAGCTTATGCTGCATATCGGGATGACAATCCTTCACCGTTTCCAGCTGGGAACGTATATATGTAGCGCAATCGTGCACGTTTGCATTATCCGAGAGATCAATGGAAAGACGATCGATTGGGAAACGGGATGAGAGGAAGCGATTGACACGATCGAATTGCCTTGATGTGATAAAGAACTTTATGGAGGATGGCAATTTAGGCACTTCTTCTCGAAGAATATTTGCAAGGGACTCAAATGCTTCATCGTCACATTCATCTAAAGCATCGATGATGACCACCATAGGACGGTCGGAAAGTGGAGACTTATGCAGGAGGGGTGGAGCCACCAATCTCCTGAATTGCATCGCGAAAGGTGCTGTTGAGAGTGTAGGATCATCCCGAAGAGCAGAGATAATGGAGGCGCGATAAGCCTGATCGTGCTTTGCTAACGCTTGAGCCATCCCGCTGAACAGACAATCAGGCCGCGACTGTTCGCCAGCCTTGAAAAAGAAGCTTAGCAATAGGGAACGCTCCCTTGCGCATCGTTCCGCAACCGTGTGCGCAATCGAAGTCTTGCCAGCGCCGGCCACAGCGCTCAGCAATGCCAGCCGATTCTCGCTATCCGCGGTGTTACGACACCAGGCCATAATACGTTCAATGAGATCGACCCTAGTGCCTTCTAGGCAAGCCAGAGTTGAATCATAGTGGGCGATATCGGGGTATCGGAGTCTACCAAGAATCGAGTCATCTTCCATCGCCGACAATTTAACTCCAATTGTTAGGTTCGTCCTGAGCTACATCGGCAGAAAATAAGAATGGTTATGAAACGACGCCGAGACAAAAATTACCTGAAACGACGTCAATGCTTTGTCAAGATCCTTCTTTAGTGAATCAATCCTTCCCGGATCTCTCAAGTGGGACAATGCGTTGATTAAAGCCGACCGCTTCTCTATTTTTGTACGTCTTTGTTCGATTTCGGACTTGATCCTCTGTAGTACACTGGGACTTGATGTAAACGCGAAGACTGTCAAAAATAGATGAAACTTACCGATCGAGCTTTTTAGCGCTCTCCACCCATGGCTTTGCCTCTTCCGTTGACGGATCATAGGACTTTATGGCTGCAACTACTTCAGCCACGTTGTCCACGACGTATTTCCCAAAGTCCTCCCATTCCTTATTATTCTCCTTGAACTTCTACCCGACCCAAACCATTAGCCTTTGCCTGCGCGAACCCAGCATGAATAATCACTAACTTGAACCTCGCTGATAATAAAGAGTGCGCCGCTAGTCGCGCTCTTTAGAGGAGGGCACATATCAGCCGCAACGTTGATGGCTGTGAGAATTGGTATCGCCATATCGCCTCCCACTGCGATGATCTCATCGATCTTTCGCCTGAGACCCTCAGCTTTTTGTTGCAGTGACATGATGGTCGATGTTGATAAGTGGATGGAGGAGAGAGATCTTTGGGCGCTCAACACACGTGGTGAGCCCCTAAATGCTCAAGGCCCATGAGGCCTTTGTACGATTATGGAAGGATACTTGAATGCATTGAGTCAGTGCCCAATAATATCGGGTCCGCTTATCCGTGTGGGCATTTAATTATTGGGGGAGAGATGATCATAACGATCGAGTGTATGAGGACCAGAATCAGGCCCCTCAGAAATGCAAGCAGACTGAGCACCGAATTCCGTACGAGCTAGCAAGAAACCGTAGGCAGGTGACCAGCCTCTCTTTAACGGGAAGAAGAAACCGGAGGAAAGGATTGCACCGTGAGGCTCAGCGGTAAGCGCCGGTGGGATCTTAACCCTTCTCATCGCTCGTCGCTGCATGCCATCAGCTGTCATACTAAGTACAAAAGGGTCGCCGTCTCTCGATTCACTGAAGTCGTTCTCTGCCTTCGATTTTCATTAAGCGCCTGTTTTTGGACTAAGTACGCCCTGGAAGTGCCCACTGCAGACGTTCCGTAACCGTCCCCCCGATGTCTCATTCCGCTCTCGGGCTGTTATTTCATGGCCAGTGTTGGTCAGGGTGCTTCCAATACGGTTCCACTTGGTTGCCTCCCCTGTGGATGCGTCATTTTATTGCATTGGTTGAACATTTGCCAATCAGTGAATATATATAATCACACCTACAGTACTTCAATTTCGACACCTTCCGTTCCCCAGCTGTATGATGCGTGTTCCTTTGTGGGCACATATACGGTAATGGGGGGATCTGCATTCGCACTCAGCTCGTCGCTTGTGTTATATAGAAGTGAACCGCCATCACTATGCACCCGGTTAAGATTCACCACCCGGCGAAGCTCAGCTAAGCATAGCTTAGTAGTCACCACAATCCATAGCTCCTGGGGATTGTACGAATTGGTTGATCCGGACTCTGGGAGAACATTATGTGGTAATGCGTAATTGGAAACAATAATCAATTGTCGTTGCATTTATCCTCAGCAATAGTTTACCCTGTTGAATGCAATCTGGACCAGACCCGGGAGCATCGCACATGAAAAACGTGTGTGCCAAGGAATGTTCCAAATTTAAATAAACCACCCTCAATTCTTCGTCAGTTTTTTCTTGGCATAGGACCATAAACCGATCGCGGAAACAAACTCCTCTAGGCACATGTACCCCGATCACCAGTAACAGCGCTGCAATTTTATGGCAGGTCCTCGTACAAGATGATTTGGTCACATTAATGTCATGTTCAAACGAATGATATCCGTGCCTATGCGGGATTGACTTCCACTTGCTGGACAGGCAAGATCGCTCATCGAGATATGGCGCCGTACTCTCCGCTGCTTGTAGGTTCTGGACGATTCGTGCATACTTGTATTTTCGTTTCTGACACGTTCCTGGAACGTCTCCCGGTTGTGGGCCCCAATAGAGGAACGACCCTTTTTTGCTGCGATCAGAGAGTTCAGGGAATCATGGAGCACAGATAGGTCCGTCAAGGTTCTATCGTCAGCCTCGTCGATGCCCAGCTAGCTGATTTATATGATTGTCTTCTTGTCTGCTGATAAAACCTCTGGGCATCGTAAGCGCCTCGTTCAATTGTGCGCTTCTTTGGGGTCAGTAAGGGGCGACCCTGGGCCTCCCACCGGTTGTTAAACTTTCATCACAATCAGCCCCTGTCGTTTTTCACCCTTTCCTCTGCGGCTAGAATCGACAATAACATCATCGATCCAATAGCGATTACCGCGACAGATATACATAGAAGAGCAACACCAGGGCCGTCGTGTGATGTTTCATGTACAAACATTCCTCAACGTTGCTAATTCGACACATCAAACATGAGGGCGAGTTATGTGAAACCAGACTTTTTGGTTTCCTTGAAGAGACATCTCAAATTCGGAGGGAACGATAGTATTGGGTACTACGAGTCGAGTGTTGGTCGGATGGGAGATGAATTGTTTACTTTGATCTCGTTCAGCGACACAGTCCAGTAAGTGATAGAATGGTCTCCCGATTCGAATTCGATCTGCCTGGGTCTTTCGTAGAGGCATGATGGATCTGACCCAGGGAGTTCTGAAAATCCAACATTCAAGTTGAGGAATAGACATCTTGAGTCCTTTGTAGCGGGGTCGTACAGTCCCTGAATACGAATGCTGACTCCCGGAGACGCGAAAGCGGAATCCCCAAATTTAGCCCATGGGGGCACTAATGGCTGGGGCAATTGATCTGAAGCATTGGAGGCCCAGGGCTTAACAGGCGGGTGCAGGATTCTAGCATTGCTCATCGTCGCATCGTTCAAGATAGCCATTACACTCCCAAGAGAGAGTGATCCCAAGTCGCCGGTCTCTCCATTCGTTTGGTCGAGGAACATTCACGGAAAAGAGCAACGTGTGCAAAGTAGTTCACATAATAGCAGCGACCTTTACGAGGTTCCTGGGCAACAGCATTTGAAGAGGCATTCCTCCCAACTCTATCGATATTTGCCTCTGCCTCTTTTTGACTCAGATGGCCTAGGCGGTAATATATTTTGCTGCGGAACGGTGCATCGTCTTTGGCGGTGGCTTAGCTCGTTGAATGCAATCCGGACCATCGGAGCACCGCGGTTCCACATGAAAATGGGGTGCTGTCAGCCCGGTTTCGTGTCTTGGTATTATTCCCTGGCCTACCCAAGCTTAGGGATGAGTTTGAATGACTTCCCTTCTACACCTGCTGAGGATCCGCGCCTCGTCTCTTACATCTCTTTTCTCTCTCAGATGTAGCTCCCGAGCTATCATATTAATCCTCATGGTTTGCGGAGTCATTCCAATATTCCGCCCTCGTGAAACTTGAGAGCCTTGGCATATTGGTCCAGTACACACATCTGACTAATGATTCAGGAACGCAGACGTCTTCGGCTGCTTGCGAGGAGCAGCCATCCTACGCTCCGAGTTTGAACGCTGCACTGCTTTGTGGGATATCTTCCTCCTATCATGTCAAGGCTCGGTTATGATAGTCACACCGTTGATGAGTGCATCGACAACGCTGAACGCACACGCATGTGAGATTTCTCATCTCAGTATGTGAATATATGCATGGAAGCCCTTCGCGCGTATCGGCTCACGACATGCCAATGGGTGCATACCTATTTATCGAGTACGAAGAGTCGACCAATTAAGCTGCTTGAACGACGTGGTCATGGCGAGTCTTTCACTTTATTGAGACATCGTTTCCCTATTAGCAACAAGAGCGCGACGAGAGGGAAAGAGCAATAAATAATTTGTGCCAGGGTATGTTACCTTTGGCGGGTAGCATCCACTGTGTTTTTGTTTTTTGGCTCTTTCCTGTTCTTCACTCTGTTCGCTGATTGCATGTTGTTTTTGTTTTCCGCCACCATTCGAATCCCGATCTCCACCTCAGTGTATTTAATCCAGGTTGCTTGCGAATTCAGAGACCTCAGCGGTTGTCGGGGCTGTCGGGACACCACTCGGCGCTCATCTAGTCGCACACTCTGCAGTAGTTTAGCCAGTTGAATGCAGTCCGGATCAGACCGAGGCTCAGTCGCACATGAATGCAGGTGCCAAGGAATCTGAACCACTACAAACGAATCAAGGCTCAATACGATCATGAACCAAGCCCTCTTGGCATGCCTGCCGCCGAGCACCGGTGACAACGTGGCAAATCCTTACTCTCGAGGTCCCTGAGATGATTTCAACTGGTATGTCGGCATTCATCACTGACGTCGCGATCTCACCGCTGCCCTAGTGCTTCGCTCGCAATTAGTGCAGTAGGTGAAATGGCGGAGACGCAGCCTACCTCACCGCTCACACAGGTGACGATGCCACTGAAAACGAGGCGGGTGTAGGATTATAGCACTGCTCATCTACACTCCCGAGGGAGAGTAATTCTGAGTCGCCGGCTCTGCTCCCTCCATTCATTGAGTCGAGGAGCGGAAAAGAGCAACGGCATTTGCAGAAGTAGTTCACGGAATGGCAGCGACTTTTGCGCGGTTCCTGAGCAATAGCTTTGAAGAGGCATTCCTCCTCGAAACTCTCTTTACCTGGGGACTTATTGGCTGAGATGGCCCCTATTTCGCTGCGGAATAATAAATCATGCTGTATTATCCTTGGCAATGGCTCAGCTGAGTTGAATGCAATCCCGACCATCATTGGGGTGTGTAGTTGCACATGAAAATGGGGTGCCAAGAGATGTTCATGTTGAAATTTCAACAACCGGTTCCGACATCCGAGTGACAAGTGGTGGATTTTTCTTTTTGGGGAGTGAGGTTTGGGCCTCCCCCCTCTTTTTACCCTTTGTGCGCCTCTCACATGCGGTGAGACACGTCAGCGAGGTAGTTCGTGTATAAACAGGACCGGGCGTCATAGCCTTTACCTTTAAACATTCAAAGGGGTACGAGGGCTTGGGAATGTCACAAAAATTGGCACCAGCAGCTAGTAATTAGCGCTGCAATTTTATGGTGACTCGGTGCATACTCATGTAATCCGATTTCCATATGTGTATGCGTGGAACGATCGTGACATTCTGCAGCCCGGGCAAGAGCTCTGTGCGCCTCCACTTCTTAAGCTCGCTCACACAATCCACCACGGGGTCAATATGATACCAGCATACGAGGTCTGCTCCGTGACAATGTGGAAGAGTTGGACGAAAATGGAGGGAAGAACGATCCATTGACCGACAGTAGCTTTGGTGGAAAGATCGAGGTAATGCAGCCTCCCAGAGGCGCAGGCAGGAATAGCAAGGCAAATGATTGGGATGAAACTATGTAGCGGGTTTTTGAAGGAGCGAAGTGCAGCTGTTAGTCTAGCTGGGTCATGGGCATTGTCAAAGTGTATATATTGTGGCCCGGATATGTGATTATGCCACGGAATTGGTGGTAGACACTGAACGGTAGTCAGCTCGAAGAACGCAGATTGCGGAGTCTTGTCGGAAATGGGTGCTTCAACTACTCGTCGCTACTTGACATCAATGACTCGAACTAGAACATCATAATCGATCTGCCTCATGCTTTGGATTTCCTACTTCACCAGGCGATGGCTCCACAGGCATTCGTTCCACGAACTACTTGATTGTGGTGTCAGGATATAACCTATCTGATTGAAGCTTATTTACGTGCTACATCGAGTTGTATACAGTTGGGTTACTTACCTGCACGGAATCATGGGCAATAGTGGGTACAAATAAATGAGTGTTCTTGATATTATGATATTATTAAGTTAGGATCACGATCAGTTGTGAACCAAACAGTCAAGAAAACCCGTAAATATTTCATCAATAGTCCCAAACCAAAAATCAATGTCAACCCCCCAGTATTCTCAAATCGAGCCGTGTGCACTACAAGTAGCAAACAAGGGAATGCAATGAAAAGGGGAATAGGAAGGTCCAAGGTCTCAGGGGGACCCAAGTTGTTCAAATCAGTGCCTCGGAATCACGTCCGAGGTCAGAAAGAGCGGTGCGTAGTGCGTTGAGCGACCAATCCAAATTCGAGGCGTGTTGACGACAACCAGCTCACGGTAGAGTTTGGCGCTTTCCTGGATGAACGGGAGCGCCTCCGAGGACCGTCCGAGATTCGAAAGAGCAAGATATAGATTATTGAGTGACTGAGCCAAATCTGGGGTGTATGATCCTGGGTGAATGGCAATCAGCTCGCGCCAGAGTTTGACACTTTCCTCGATGAATGGGAGCGCAACGTTGACGGCTGTGAGAATTGGTATCGCCATGTCGCCTCCTGCTGCGAGGATCTCATCGATCTTTCGCCTGAGACCTTCAGCCGTTTGTCGCAGTGACATGGTCGGTGTTGACAAGTGGATGGAGGAGAGAGATCTTTGGACACTCAATACACGTGGTGAGCTTCTAAATGCTGAAGGCCGATGAGGCCTTTGTGCGACTGTGATACTCAGATGCAGTGCCGAATAATATCGGGGCCGCTTACCCGTCCGTGTGGGCATTTAATTATTGGGAGAGAGATGATCATAACGATCGAGTGTGTGAGGACCGTGCGAGCTAGCAAGGACACCGTGAGGCTCAGCGGCAAGCGCCGGCGGACTCTTCTCATCGCCCGTCGCTGCATGCCACCAGTTGTCATAGTCATATTAAGTACAAAAGGCTCACCGTCTCTCGATCCATTGAAATCGTTCTCTGCCTTCTGTGAAGTGCCTGTTTTGGGACTGTGTAGGCTCAATTGCGCACTTACTTGTGTTATATAAATGTGCATGCGTAGCGAACTCTCATCACTATGGACCTAGGCTCAGCTCGGCGTAGCTCAGTATTCGCCACGATTACTACCTCCACATAAAATCCTCAGGATTGTACGACTCGGTCGATCTGGACTTTGGGCAGAGCATTGTTGGTAATGCGTAATTGGAATCAAGGACCAGTCGCACTTTACTTGTTGCATTTATCCTCAACGATAGTTTACCCTGTGGAATGCAATCCGGACCAGATCCGGAAGCAGCGAAGCTCGATTGCACATGAAAAATGTGTGTGCCAAGGAATGTTCCACATCTAAACCACTGCCTTCGGTTTTTATGTCACTTTCAAGATCCCCGAGACGATTTCCTCAAGCGTTATGTCGGCATTTGTTGTCGGCGTCGTGATCTCATCTCTACTCTAGCACTTCAGAGTGCAATAGTTCGTTTTCAAACTGCAGTAGGTGTATGAAATGGTGGAGACGCCCCTTACCTCGCCAATCACAGTGATGAGAACACAAGGTCACCGGGAATACGAAGGCACAGGGTTCGTTTTGTGCCGCCCATTTCACCAAGTACCCCATTCACCACCGGATATCTCTCTCGGGATGGCCATTCTTCCAATGGCGAGGACCCGGAATTTCAGGACCCTGTCCGAAAATCCTCATTGCAGCAGTACGTACAAGATGATCTGGTCACACTGTCAGGACATTCATGTTCAAACGAATGATTCCCGTGCCTATGTGGGATCGACTTGCACTTGTTGGACAGGCAAGATCGCTCATCATAGTAACACTAGATATGGCACCGCACTCTCCGCTGCTAATAGGTTCTGGACACTTCGTGCGACTGCCTCACATCTGTACGGTGGTATGCATACTTGTATTGTCGTTTCTGACACATTCCTCGTCTCGGAACGATCCATTTTGCTGCAATCGGAGAATTCAGGCAGTCGTGGCGCAGAGAGGTCCGTCAAGGTTCTATCGTCAGCCTCGTCGATCCCTAGCTTGCTGATTTATATCATTGTCTTCTAAAACCCCTTCTTTGGGGTCAGTATGGGGCGACCCTGGGCCTCCTATAGTTAAACCTTCATTACAGTCAGCCCCTGTCCTTTCCTCTGCAGCTAGAATCTACGATAACGTTATCGATCCAATGGCGATAACTGTGACAGATATGCATAGAAGAGCAATACCAGGGCCATCGGATGATGTTTCACGTACGAACATTCCTCGACGATGCTAATTCGATACGTCAAACATGAGGGCGAATTGTGTGAAACCGAACTTCTTGGTTTCCTTAAAGAAATATCTCACATTCAGAAGGAACGATGGTGTTGAGTACTATGAGTCGAGCGTTGAGAACTATCGTCGGATGTTGTTCATTTTTTTATCTCGTTCAGCGACACTGCCCAGTAAGTGATAGAATGGTCTTCCGATTCGAATTCGATCTGCCTGGGTCGTTGTAGAGGCATGGCGTTCGAGAACTGATCTGACCCAGTTCTGAAGATTCGACAGACACTTTGAGTCCTTTGCAGTGGAGTCATACAGTCCCTGGATGGAGAGGCAAAAGCGGGATCCTTCAAATTTAGCCCATGGGGACACTGACGGGCCTGGGGCAATCGATCTGAAGCGTTGGAGGTCCAGGGCTAACACGCAGGTGTAGGGTTATACCATTGCTCATCGTTCCATCATTCGAGATAGCCATTGCACTCCCAAGGGAGAGTAATCCTGAGTCGCCGGCTCTGCTCCATCCATCCATTTGGTCTAAGAGTGTTCGCGGAAATGAGCGACGTCTGCACGTAATAGCAGCGACCTCTGCGTGGTTTCTGAGCAATAGCTTTGAAGAAGTGTTCCTCCTCAAAACTCCTTAGACCCACCATCGAGCCTGGCCCCAGATGGTATATATTTCACTGCGCAACAATGGATCATGCTGTATTACCCTTGGCAATGGATCCCATCAGGGCGTAGTTGCACATGAAAATGGGGTGCCAAGAGATGTTCCAAATTCAAACGAGGTCGTCGAAGGCTTGCAACCCTCCAACAACGGGAACAAAAAATTGGCCGCAGAACGGAACCCTCTTGGCGTGACCAAGCAGTGGTTAGCGCTGCAATTATTTTATGCTGACTCGGTGCACATCACAATTTTTGAAGGAAATGGCTAGTAGATTGGGTTTGTAAATATTGTCACGGTGCGAACCTCGCATGCTGTATTATGACCTGTTGTGGACAGCAAGAGTAAGCTTTAATTAGGAGGTCAAAGGGCACAGAGCTCTTGTCCAGGCTGCAGAGTGTCATGGTCGTTGATCCACGCATACACGCGTGGAAATCGGTTTACATGAGTTGGAATTAATTGCTCATGCACCATCTGGTATGAGAGTGCTTGATGATACGATAGCGCAGATCCAAGCCAGGTGAAACGAAGGGGGTGCGCTAGTGCGGATCTACGTAATTCTAAGCCATGCGTGAAAAAATATAATAGTCGATCATCAGGTCAAAAATGGTTCTGGCAAACACCTGGACTTCCCACTCCACGCGAACACAATGGCAATGGCTTGACAGGAGGATATGGCTACATGCATGGAGTTGTATATACGGCTTCATTGCATACAAGGGTGTGCAGAAATGTGGACAATAGTGACAGGTAAAAATAAGTGTTCTTGATATTATCAAGTTACAACCACGATCAGTTGTGAGCGGACGAGCCAAGAAAACCCAAAAACGTGTCATCAAACTAAAAATCGACGCCAGCCACCCACTATTCCCAAACTGAGCACTGAACGGGGCTGTCAGCATTATAATGCAGGTAGTGAGAGAATGCAACGAAAATGGAAATGGGGAGGTCCGGAAGTTCGGAAGGTGTCCAAATTAGTGCCCCAGAATCATATTCGACCTTGAAAGAGCGGTGCGTAGTTTGTTGAGTGACATGTCCAAATTTGAGGTGTGTAATCCTGGGTTGACGGCAACTAGCTCACGGTAGAGTTTAACGCTTTCCTCAATGAATGGAAGCGCCTCCGAGTGACGTCCGAGGTTCGAAAGAGCGTCATATAGATTGTTGAGTGACAAAGCTAAATTTGGGGTGTATGATCCTGGGTGAACGGCAACCAGCTCGCGCCGGAGTTTGACACTTTCCTCGATGAATGGGAGCGCCTCCGAATGCCGTCCGAAATTCGAAAGTGCGCCATATAGACTGTTGAGCGACCAAGCCAAATCTGCATTGTATAATCCTGGATGAATGGCAACTAGCTCGCGCTGGAGCTTGACACTTTCCTCGATGAATGGGAGCGCCTCCGAGTGCCGTCCAAGATTCGAAAAAGCGTTAAATAGATTTTTGAGTGACAAGGCCAAATTTGGAGTGTATGATCCTTGGTGAACGGCAACTAGCTTGCGCCGAAGTTTGACGCTTTCCTCGATGAATGGGAGCGCCTCCGAGTGCCGTCCGAGTCTCGAAAGAGCGCTATATAGATTGTTGAGTGACCAAGCCAAATCTGCGTTGTATGATCCTGGGTGAACGGCAACGAGCTGGCGGTAGAGTTTGACGCTCTCCTCGATCAATGGGAGCGCCTCCGAGGGCCGTCCGAGATCCGAAAGAGCCAAATATAAAGTGCCGAGCGAGCTGGCCAATTCCGGGGTGTAGGACTCTGAGTTCACCGAAGCAAGGCAACGGCAGAGTACAACTGAGTCCTTTGCTGCTTCATACGCCTCCCTGAATCTTGAAAAAAATTCCAGATTCGACTGGAGCTGGAAAAGCACATTGGCCAGCGTGTAGATAGCATCTTTTGACCTTTGGTCAACCGCCAACTGGGAAAACATGAGCTAATTTCATTAACACAATTGGTGATCCACACCTTGGGCCACTCAGGGAGCATCGAGATACTAATGTAGCCTTCCATTCTCACGCAGACTTCAACCCAGCGAGTGGCTTGGTGACTGAGGAATGTGCGAACCGATTTATCGAGCTCCTGCGACCATTCCTGGACTCCACTGAGGTGATAAACTACGTAACGACATGCATAATGCAAGTGCTCGGATAACTTCTCTGGAGGAATGCGTGGTAGTTCATCTTCTCTGTCCAAGTCCTCAATCAGTCCTAAGCCTTCTGAAGAGGAGAGATCCTGAGTCAGGATTCTGGTGCATCGCAGGGCAATTCTAGCATTCTCCCGCTTCACATCCACTGGACTGCAATGAAGGCTGATTGATTGAGGATCGATCCGATCGAGAATAAAGTCGCGGAAGGATTGGTGTAGGACTCGAATCGGGATGTGAGAATCTTCAAGCCCTGAGAAGAGAGGGCCAAGTTCGGCCAACGTATATCGAACCGACGACTTCAAGAAAGGCGACAAAATCGCATCCCAAGCTGCAACAGACAGAGGCTGTTGTGCAACGAAGATGGCTCCTATCACGATTGGATAGTCGTGCGCAAAATCTTCATCCTCCCAGCCACACTTCTTCAAGATACCTGTATATAACCGATCCATCATCCCCTTAGCAGAAACTGCCGATCCCTTCGCGCCTGTGCCAAGCAGTCCCTCCAGCGTCCTCATAGGGTCCTTGGCAGCCTTCCTCATGTAGCGAAAAATGGTACTGATCCAAATAAACAGGCCACCTGCTCGTTCCAAGATCCCCTCTACTACTTTTTCTTCATCCCCGAGTTCATGCCGTATATCGGGATGCCAATTCTTCAGCGTCTGCAGTTGGAAACGTATGTACGTCGCGCAGTCCTGCACGTTTGCATCATCCAAGAGATCTATGGTAAAACGATCGATATGGAAATGGGATGAGAGGGAGCGATTGACACGACCGAATTGTCTTGATGTGATAAAGAACTTTATGAAGGACGGTAATTTAGGCACTTCTTCCCGAAGAATATTGGCAAGAGGCTCAAATGCTTCTTCGTCACATTCATCTAAAGCATCGATGATGACCACCATAGGACGACGGGAAAGTGGAGGCTTATGCAGGAGGAGTGGAGCCACCAATCTCCTGAATTGCATCGCAAACGGTGCTGTTGAGACTGTGGGGTCGTCCTGAAGAGCAGAGATAATGGAGGAGCGATAAACCTGATCGTGGTTTGCTAACGCTCGAGCCATCCCGCTGAACAGACAATCAGGCCGCGACTGTTCACTGGCCTTGAAAAAGAAGCTCAACAACAGGGAATGCTCCCTCGCGCATCGTTCCGCAATCGTGTGCGCAATCGAAGTCTTGCCAGCACCGGCTGCAGCAGTCAGCAGCAGGACACGATTCCCGTCCCTGGTGTTGTGGCACCAGGCCATGATACGGTCCGTCAGACCGACCCTAGTGCCTTCCAGGCACGCCTGAGTTGAGTCATGGTGGGCGACATCAGGGTATCGGAGTCCACCAAGAATCGAGTCATCGTCAATGGCCGGCAATTTCACTCCAACCGTTAAATTCGTTCCAGGCTGCATTGGGAACAATCAGAGGGATTATGGAACGACACCGTGAAGAAAAATTACCCGAAACGACGTGATTGCTTTGTCAAGATCCTTCTTTAGGGAATCAATCCTCCCCGGATCTCTCAAGTGGGACAATGCATTGATTAAAGCCGACCGTTTCTCTATTTTTGTGCGTCTTCGTTCGATTTTGGACTTGATCTTCTGTAACGCACTGAAACTTGATGTAAACACGAAGGCTGTCAAAAAATAGATGAAACTCACCGATCAAGCTCCTCAGCGCTCTCCACCCATAGCTTTGCCTCTTCCGTTGACGGATCATAGGACTTTATGGCTGCAACTACTTCGGCCACGTTGTCCACGACATATTTTCCAAAGCCCTCCCATTCTTTCTTATTCTCCTTGAACTTCTGCCCAACCCAAACCATTAGCCATCGTTCGCGCGAACCCAGCATGAATAATTTACTGACTTGAACCTCGCTGACGATGAAGAGTGCGCCACTAGCCGCGCTCTCTAGAGGAGGGCACATATCGGTCGCAGCGTTGACGGCTGTGAGAATTGGTACGGCTATATCGCCTCCCGCTACGAGGATATCATCGATCTTTTGCCTGAGACTTTCAACTTTTTGTCGCAGTGACATGATGGTCGAAGGAAAGAGATCTCTGTGCACTCAACGGTGAGCTTATAAATGCTCAAGGCCCCTGAGGCCTCTGTACGGTTATATAGATGTAATTTAAGTACTGTGTGCCGGGGCTACTTATCCGTGGGTAATTGAATTGATGGGGGGACAGATGGTCATGCATAACGATCAGGTGTATGAGGACCAGTGTCAGGCCCCTCAGAAATTCAAGTGGACTGAGCACCGAATACGAACTCCGTACGAACTGGCAGTACCAAGAAACCTGAAGAAGGGTTGCCACGGTCGCTGAGGCTTAGCGGCAAGCGCCGGCGGGATTCCCTCTAGGCCGGTGCTGCTCGCCTCCCAAGTCCCCTATTTCTTCTTCTTTTTATTATGTGCCTGTTTCATGTAAGTACGCCCTGGAAGTGCGCACCCCAGATGTTCCGTAACCATACCGTCGATCTCTCATTCCGCTCTTGGGCTGTTATTCAGTGTCGACTAGGGTGCTTCCAACACAGATCCACTTGGTTGCCACCTTGTGGACGCGTCATTTGAGTGCATTGGTCCCACTGAACGTTTACCAATCAGTGAATATAATTGCACCTGTGGCTTCCGTTCCCCACCTCTATGCGTGATACGCGTTCCACATACACAGCGATGGGGTGCGGAATGTGCCCTCGCACTAGACTCCTATATATATTGTGTTATATGCACAAGCGAACTGTCATCACTATGTAATTTTAAGGATGACTGGGACCGCAGAATAATCAATCATCGTCTCCGAGCCCTTATCCTCAGCAATAGCTTAATCGGTTGAATGCAGTCTAGTTCAGACTGAGGCTCAGACGAAAAATGCGGGGTACCAACTGAAGGGACGTTCCAAATTCGAACCACCACGAATGAACAAGCTCGATACACCTTGGTTCCAGGAACGAAAACTGATCACGAACCAAGTCTTCTTGATGCCGACTTGACCCATTTGCAATTTCGGGACCTTAGATATGTTCTCAAACACACTGATTCTCGCTCGAGTGTTGGCAGCCAGGCCCCGCTGATTGTCTTCCAGAAAATCACACCGCTGGTCATGATCAGCAGGAGACTGAATACAGGTTGCGCTTCCTCAGTGCTTTAGTGTTTGATGGGCCACCCGAGAGTGAGTCGAAACAGATCTAGGGTCATGGTGCACGTCATGGTGCGCCGAAGCATCCAAGCAGAGCAACTCAGCAGCTTCCGTGGACCGAACCTGCACATTCTGCAGTCGATTAAGTACTACGGATTTGTGGTGCACACGAAATCCACGAAGTTTTCGTCGGCAGGCATCCAGCCAGTGTCCCACGCATCGAATTGCAATGCATCCTCGCAGCGACTTCTTGCATTGTGAAGATAGCTCATTTCGGTCTGGAATCACCAAGCATCCTCTTGGACACAATAAGTACTAAGCCAAATGCAAAACTCAACCAAAGGGGCAGCAAAGCCGCATGTACCGCTACCTTGCAGGCCTCTGATATGTACCAGGAATGAGAGTCTAGAATCCCACCAGATGGGAGAGCGTATGGAGAATCTCGTTGGGCTGAATTGCGTATGACCGGGCCAGTAGAATAACAGTGGAGTGCAAGCTTTGGGATACTGAAATGCGAAGTCACAAGCGACCAAGTGTAAAGAATGTAGTGGTCCGTCCCAGTCAACACGCGAGGCCAGTGAGCAATGAGTGTTTCACATGTGGCTGCATACCGGGGAACAATTAAATAACAGTGAAGTCCGTGCATTATTGTCAACGAATGGAGAAGATCGAGAGCTAAGGACTTATAGCATGCCTCCTTCCTGACTATGATCGAGTGAAATTGAGTGGCCACTGGCGTCGCCTTTATTCTGTAAATCCAGTGGCGTAAGGACTGGACGTCGCCGCTCAGCAAGACCGTTTCCTTCGTCCTTAGATGACACCGCGCGATTTGATCTTATAACACCCGAAGCGGATGCAGAAACGAGCGATCCAGTACCGTCAGTTGTAGCACGACGAGTTGGTGTTGCCGTCAATAATGGGCCGCGTCGGTTGAACGAATCGTTCTGGAGTTTTGCAAACCGTGGACTGTGGGGTGAAGACGGGCCATCAAATGACGTCCATGAAGGGGAGTACATTGGGACAGAGGGACTAGGCAATGGACTTGTGATGTGAATATCGACAGGACTAGGTGTGCGTGTTCTGTTTGGTGTTCGGGGCGCAATGATCCCGTCGAGGTTTCGGGAAGTGCGTTTACGGCGGATATCTGGAAGCGCAGATATAATTGGGCTAAAAATTTTTTGGAACAGCGTCTGGTTGGGAAGTGGAGTGGATTGCTCAATGCGGATTGATGGGGCAGAGCCGGAAAATGGGTCGTCAATCGTCAACACCGGTGTGCCGGGAACGCTCGAGTCACCTGGATTGAAGCAGTTAGAGTGAAGCTGAGTGGACACCATCCAACGTACCGTGAGAAACTGGGAGTGCATTATCGTTGGCACTCAGGCTTAAGAATAAAAACAACGGCACAAGCCACACGCATACGCCGAAAAAAGTTGAGATTTCGGCGAAGGTGAGCGCACCTTGAGGGGGCTTCCAATTTGCGTGCCCATACCGGGCTGCATGCGTCCGTTTCGAAAAGTAGAAGAACCATACGAAATGGTCGGTCAGTACTAACAAACACGAAGATATGAAAGAGGGGGAGGTAAGGGATATCAAGGGCCAGGAGGGTGTGAAATTCGAGAGGTAGACGCAATGGCAGAGTATGGAAAATGCGATTTGAGGGAAGGGGAAAGAATCAATGAGCCAGAGCAGTACATGCAGAATGATAACAACCTGGAACGCGGTCAGCGAGATGCAGGCGATATAATGTACACTCACATATATGGTTCGTGTCCCAACAACCTTTGCTGTTGTAGAGTGCTCTTCAATGACCTCCGACAGCCACAGAAGACCGCTTGCTGCAGAAGACGGATCAGAGAAGAGAACTTAATCCGGGGGAATGATTCATACCTAAGCTAAGGGTAACGAATAAGAAGGTTGCGAAGATGGCAATATATCCCAACCCATGCAATACAGATACCATGGCACCATAGACGGTCAGCGAGCCGCGATAGTTGTGCCTTTCCAATATTATATCTCTGTCGGGACGGTCATCTGACTGCTTCCAAAGACTCGGCGGTTGACTTGCGCCAACGGAACAAGCGAACGATGAGCAACCTGGAAAGTACGGCCGATTGATGTTCCCTGGCTCTCATGAGACTGATGTTGTGGCAGAGACACTCTTTCAGCTTAAAGTCCGCACGATGATCCTGAGGTCCCTGTTTCACCCCTCACTCTCTGTCTTTTCCACAGTTCACTGCCAAAACTCTGAATCGTCAGTCGAAGAAGGCTCAAAAGGATGAGACCTCGGAGAAGGCCAAGCTGAAGAAGGTAATATTCATTTACACAAAACCTTTACATCCAGACTCTGACATTGGATCTCGCTGCAGGCGCTTGTGCAGGGTAACACGGACGGAGCCAGGATTTATGCGTCAAACGCCATACGAAAGAAGAATGAGGCTCTGAATCTACTCAGACTCTCTAGTCGGATTGATGCAGTGGCTAGCCGTGTCGAGACTGCTGTAACAATGCGTCAGGTCCGTTCTTTCCCATCTCGATGAATGGCAGTGTGACTTGTCCTTCCTCTGTATAGGTGTCGGGAAACATGGCTTCTGTGGTCAAAGGAATGGACAAAGCTATGGACTCCATGAATTTAGAACGAGTACCTGTTTCGGGATTCTGCACAACTGATGGTTACTGAATGATCTTCCAGATCTCTCTTATCATGGACAAATTCGAAGCTCAATTCTCCGATCTAGAGGTGCAGACTTCGTATATGGAAGATACGATGGTGTCCACTGTTGCCACCACAACACCACAAGATCAGATTGACTTACTCCTGCAGCAAACTGCAGAGGAAGCGAATATTGAGGTCCAACAAGGTCTTGGTGCGACTGATCTTGCCGGGAGGGTACCTGAGTTGAAGGAGCCGGAGTCAAAGCTCCACGATGAGGATGCCGAGCTAGTCAGCAGATTGAGATCCCTGCGGCCCGCGGCCACCTCCTAACTTTCCATGACCCATCCAACCTTTTCATTCTAGCATCCTTACGACAGATTTTTGTATGTTCATATGCTTTGACTTTGTAATATCAGGTAGCAGGAATCCGGGTCGACGGAAAGGTGATAAATAAGTAAATGTGCTGGTCTCAATTACAGTACGAAATATAGGATGTCCATGCATGCAAAGGGATATGATCTACTTAGAGTATGAGGATGGCGGCAAGAAAACAGCCAAATATTGAGACTGCGAAACCAATGAGTCCACTCAAATCCCTAGAAAACCTAGCAGACAATTGAGCGTCACCCCTTCCAGGGTAGTTCGATGGGAACCCGGTTCGCGAGTAATCGCTTAAGGCGACAATGGAACCGGAGGATACGACAAAGGACGAGAAAGGCGGCAAGGCAGTGCCGGTCTGTGTTGGTGATGGGAATGCTAAATTCATGGTATTGGTATCGGTATTTAACTTCTAAAGTAGGGCTTACTCTTCGCGGGGAGAGTAGATGTAGTAGATCCAATGGTCGAACTATGGGTTGCAACAGGATCAGCCCAAAATAGGAAAGTCGAGGGCTGGGTGTCTTACATTACGGTCGAGGCAGTCGTTCCTGCTACGGGATCATCGGAAAGGGACAAAATAACGGTGGACCCAGAACTGCACAACGCGACAGAGTTGCGGAACCCGTGTTAGTCGCCTCGATGGGCTAGTGACGAACGGCAATACTGACATATCAGTAGTGGTCAACAGGGACTGGGCTGCTACAAGGGAAAATAGGCAAGTCAAGGCGAGGGAAAAAGGGAGCGTCCGCTTCATTTCTTTCGTTCAATAGTGGGTGAGGCAAAGAGCTTGTGGCGGTAACGTCCCCGGCTAAACCCGACTGACTTTCACTGTCCTACCTCTCGAGTCAAAAGTGGACGCGAACCAAGGCGTTCGACTGTAATCTTGCCCTTATAGACCTTCAGCCACTAGAAGAGTCATTTTAGTGTATCAATTATGTCCGGAGGGCTAAATGCTGACGATTCCAAGCTGGTGTTCGAGTCCAGCGAAGAAGTTTCGGTTGTCTCGACATTTGACAGCCTTGGATTGAAGGAGGACCTCCTGCGCGGCATTTATGCCTACAGTGAGCTGGTTTCGTAAAGATTCTCTTATTTCTATTCACATGGTTTCTGTTGGGAAGATTTCGAGAAGCCATCTGCCATTCAACAGCGTGCCATTCAGCCGATTGTCAGAGGACGAGATGTGATCGCCCAGGCACAATCTGGTACCGGAAAAACGGCCACTTTCTCAATATCCATTCTTCAATCTATGGATATCTCTGTTCGCGACACTCAAGCTCTCGTCCTGTCGCCAACGCGCGAACTCGCCACTCAGATCCAGTCTGTTGTGCTTGCTCTTGGGGATTACATGAATGTTCAATGCCACGCCTGTATTGGAGGAACCTCTATTGGAGAAGACATCCGCAAGCTTGACTATGGCCAGCATGTTGTGTCAGGAACACCAGGGCGAGTATACGACATGATCAGGCGCCGACACCTTCGTACGAAAACCGTTAAGATGTTGGTGCTCGATGAAGCAGACGAACTCCTCAACAAGGGTTTCCGTGATCAAATCTACGATGTATACCGCTATCTACCCCCCAACACACAGGTGGTGCTCCTTAGTGCCACTTTGCCTTACGATGTGTTAGAGATGACCACAAAATTCATGACAGATCCCATCCGTATCCTTGTAAAACGTGATGAGTTGACGCTGGAAGGGATCAAACAGTTCTTCGTTGCCGTCGAGAAGGAGGAATGGAAGTTTGATACGCTATGTGACTTATACGACACACTCACCATCACCCAGGCCGTCATTTTCTGTAACACGCGGAGAAAAGTGAGTCATTCGAATATTTTTTTGTCTTCCAGTCCCTAACCGAGGTCCTTAAGGTTGATTGGCTGACAGAAAAGATGCGAGCCGCCAACTTCACCGTGTCATCCATGGTACGCAGCTTGTCTGATTCTCTGTTTGGATTACCCTCGTTACTTAGTGATGTCATTTACATTATAGCATGGCGAAATGGCTCAAAAAGAACGCGATGCGATTATGTCGGAGTTCCGTGGTGGATCGAGCCGTGTCCTTATCACGACAGACGTTTGGGCGCGTGGTATTGATGTACAACAGGTTTCTTTAGTGATTAACTACGACCTTCCTTCGTAAGTGGACAGACGTGTTTTAATCATGCCCTGTTGACGCGCCTTTTTCAGCAATCGTGAAAATTATATTCACCGTATTGGTCGCTCTGGTCGTTTCGGGCGCAAGGGAGTTGCTATCAATGTGAGCATGCCTCTTGCCACACCTCTCGTGAAAACCTGACCACTTTCTTTGCGCCAGTTCGTGACCATTGAGGACGTCCGGATATTGCGTGATATCGAACAATACTATAGCACACAGATCGTGAGTCCGGTACTCGGGCCTCTAATATTATTGATACTGAGTGACCTACATAGGATGAAATGCCTGTTAATGCTGCAGAGTTGATTTAAGTTCGGCTTGGATGTGCATTATAATGCTCCCGGGTTGTTTTTAGTATCTCTTGAGACTGTACGGTACCTCGCTGCCCGTTCGGTGGTAGTGGATGGTTCCAAATGCGTAATGACATTATTGCACCGTGCCTGTTTTGAGTTTTCACGAAGCTTGATGTGACGAGTCTGGACGTGACCTTGTCTTGTGTGGCAGTGTCAAAGTTTTTCAATCGGACGTCCGCTAACCATCCTTTCGTCATGGACGCTTTCTATCTTCTTTCTCGTGGCGGCGTCCATTTCGACAAAACGCGGTTCAAAAAGGATGTTCAGCTATTCGATTCCAAGCCTCCTGAGGCATCTAAACCACTGGATGGACTGCAACCTGGAGAACTGCCGCAAGAGCTTGACTTCTTCAAGTATGCGCAGAAGAACCCGGATGATTCTGCGAAGCAGAAAGGGAAAGGGAAGAGGAAGGAACGTAATCAGTCTTTAACACAGTCCTCAGCGGAAGAAAAACATGAATCGACCTCGAATCCCAAGAAGAGGAAAGCAGATGATTTGGGTGAACACTCTCGATTCTTCTTCCATCACCATTTCCTCATCGTATTACTTATTCAACGTTAGATGAGGATAGAATTAAAGCAATGGCACAGCAGGATATTTCGACAACTGGAGTAGATGTGCCCCCACGGATAACCGAATTCTCGGATTTGGCAGAACGTTACTCTGTCCCTGCCCAGCTGCTGAAAAATTTGGCCGAATACGGCTTCGAAGTCCCGACTGCGATCCAGTCTCAGGGGATACCCATACTTCTCGAGGTATGCCTGTCGCTTTTCATTTTAACGCTTAAATTCAATACTAATTCTCAGTTTAGCAGAGAGACATGGCGGCTATATCTCCAACCGGTACTGGGAAAACTCTAGCTTTTCTTCTCCCAATTTTCTCAAAGCTGGAAATGCCATCCTCGTCTAAGACTGCGAAACCTGAAGTTGTCGGCGTTGGGATACGGGCGATAGTGTTAGCCCCCACGCGGGAACTGGCAAGTCAGATTTACAATGAGGCTCTTAAATTAGCTCGGGGAAGGAAATGGCGGATGGTGTTATTCAATGGGGGTGTTATCTCTCAGAAAGAGGCTAGAGATAAAACTGGTGAGATTTCATCGCGCAATACACGAAACCCCATTTCATTTCCCCTCTCTCAAGACATCATGATAAGTACGCCGATGCGTCTCGTGGCAGCCATACAGGAAGGGACAATTGAACTTGATAAGTGAATTCTTTTAACAACTGAATATTCAATGTGTATCACTCACAAGCCCTTGTTCAGCGTCCGATATCTAATATTCGATGAGGCTGACAGATTACTGGAAGGGAACTTCCGAACTCAAGTTGAAGAGATCATGCGCGCTTGCTCGCACCCGCTATTGAAGAAAGCACTGTTCAGTGCAACGCTACCTGAGGGCGTGGAGAAGCTAGCCCGGAGTTTCCTCTTTGATCCTATTCGAGTTATTGTGGGCACAAAGTTAGTAGTTATTACCGGCATTTTCGTTGGGCGTTGGAATTTTCTCGAACCGTTCTGTAGAGATTCCGCTCCTCTCAGCATCAAGCAATCCCTCGTTTATGTGGGAAATGAAGCAGGGAAATTAGCAACTCTCCTTCAACTCCTTGCCAACGCCCCCCCTGTCCCTCTTCTAGTCTTCGTACAGTCCCGGGAGCGAGCTGCTGAACTTCACCAGGAGTTGGTGTATGATGAGGTGTCCGTCGACAGCTTACATGCGGACCTAACGCCGAAGCAGCGGGAAGAAAGTTTTCAGAGACTAAGGGAGGGGAAAACATGGGTAATGATTAGTACGGAAGTGATGGCGAGAGGTATGGATTTTGGAGGAATACGGGCGGTCTTAAATTATGATTTCCCTCAAAGCGTTCAGAGCTATATTCATCGGATCGGTGCGCTTTCTCTTCATTTCCTCATCGTCTCCGTTGCCCACAAAACAGGGATGTTTAGGTCGAACTGGACGAGCTGGACGCGAAGGTGATGCAATAACATATTTTACCCTCGACGACGCTCCGTACCTCAAGTCGTAAGTCCCAGTTACGTGTTTATATTTTCCCGTCAGTTCTTATACATACAACAAAGCATTGCGAACGTCATATCGGCGTCTGGGTGGACCATTCCGGAATGGATATCAAAACTACCTAGTCCCTCCACTTTAAAGAGAAGGCTCTTAAAGCGCGCCCCGATAAAGCGAGAGCCCATCCGGGTCTCTTCAGGAAGAACTGTTTTCCTAGACGAGGAGCGAAAGGCGAGGGCGGCGACGAGGGGGGTGATGACAGCGGGGAACAAGAGACGAAAGCTCGGCAAGGCAGAAAAGACGAAGAGAAAGACGCCAAATCCCCAAGGAAATAGGAAGGACGGGGCACCAAAGGCCGTCCAGAAGGTAGACATAAATGAGGATGATTAGATTAAGATACATTTAGTTTGCTTTCTGTAATTATCGGGCATGTCAAAAGGACACGGGTTTCGGTACGAAACGATCGACGACGACTCAGTCCCACCGGTTCCAGGAGTCATGTCTTGGAAGAGGGTGGCGGAGATGTCATTTTCCAAGATTCCCACTTCACTGGCACCACCCTCCCATCAGTCGGCGACGTCGGATTTAACGAGTTTTCTCCATCCCCGCTGAGGGCTCGGGGAATATCGCCTTGTTCTCCCACTCGGGATGGGTCACCAAAGTGTGAGTCAGGCTCATCTGACACAAGTGAGCCGTGCGAAGGTGACGAAGGTGTGGAAGAGATTGATGGAGAGGGTGGTGGCGACCTCCTGCGAATTTGGTGAGCCCTGATCGTTCGCGAGCTTGCAGGAGAGGTGGGAGTAGGGGGTGACAGATCAAGAGAAGGACGAATCGCTGCGCCATCAGGTGATCGAGACAAGTCTGAGTTTAACCGATGCTGCGAATGGGTACTCTCGATGTCCGGTTTGAACGAGTTCTCATCTGTGTCTCGTTCAGGATCCGATGTGTCGTCTGTATATAGTGGTTCCCTGGCGGCTTCATCATCTTCGCTTTCTCCTCGGTTCGTTAGTCCTTTGAACTTAACGATGGAGTCAATAAGCCAAAACTGCAATACGTTCATCGTTATTGGGAACACTCCCATCACACTGACGAAAATAATAAGCATCGGAGAAAAAGTCGTCCATATTATATTTCATGTATGCAGACTCACAAGATAACTTGCAATGCTGTCTTGTCTTTCGACCAACCGAGTAGCCACTTGCCGAAATGGTTCAGCCATGAGATTAACGATATGGCACCCATTCCACTCTTCATGATAGCGAGCACGACAACATAGATAGCGGCTTGTTTCGCCCACCACTTGACAGAAGGCGGATTACCATAGACGCCGGACGTAATGCCTTCAATTTTGAACTTGGTTTCCAAGATAAACGTGAAGAAGTGAATCAATGTGTATATGAGCCCGACACCTGAACGAACGTGGGGAGTTGATACGGGATAGAAACTTGGGGTGAAGTGAATCCTACCGATTGTTGTGTCTAGGAGGATGTTGAGAAAGTACGTGACGCATGGATTCTTTAGGGCATGGCTCCCTTCGATCATGCTAATAAGGACGTTGCTCCCATGCAATATCGCTTGGCCAACCACTTGTTTCGAGACATCAAAGACCCTTCCAAAAAAACCCAATAGACAATGTCAATCCAGAACCAGTAAGCAAGTTGAGTACATGAACTAAAATCACCAAATGTTCCAAGCCCGACGTGGACGCTCCCGATGGCGTTTGTATAATAACGAGGCAATAACGATGACACCCATTAGGGCTTGTACGACCAGAGCTGTTGGGCCTAAGAGACGACATTGCTTGTCCACATCCGCTACCGGAGAATCCAGTGTACCATCAACATGAATCGGCATTCCCTCCGAAGTGCGTTGACCGAGGGGTGTTGACTGGTGTTGATGAAACAGCGGGGGAGTAGCTTGAGAAACAGGAGAGGATAGCTGTGCAGGATCTGCAATCACGCAAGTGTAGAGAGGGGTTCAGATGTGAGAAATCGCCAGGAGAACTGTTCTAGCACAGGCAAGAGCTGTGCAGCAAACACCAAGCTAAGGCTTGCGATTATTCTGACAGAAAAACACAGCCAAGCATGGCAACAATATAATTCGGACAACCCCGCTATATACAATGCAGCTAAAAAGGCTAAACCCTGTTAAAAAAACAAACAAGGATCCCAGGTCAACTTGCAGGTCAACCAACGGACGGGAGTACGCAATTAAATGAAATATGCCAAATGTGCGATAGACTCTGGAAGCGACGGAAAATCCCGCTTTGAAAATAACCCAAAAAACCACCTATTCACCCCTGGGGCCAAGATAAAGCAGAACCGTCGGCTAGAAGCGATGGGATGGCAACGAGTCAACAGGGGGACACGTCCTCCACCATCTCTTGCAACGATGTCAGCCAAAGTGGACTCTTGGACGCTGAAAAAACAGATGATGAGATTACAGGCATTCCGACATCGCCCACTTCGACTCAGTAACCCCTGAATGGATCTCTCATAAGGGAAGAATGGGCATGATGGAGCACTCGGGACCTGGAAGGCGGAAATCTGGCATCACAGACAGAACATCGTAAGTGATTGACACAAACCGCGAAATAGCAAATCGTTCCGACCATTGATACCAAGGACGAGCAAGCTTATGCGACCAAAAATTGGGAGGCAGTAGGTCATTCCATGCAAATGATCAGAGTAAACGCGTTGTAACTCTGGCTCAAGTTTATCGCGCAATGTTAACCCTCACAAAAGTAATATGATAACAAAGTGCTCCTCATTGCATTTACTTTCCAGCTGAAGGGTACGCCTTGAGTTTTTGTGTGATGCATTGGAATGCATTGAGAATCCCGTGCTTTGGAGCCACAAATAAATTCAACACCTAGGTTGAGTCTCGCTTGCCCGATCCCCGAAGCACTGCATGAACATAGATTTGACGCGTAGCAAGCCCAACCGCAAAAAAGTATTGATTGACCAGAACCATCACAGCCCAAGGCGTGATATCATGGAGGAATTCATGGCAAGAGAGGTTGAAGAATAAAACGAAATTACGTTCGGATTCCAAGCGTAAAGGGGTCATCAGTCTATGGGGGTGTGAATCGTGCAGATAGTGATACAATGTGCAACATATATATGTGTGTATATGTCCATCAGATGTGGTGGCATATGGGGGATGCGAATCCATGATGGTTCTCCCCCGCGGGGATGTTGGCAAAAAAGAGCAGCCTGAACAGACACAGATGTCAAAGGCAGTTTAGTTGTCATGATCATCGAGAGGTACAACAGCATAAGAGCCACTACCACCTCCAGACGAAAAAATAAGGGGTCCAGGAGAGATGGAGTTGCGGTGCGACCGAGGATCGGACAGAATGAAGGAGCTTCGAGATTGAGATGCGGACGAAGCGATGGAGTCTCGAAGCGCCCGAGGATCAGACAAAATGAAGGAGCTTCGAGGAGATTGAGATGCGGACGAAGCGATGGAGTCTCGAGGCACCCGAGGATCAGACAAAATGAAGGAGCTTCCGGGAGATTGAGGTGGGGACGAAGCGATGGAATTTCGAAGCGCCCGAGGATCAGACAAAATGGAAGAACGTCGAGGAGAATGAGCTGCGGATGAAGTGATGGAGTTACGAGGCCCCCGAGGTCCAGACGGTTTGGTAGACGTTGGTGCCCGCCCCAACGAGATGTCGGACGAAACACTTAAATGGCGACTGCTCGACGCCGTACGACTTTCCAACAAGCCTTCTTCCTCCTCGTGGCCTCCCCGGCGTGGCAGCGTACGAGCGGTGTTATTGTCCACATTTATGTTTTCATCCATGGATACATTCGCATAAGTGCCCTCATAGATATCGGGAGCCACGGACGAACGATTCGAATGACTCGAGTCCTCCGATGCCACTTTCTGGTGCTTAGCCTCTCGTATCGTGACCCCCAGTTCCACAGTGTCCCGTGTTTCGCGGTAAAAATTGCGAATGCACCATCGCAAAGCCATGCCTATCATGATAGCAAGTCCTACACTGACAACGACAAGTATTGCCACAAGGCCACCGGATACCTTTGAACCTGCGGAACTGTGGGGGTACAATCAGGGCATCAGATTGACACATTTGAGAATTGAATGCAGGCAGCCCATTCGTACCCACTATCTGCTCGGCCCTGAATGCGCATGATTCGAGATGAAGGAACATGGGTTGATAAAAGTGGTTCTTTCAACTCTGACGTCTTCAGACACGATTGATCTGAGGAATGCAAAACCGTCAAAGGCTCTGTGTTTCACAGAGAATGTCAGAAAAAGTAATGTGGCATGAAAACTTTGAAGAACGCACTGGAAAACTCCTGACGGCCCTGATCATCGACCGTTCCAAAAATAACCTCGCTACCTATTAAGGAAAGCCCGAATCGATTGAGCCACGGCTCTGCACATGCCTTACCGCGCTTACCGCCAGGTGCTTGCACAATCCATGTACGCGACGGATTGGAGGTATCCAGACGTCCCAAGTCAGCCAACGGGCGTTCAGGATCGGAGCTATCATGGACAAAGACGTGGAGGTGACCGAGATAAGCTTGGCTGCATTGGGGCGCGTAGCTCGAGCCTGAATACTTATCATAAGCTTCAATGGGAAATTTGGATCAACAGCCCGGATAAGAGTGGGGTGGCACTGAACGAGTGGCGAAGACCTTTTAGTTCATACAAAGGATATTAGTATGACGCGGCGCTTAGTCTTCCAGGTCGTAAAAATGAGCCTGAGTTTAGCCACTGGCTTCACTTACAGTATGTTTACATTCGGTAAATAATCCGCAGAACAGAGTTCGTAGGATTCGTGAGAACGACACGAAGCGCCCTGGACGCGTCGTATCAACGAGGTAAACCGCATGTTTTTTTTCGTGGCAGCGGGGCCTTGAAAGACGAAGACACGACAGCGACCTTTTCGTGGTCTCGTGGAAAGACTGTGTTCAAGCAGAGACGGGGCCGGGCTGCAAGAGGATCAAGAAAAAAAGCGCTCAAACCCATTTTATATGAGATTGCGATCTTACAACAGGGCACACAGCCCAAAATTGCAAATCAACTAATTTGCTGCGCGCAGTTCGGTCGTTATATCGATTCGAATTGGATAGTGACGCCACCACTTGACACACTTTTGGCAAGCTCATATCCTCTGGCGATGACTGACAGCGACGCGTAACATCCAAAATCAGAACATGAAGTGTACGTGGCGCTTTCGAAAATATAGCGAAAACAATTCATTCCGGCAACCGCCCTCCAGGATCAGTGCCGTAGCTATGCAACTAGCGTCCATATGTTCAGGCGCCAAGGCGTTTTCAGTCCGCTTTCGGGGTGGCAGGGAGGGAGTGGAGATGACAGGACCAGGACGCCCACAGTTTATCAATAATTGCCGGTCGACCGTTGAATCGATCGACAAAGCCGCAACAAGCAATCTGATGCTGTGTCAGCCACAGCGATGCAATCTGTTATGTATTGTGTGACCCTTTGGACCCGGCGTATAATCCCATAAACCGGGAGTCTGACATCAACAGCGCTTTGTGCTTGACTCAGCACGGGCAAGAAAAGCGATGGCCAGCTGTACCCAACCCAGACCGAAACATCATGCACACGCTCGCGCGCGCCAACTAACGTCAGGAACAAGGTACGCGCAGGCAGATCTAATCATAAAACCAGGCACTCCGACACGCTCTGAGCCTAGGTTGCGTGCCAATTTGGGGAATTCTGCCTTCCCATTCGGGATATGTCTAGCGTGCGCTGTCGCAGCAGGTGGGAAGAGCCCAGGCGAGCGCCACGCGCATACGCTATGGCACTGCAGCTGTAGCTGAGCTATGGTTGCTCCGACTCTGCCGGAGTCCGTTCATTGGAGGTTCCAGCCGCTTGTTCCAATTCAGTCCTCACTCACATTCATATCACATTCCTCAAGTTCTGGGCACACTTGTGCAGCTGCGCTTAGCGTGCATATCTCCATTAGACTGCGTCAGCTTGGGGCATGCAAACGGAGGCCTTGCGGTGTCTCTCTCCACTGCAAGCTTTTGAGAAAGACTTGTGTTTTCCCTGAACGCGAACAAGACACTTGGGAGCCCCTCTGGTTGGAGTTGCATTTCGTTCAGCCCCTCCCTTCGTCGCACATGAGCTCCATCTCACTTCAACATGCATGTTTGCCTGGAAGTCAGCACTAGCGCATTCTCGACTATTTCTCAACGTTTGACTCTGACTGGTGACTGCTCTGGAGGCAGTGCCGATACCTACCTACCGTCGCCAATAAGAAAAATTTCCCCGTGCTCCCGACCTTGGAACCAAGACAGATTTCTTGTGGTTTGAGTCACTTCTCCTGAGCATACGGATACTATGGTAACCTAGCAGCTTTTGATTGCATCCTGATAATCAAACCGAGCGAGCCCGTGAGCGTTTCGGCTCTGGCAGTAAGTGCATTGGTATAGTACCCGCATTTACCCCCCTAGTATCCTGCCCCCCGAAGAGGTGATGATCAAAGCCCAGCAAGCACGTGGCAGATCGTGCTCTTAGGAGCCGCCACCACTAATACTGCTACATCGATGGCAACTTCCTCGTCTTGAATTCGCCAGTGATATTTTATCTTTACACTGGCGCGCCTCACGTATAATCTTAGAACGCACAGGGATCCCCTAATGATCGTGACAAGGAACATCATACTATGATATTCCTCACCGTCTTGAAACTTCCTCCTTTCAGAGGATATTCCACCACCATCACATTCTTTGGTCGTAATTTAGGCAATTCACTATTTATCGAATTCGCTGTCCCGTAAAACTACCGGACCTTGCCTCTCTGGTTGGGCTGGTTGGGCTCGGATTGGCTTGGCTTTCCTCATATTTTTTGTCCCATGGGATTGCGAAAAAGAGGCAGTAGCTGCTGCATCGAGTGTTGGAGCATTAAGCACCCCCCGCACTGCCAGTCGGAGCGGGTGGCGGTGAGACCAGAGAGGCATCTCCATCACTCCTAAGGACGCGTTGCCTCTTTGGGGCGCCGGGAACTAGCTTTGTGCGTGAGTCCGGACGCCAAGAGATGCTTCGCCTCGTTTTCTCGGGCCCCTGTTTCAGGGGGAGGGTCATTGGGGTCATATCCCCGAGTTGGGGATCACGACTAAATACATCCCGCTCCCGTCCAACTCGGTAGCAAGGCTTCTGTTGCTAGATGTAGTGCCCAGCCGTTGCAAGCCAGTGTCGGTTTTATCCCACCTCTGGGATGTGGTGGTAATCCCTCTTGCTGACCAGCTAGGCTGCGACGTGGTTACGGGTTGACTGCTATCTCTCCTCTGACTAGTCAGAAGTGTGGGACTGCCCGCCCGGAGATCGGGTATCGGCTAGCGATGATCGATTTTCAGGTTCCTGACTCCGCAGCCTTGAAGATGAGAACCAACCGAGAGTCCTGCATCCCTACCTTTTTTGGTTAGTGGGATACTGCCCATTCAAGTTGGGAAACCGTCCTATCGATCCTGACAGGACATCCCCGAACATGGATAGACTTCCGAGTTTAACTGCAGGTGAAGCGTCCAGAGAAATCCCCAATCCGATATGTGGGAGGGGACCAGGAGTGGTGTCAAGTCTTGAATTATGTCACTGATTGACGGGCGGTCCTGGTGTGCTTGACAACACAGAGAAAGAATGCGCTGTATCGTTCCTTTAGGTCCCACTCCCAATGGGCTTGATACTTCCCAATGGCATCAATCAGCCATTGATCATTCGCAATAGGGAAAAGACGTTGGTTGAATGATATCTGCCGAAACAGTCTTGCCTGAATAGCTGTGCACTCGAACGCGTATATATCGCTTTCCATTGTCTTAATCCCAACAATAACTTGAGGCGCAGAATACCTTATTAATTTTGGAAATTTCGCTCTGAAGAGATGTTCCATTCACGGGTGTTCCTACCGGTTTTGAATTGCCGTGAACGATGGCTGTGAAGATCATATCCCGAAGCTTATTCATGTCAGGGTAACTCAATAGCGTAAGGGTAGATAACATTCCTTACCAATTGGATCCTGGTGCGTTCTCATCGCCGTTCTCACAACCACTCGGATACCAAGATGGCCCTCTCCCTTGAACGTTTGCCTTTATGGCGTACCCAATAAATTAAGATTAAGTCCTTCCATATCTTCACTTCCTGAGTCAAGCGCTAAGTAAGCCACATAGACATGCATGAGAGTTGCTTTGAACACTTAAACTGACATCCAGCACGCCGGACAAGCCGATTCTGAACCCCTCGAGGAATACGTTTGTAGCCGGATCGACGTAGGGATTCTCGTCAATCACTGGTGCGTGGTGGATAGTCTCCAAAACTTAAGTCCCATAGTTGCTTGTGAATGGGGTTGAGGGTGACGTCGAGTGATTGGTTCTGGATATTTAACGGGTGAGTGAGGCAGTGGAAAAATCGGCGTGATCAGCCTGACGAGGGGGCAGTGGCTCTTCGGGCATTGGGCCCAGGGTTTTATAGAATAATTACTAGGCTACACGCAAAGACTCGGTCTCGATCTGGAGAACTGAGGGAGGGGAAACTTGCGGCACACAGCGTATCTTATACGACTGGCGCCAATATCGATTATAGCGATGGCGTGTGCATGTGATAAATATAACCGGCGATAAGAACCAAGACAAAAATCATTGAGAGCGCGTAGTATCGGTGAAAGTACGCGTCTCTGAAAAAGATTGGGCATAAGCATCGTCAGCCACAATAAATAGAAGTTCCACAGCTCCCCGACCATCCATCGTATTCGTAGTCACTCGATAGTCGATATTCCAATATTTAATACAAGCTTCATAATTTGCCATGATTGAATGCATGCCACCACACCTCCCCTTCACCGCGAGACGCGCGTGTACATACTACTGAAATCATCCACAGGCAAGATGGTGCTGCCCAGCGCGGCGGCAGCATGCATCGTTACGCCGCGCCAATGCGCAGCATCCCACACCAATCGATCCTCCCCGACACATCTGCGCATCCTTCGATTCGTAACTCAGCCCCGATGTTGTATACAAGCTTAGCAGATAGCCTATATGATAATAATAATTGTTGCCTCGCGCTCGCCTCTCGTTGATATTCGAGTGTACGTCACGAAATAACGTATTACGTGCCCGCTGAGTCAACTCCTACTTCCCACATTTTCACTGCGCACAGACACAACTCCCCACCCTCAAAAAGCAAATCACTGACGACTTATTCCCCTCATACTTACCTTGACCTGGAGAGCCCTTTCATGTTCTGGGATCTCTGGTACCAGGGATGCATCATTGCACGGCGACCAAGTTGGCCGCATTGTGACCTTGGTGTTTGTATATTCCTTACCGGAGTATGCAGGGTCTCAATCTTTGCCTGCTCGTTGCGGCCCTTCGGCTGCTGCGGGCCAATTTTCTTTTTGTCAGTTCTTCCTATAACTCCTAATCCCAACAATCATTTGATCCAGGTGTATTTAACTAACTCGTTTGAATGTGACTATCCATGCGAGTGTAATGCGTGATCAGATCAATGTGAGACCGCAGTGGAAAGTAAACCAATCGCGGTATTGCTTGTGAGGCTTTTGTACCTGTACTGGCAATATTGCTCCGTGGAAAAACCCGGGTTGTGTTGCTCAGATTCCGCACCGTCGGTGTTTTACTTTTAGGGAACTCATGGTTTCTTGTTAAGTATGGATAGTGATACGCCTCAGTCAAACGCGAAGATGGCGTTGTTGTAATATTGTGCTAGTCATAACGACAACGCCTCCTCGTCGTCAGTTGCAAGTCCACGTGATACACAAGGCCACTAACGACAACAGCGACAAGACGGATGCACCACATGCCACGGTCCTATGTCGCGCTGCAGCTGCAGCTCAACTACGGTTGTTCCGACTCTACCAAAGTCTGTTCATTGCAGTTTCGCCCATCTACTTCCCACTTCCGCTATGTTCACCTTATCCTCCACACATTCCTTCTGGTAGGCAGGATCCCAGCCTATCATCCTTCTGGCCACACTTTGTGCAGCTGGCGTTGAGCGTGCATGTCAATTCCCTTTTAGACAACATCACCCTAATGTAATTGTAATGGATCTCAGGCTGTGCAAACGGAGGCTACACAGCAGAGACGGGTACGTCTTTCACAGCAATTGTGTGTTTCTCGAGAAGAAAGAACATTGCGCGTTTTCATGCGCCTTTTAAACCTGAGCTCCAATTCTTGTCTTGTATCGCTTGCACTACGTATACGAACGAACTTGCAGATGCCTGTTTGGCGTAATAATCACTTTTCCTTAAGCCCCTTGACTGAATCCCGATGATCAGATTGATGAGGTTACGGGCGTAGCTTTGGTATCGTACCCCCTCCGCATTTACTTGGCTGGGCTGTCGTGTTCGAGGAGGCGACGACCATAGGCCGGCAGCGCAATATGCAAATCGAGAGGCGGTTGTACCCGCCCACCGTAGAACTATTGCGGGGCCGAAGCCATGCAGTGTGTATTGCGTGGTCTCTGTTAGAGGGGTGTCTTAAAAGAGTCGCCATCCTTGGGGACTGCGTTTTGCTGCTATATCGATGGTGAGCCTCTTCATTAATGTACCAGTGGATGTGTTGGGGCTCATTCTTACATACACTCCTGACATACATAAACAAATATTTAGACTTTTCAGTTTGCGCACATAACCTCACCCGATAGCGGAATGTGCTTGCAACAAGGGCTTCATTAACGCAATATTATAATGTGGGCCCCGAAGGAACATCAAGTGTCTGGGAGAGATGAGATGATAGATCCTTTTAAGTTCCTAATTCCAAGCCAGGAACCCGCTGGGGGGCTCCACGTCCTCCGCCTAGTGTACTGGGGCTTAAATTCTGTCTTACCTATGCCAACTGGACGCGTCGGAGATCGTAGATCAATGGGTTGTCAAGTTGTTGAAGTATGTCGCGGATCGACGGGCGATCTTCTTGGTGCGCTTGACAGCAGAGAGAAAGAATGCGTTCTAGGGGCATCTTTGAGTCCCACATCCAAGGGGCTTGATATTTTCCAATAGCATCAAACAGCCGTTGATCGTTCGTAATGCGAGGGAAGGGATGTTGACCGAACCATATCTGACGAAGCTGTCGTTGTCAGCCCCCCGCCCACCCGTTTCCTGGATAAACACGGCTCACCTGAATAGATGTGCACCCGAACGCGTATATATCGCTCTTCATCGTCTTGATCTCCTCGATGATCACTTCAGGTGCCGAGTACCTTATCGTGCATCCAAAAACCGTCGATGTCTTGATGATTCTAGAAACTTCGTTCATAGCGCGGGATAGGCCAAAGTCGCAAAGCTGTGCCATGCCCTGATCATTTATGAGGACATTTTGCTGTGAAGAGATTTTTTCCCCATCCATCCATCCATAAGCATCCATAAGCCGGAAATCCACGAAATGGAGGAGGTTGTACTACCTACCGGTTTTAAATCGCCATGAACGATGGCAGGCTCTTGGCTGTGAAGGTAATGTAACCCATTTGCCATATCTCGAAGCTGTATTTTTTGGTGATTTCGCATCATTCACTCGACAGGGGGGGGTTCGAAGACGACGTCCCTTACCAATTGGATCCTACTCGAGTCTGGGTGTGTTCTCAAATACTCCACAACGTCCCCGTTCTTACACCACTTGGATATCAAGATGGCCCTCTCCTCTGAACGTTCGCCTTCTATGGCATACCCAATGAATTCGATGATGTTTGGGTGTTTGAGGTCCTTCCATATCTTCACTTCCTGAGTCAAATGCTAAGAGCACGATCAGGCTGAGGCCGGGGCATATGACTAAGGAGGAAGTTAGGGGGGGAGGGGGGACCCCACCTTGACCATTTTTCTAGTTCCCCAGATTTGTTCCGGCGCATTACTGGCACCTGGACGTAGTTCTTTGTAACATACCTGTGGGGGGTGGGGGGTGGGGGGTCGACGGTTCCACATCCGTTGATTGATGAGCATGGACTTGTTTTGAGACTCACCTGTATGCGAGGGGTACCTGGGACGACCTCGCAGTATGCTACATAGACGTGGGAATATCCACCACTTGCCTTGAGGACTTTGGTACGATGATCGAACTTCCCACTGACATCCAGTACGCCGGACAAGCCATTTCTAAATCCGTCTAGGAACACGTTCGTAGCTGTGTCAACGTAGGGATTCTCGTTGGTCATTAGCTCTTCTGTCGTCGAACTTGATTCTGGTCCCATACTAGGCGCACTTGTAAAATCGGGTTAGGGGGGTCGAGTTGATTGATTGGTCCTTGATTTTGTTTTTTGTGCGTAACCTTCGGGCTGGACAATCTACGCTGTCTACAAGGTTTGGGGATGGAAGGGAGGTGGCTCTTCTAGAGATCCTGGGTATTTAACAAGCGAATGAGGCGGTGGCGTCTACGTCTTCCGGAGATCTTGGGAGGCGCGGTCAGCCATGCATGCATAGAACTCCGGTCTAGCATCCGAATTAATGAGGGACAGGTATGGCTGAATTGCGGCCGATTCGCCGGGTGCGCCATTGATATATAGGCCTAGGGAGCTCATCGAGAATCAAGCTTTAATTCGTGCATTTAAGATAGCCTTCAGCTACGGTACGCAAGTTCAAGTTTGCGCTACGAGATGCGCAAAGGATAATGAGTCTATGAATCATGTCATGAGGTTCTTCTTAATGAAACATGGTTTCAACTAAGCAGCATATGCGCAGAGCCTGAGGAGTTACGTCTAGAACCTCGCAGAAGCTCGATCACTCAGCGGTTGGAACATCTTTAAAGGTGTGGCGTGGCGTAATATATATGACACCACAGCTTTCACTTAATACGTCAGTTCCATGAATTCCCTGACCGCAATTAAGGCCGTTAAATTCATTACACGGAAATTCGTTACACATGTACACGAGAAATACTAGTGCAAAAAGGATGAGAATCTGGGCAGTGGGCGCCACAATTGATTATTTAACAACCTGAAAAGTGGGGCTTGTGGATTGCCAAAAAGGAGCACCCGAGTTTATGAGTGTGGTAACGGATGAACGCAGGAGAGTAACGTGAAGCTTCTGAGTGCGACCCCCCCCTCTGGTTATAGCGTGCGATAAAATAAGTATATCCGTGCATCACGTCATCCATGCATGGACACGACGCTTTTAGCCTTTAGGGGTGCATGGAGAGTCACACCGCTACACGAGAATCTAGGTTCGACCATTGGCACAAATGAATGAATCGATAGAAGTTGAATCATATACTTCCTATTCTAAAGGAAGATCATGAAAGTACCTGCCTTTTTCAACCTGATAAATATATGTTTAAGAGGTAGAGATGATGTGGTAGACTCCAGACCACGACATAATGCAGCCCGCTCTGGCCATGCACGGGCTCACAACTCCTTGGTGGATCTAAAGCATTGGATTACAAGCCAAACGAAAAGGACGTTGTGTTCACAGCAAATAAATCAATAGACAGTTTGTGACACGTCAAATATATTGCCTACGTACGCGCGAGGCGGCCACAATAATGCAATACGATGAACAACGCGACAAGAGCTGCGTCTCTCGTGTACAGTGTAAGAACAACGATGTGCCAACACTGGGAATGTAGAAAAACATAAGCGAAAACGCGCGGCATGTGTGGAACCTTGGTCTCTCACACTCAGCGCGAGAACTGACGGGAAAAAAAAGAAAGCGACATCAATTGTCGGTTATCCCTCCGAAGTATGACTCAACTTGGTTTATGAATAAGACAGTATTGCTGCCCTCACAACGAGTTGTCAACTAGCGTCGTTCTAAACAACGATGGATGTTGTTATTAGGCCAGTTAAGCGAGAGTCATTTAAGCATGCCTTTGTTCACGGATGTGACGACTCGATTCCGTCGGATTAGGCAACATTTTTAGAGACGCCACTCATCTGTGAAACAGGGCACTCTTCACGCAACAGCGAGTGGGTTTCATCATACTAACGATATCACTTCACCATTCATTGCGCAATTCCGAGAGGATCTGCATACAAGTTTCGAAACACCACTACAAACTGTGATCCATAGTGCTGGCTATCTCTCGGAGATCAACCCAGATTGCTGTGATACATATTCACTTGTATGTCTTACTTCCACTAGGGTTGGTGTACGTAGAACTTCCTTTGGAATCGTTGTAATCTAGCATTCCGAAAATTTCCATGTTTGGGGGGAGGGATAAATCGGGGGAAAGTTACTGGGACTCACATTTCGATCCATCCGAGTTGGAGTAATAATAGCCACCATCTTTGTTGCTGTCACACGGTGATGGGGAAAATGTTCATACCACTAGCTAACGTTAACGTAACTTCAAAATAGGCGTACCTGTAGTGATAACTATTCTGATTAGGTGCACTAGAGCCGTAGTCCCTGGAGCAGTAATGGTTTCCCTATTCAAAATTGAAGCGTCACTAATACAATCGCAACCCTTCGAGGCGACGCGGGCAAGGTTGTGTCAACCTGGCCCCCCCCCCCCACCCCCAATTTAATGCGAACCTGGGAGTTAGTACCAGAGGACTTGTAGTCGTACGAGTTTCCTTGGTTATCCTTAGGCATTATAATGAGTAGGAGTGAGTACGACTTTTGAAGATTGGATGAGGGGGCTTGGCAGTGGTAGGTGAGATTTGCACAGAGAGAAAGAGAGAGAAAGAGAGAAGGTGCACCCCTTATATAACACGCAGAGCAAGTTCTCACGGTCACGAACTTGAAACTCGCGCTGAGGCGTCAGGTGTGCACATAGATAGGGGCGTTGCCATAAAAAAGGGGGAGACCACAAAGGCAGCTGGTAGAGGAGAGGGATGGGATGCAACGCTGCAAGGTGTGGATAGTCAAGGATCGAGGAGCAATGCTTAGTCAGATGCCCAAATAGGGCATCACGGTTTTTTTTTACATATGCCACCCCCCCAAATGGCTATGATCTTCAGGTTCAGGTAGAGTGGATGTGTGTTTTTTTTTTTTTTTAAGATGTCGTCTAGGCATAAAAGCATTGACGTTTTCTTCTCCACTTGATGCAAGTTCTCGGACGCGAGCTAGCGTCAACGTCTAATTAGTAATAACACGATGACCGGACCCTAGCACCCCTGCTTCCTCACGCGAAATCTCTGGCCATCTCATCCTACAGTGCTTTCGTTCCTCCTTAATATCGCTTCTATGTCACAAACATGGCAACTCTCACTCTCCATCTTAATAGGATCTTCTAGTGCCAACTTCGCCCGGGAAGCAGCTCGCGACTATCATTCGAGGCTACGGTGGCGCCAGTAAAGCGATAGGCCCAAGCCTAGCTGTAGAGCAACTTTCCAAAACACCAAACACACACATCTCGTACAGATTGAAACCCACTATATACGGGGGGCTTTGTGTACTCGACTTTACTTGCCAGGCCAAGAACCTGGTCAATTAGGCCGGGAATGTTGTTGTTATGGCCTCGGTGGCGCCCCTGATCCCACGCATTCACTCCCTCGGAAATCACAAATTTGCAAGAATGCCCCGCAATATTGAGAGGCGTGACACCAGGGAGCAGTTTTTCCACTACTTGGCCTCGCCATCCTGATTACAGTTAGGCAAGTGACCAGCCTCTTTTTGGGGGGAGAGGTTGTTGTTGATATCATATTTGTTACCCCGCGGTCGCGTTGGCACGTGACAGAGCGGCATATCCCACTACATTACATCTGTACATGAGGGGACTTTCACAACGTGGAGTGTCGTCGGGTTAGTAGGGTGTTGTAAATCCGGCGTTCCAAATATGGTAACCCGCTTCAGCGGTTCACTCGCAACCCAGATGTAATATAGAAAGAAATATAACTAAAATACACGGCGCTCCAGCGCCCATATTTATACTCCTCAACAATATTCCAGGCTCTTCTATGCCCAGCGCTTACGCAGGTGCCTAGTAACCCGTAGAATATTCCCGGATATTCCGGTTCAGTTTCATCATGTGACTCGTATTCCAACATAGGGTCGGGGTGACGGTGTCCTCTGGGGTAGGGGGAGAGGTTTACAGTGTTCCAACGGGCGCGGCAAACAAGACTAAACAGAGGGGCTGTGCGACTGTTTCGCGCCTTGTCGAAATTGCCTCGAAGTGCGTTGCATACTGCCTCATTAGGGTCCTATTGTTTCCCAACCAGATCGCTCTTTTTGGTGCCAGCCATCTCAGAAGATTCATCAGTGTCGATCACAGTACCAGTTACCCCGGAGCCCCGCTCACTATAGCCATCTTTCTAGCTTGCTCCCGTCAGCCTGGTCTTATGCACACACACGCCGGATAGATTTAAAGTGCGCCTTCGAGGCGAATGATGGGTGTTTGAAATCGCGCCTTTATGAATTAGCGTTCAAAGGTGGCTGCCTTGTGTTTGAAGTTCAGTTCTGCAGCCTTCCCGAGTTCTGAAGGGCACCTGTGCTTAGCTGGTGCCCTCAATATTAGTATTTGGTGACCCTCTCCATGCATCGCGGCTCCAACTTTATAGCGGCTTCCGTGGGCAATTTCTCGCTTGGATTTCTTTCCCTGTGTGCCCATGCATCGTGCAATTTTGCTTTGTGCACTCAACGAATACCTCATCGGAGGATTTTTTTTTTGTGCATCTAATCATACATTGTTTCATGATGTTAAAATACATTCAGCATCTGTTACTCGATTAGCGGATACAGTGGGAAACTCCTAGAAGTGAGGGTATACAGGCAACGCTACAAAGTCTCAGTTAGATCAACAGGAATGTCCAAATTATCTGTCTTTTCAGCCCCAATATCCCGGAAAATAGAATGACTCCATGGAATGTACTTAATTAGCGTCAAAAATACTGTTAATGGCGCTTGTACGGGTGACGGCAAGCATGACAGCGAGCGGTCTCTCCCTTTCGACTGGCGATCCCGATCAGCGTATCTCTGCATACGGTACAGAGGCGATGCCCACAAGGCGCGCCTTCCACCATATCGGCCGAATCAACGTCATTGAGGCAAATAGGACATTCGCTGGCCTCTCCCTCAGGAGGAAAAAATTTCGTTGTTGTGAAGTTTCGAGGTGGAGAAGGGGGTGAGATGAGTGTTGGGCTAGCACTCTGTCCTCCGGCTGAAGTTCGAGGAAGCGAGGGGAGGTGCGATGCAGGCCGGAACGCACGACGAGAATCGCGCCTAGCCTGATATAATTCGAACATCGCGTCGTCAAAGGACAAGATACTTGCAGGCCGCCGGGTTCGCGCTGCACGGGGGGCTTCTGGTCGTAGCGTACATCTGATTCTCCTGCGCCATATGCACCAAGGACATATCAGCACTACCCCGAAGAAGATCATGAGAATTCCAACGATGACTCCATATGGGAACCCGCTCCCGCTACTACAGCCCCAAGCCATTATTGGCATCGCACCCCTGTGGGACATCTGACTCACCCTTTGGGTTCCGATGTTCCAGACTCGGAGGCCAAGAATTTAGGCGCGCTGGGTACTGGCGGCGTGGTCACAGCCGGACTACGCACAAGGCTATCAGAGGAGTCATATATAAATTAGAAATTACTGTTCTTACGCCATTTATGGGTTTACAACTCCGATGTAGGCCTGGATGAGGGCCAAACTCTATATTGACCAACGAACTAATAGATAGTCTGCGGCAAGACGAATCGGTATTACTTACAGATATCTCTATTAGCTTCGTTACTGTGTTGTCCCAAATCACAGTAGGTGTTGGCCTTAGGCCAATATCCGAGGGGTCAGGCAGGGTCAGGGGCAGGATTGAAGCGTCACTCCCACGCCCTTTCCCTGCATGTGACTGTCATGCAAGACGATCGACGGTCAACGCAGGCAGGACCCCAGCCACTATGACTTCGTAATATTACATACATCACTCCTGAGTGGCTCATAACCAGAGCATGGCCGACCAGGGCACAGCTTAACTTCTCGTGTACAACGGATGTGTCTTACCATGATAGGGCCGCTTATCATTTATTGCGCACTCGCGCATTTACAAAAACACAAGTTTCCGAAATAGCAAGCAGCCAAAACAATGATCCTTAGTGCCAAGGAATTTGACTGGCATCGTGAGAGACATGTTCACTTGAACGTTTTACTTCCATCCGGGCTCGTGTACACGGAGTGTCCTTTGCCGTCATTGTAGTCTAGTAACAGGCAGAGAAATTTAGCATTCAAACAAGAGCAGAAGTTATCAGGACTCACACCTAGAACCGTCAGGGTTGGAGTAGTAGTAGCTACGATCTTTATTGCTGTACGGAAACGGAGGTGTTCATGGTGATGACTCGGTTAATGCCAACTCGTAATAGGAGCACCTGTAGTGGTAGCTATTCTGGTTCGGCGCGTCAGAGCCATAGTCCCTGGAGCAGTAATGATTTCCCTATCAATCAGAAGTGTCATCGATACACAAGTTTGAGGGTGACATGGCCGGGCGGGTTGGAGGTTGTCCGGATCCTCAGGCTGACGAACTCCCTCGAATTTACACTTACGTCGGAATTAGTGCCAGAGGACTTGTGTCGGTATGAATTTCCCTGATTGTCTTTAGGCATTATGGTGCGTAGGAGTGTGTATGAGTGTTGGGACGCGAGGGCTAGGAGACCTTGATCCTTATCTGTGCGTGGGGCGTCTCATGATCTCCGTTCCCACGGTAACGACCCCTAACTAGGTCATCACATGTACCCTGAAAAGAGTTAGATCAGGTAAAGAATGTAGAGATCTGAGACAGTAAGAATGGATAAACATGTGCAATCATGTGTAGGACAAGTGCTGCGAGAGCGAGAAAGGGAACAGTTGAACATTACAACAGATTTCTGTGAATTCCTCCCCCCTGCAGAGGGGGGAGGAGAGATCTCTGTGATCCATTCGGCTTAGTTTTCTGCGCTCTTTGTCGGCGCCTGTTCAAAACCGACGCTGTGAAGAGCTTGACCCTCCGCAGTCTAAAGGCTCAACTCACTGTTTAGAATGTAGTCAATTGCGCGGAAAGGAGGGAAGTCCTAAGAACTCCGGAAAGTGGACGGGTACCAGGTCGGTCGCTTGAGGGTGCTGTGGGGCCATGAAAGCTTCCATAGGGCAACTGTTTGTTCAATGCCGTATTAAAGGGTGAGGTTCTAAAGGCCGCTGCACCTGTTGAACCTGCTTCATCAAACTAAGATGTAATACAAGAGCAGGTCACCAAGGACCCAAAGCGACCGGGTAGTCTCCACATACCGGCTGAACGAACGTTTTCCAGCTGCATGCCAACTGTCAAGGCACGCTGGTGGGGGGAAGGGAAAAAGCAGCAATATAATATACCAGTTATTCGCACCTTCCTCCCCTCCTGCTCGGGACATCAGTGCAGTCAAGCACGATTGTTGACATTGGCATCACGTCGACATAGCAACGAGTTCAAGCCTGACACGGAAGAGCTTTAGGTACTGATGATTGATGAACCGGCACGGAGATGCCATGAAGAACGTCAAGCGTAATCCTTGTTCTGACAATGGCAATGCACGATCACCTTATTGGTAGCTGCTGAAGAAAAGCTCATCCTGCTTCCGGAGAGTACGGCATGGAGTATGGGCAGAGGCAATTTATGTACTTCTCCGCTACGTGAGCGCCCCTACATCGTGGGGCAGAGAACTCCACCCCTCGCTGCTTTGTCAGTACAATTGGAAGTTCCAGCAGGCAGAGATGGTATGGTTCCGTGACCAAGGATATGGGTGCGAACCATATTTTGTGTTTACAAGAGTAAAACTAACACTAGGCGATAGAAACTGGCGGGGTTAGCGGCATCAACTCGCGTCAATGTAGGGAGTTGAACTGTTACACCACGATTCGATGAGCAAATCTCAATAAGAGCCCCAATTGGCATGCTTCACGGGCATGCAGGCTGGGGTCTTTAAGATTGACTAGGGTAGCAAGTAGGTGGACAGGTTGTACGTAAGCCGTCAACTGCTCAGGCGAGTAAGCGCTGTGCACGCGTGACGGCGGCTAAGCTGAAGGAGAACCAGAGGTGTCTGGGTTCCGATAGGCCAGTGTTGCAAAAGGACAGAGAACTACGTAATGCTGGACAACTGAAACGAACGTGGGTTCATCCACAAATGTGGAAAACTAATTGTAGACCGCTGCTGATCAGCAGATGGAAAGTGTTCAACTCGGCGATTGCCCACAGCACACAGCGTAAGATCGACAAAGAGGGGTATCATGGATGTGGACGGACGGTGCCTGAGATTTGTGATCTGTGCATCCCTCAGATGCCCGACCACGAAAAGCTCTTAGGTAAGGAAATGAGTTCTCCCCCTATCTTCTCCATTTGCTACCCTGAGATTCTGCCTAACAGCGTAAATGGGAATTCAGCAATCGGAACGGGGTCGAGGTTCCGGAGCATATGCAACTCCGGTACGAACTACGAACGTTCTTAAGAAAAATGCGGGACAAGCAACCAGCATGAGCTTACCCCACCCAACGTGGTAACACAGTGGTTGCAATCACCACTTATCATCAGTAATCCTTACAAGTCAAACTTGTACTTGTGCAACATGCCTCTGATGCATGTAGCTACGTGGTTAAACCATACCGCTGGGTCCATCCGGAACGTTTCAGCATTTGTAGAGGGACTAGTCCTTGCATTGCATCATTCCTCATCGTGGCCAGGCGTGCGCAGGTTACAATGATGCGCTCAGTGGAGATAACACGCGAGCGTGCACACATAGTGCCGGGTATCGGTCCCGGATGCACTAAAACAATATTGCAGTCGAGTGGTGATGCAATTGCTTTGTCAGAGACTTAGGATCATGAGATTCCTTTCCTTTCCGTGAGGGCAAACTGGCTAACGGAAACCAGGGCAACAATCACAACTGGATTGGTTGGTTTATGCCGCGCTCCCAGTCCGAGACTGGTGGAGCGCTAACCGGTGATAGATGCGATTCATCAGGTTGGTGGATCATCTACCATAAGAGGGAAAGTACGGATTGATCAATCTCTGATGAGAAATTTGCATTTCAACGTCCTGCGCGCCAGCATGGACATGTAACCGTGCAGGGACAGCACGACGGCAAGACACCTTGCTCTCGAGTTGCGTTAGCCTAGTGGTGTAGATCACTATACGAAACTTTATTATAGTAAATTAAAGCGATGCGTCGAGCACGCGCGGGCACCGCGTGCGAGTGTTCCACGGTCAATCTAAATCTTGCCCGAGCTGGTGGGGCCCAGATCCAGGTTCCATGGGGCTGTTTCTTTTCCCGAAATATAATCCCTTTGCCATGAGTAGCAATGTCAAAAAAGCAAGATAATGCAGTATGGGAGAAGAAGGGGTTGTTCATATAACGTGCCTGCATCCGCACATGAGCCCTGAGAAATTCGAAAAGATAGAGGTGGTTGGTGCAACACTGGGCTTCTTCCTGTGAAGGGCATTGATTTCAAGGGCGAAAACTGTGGCATGGGCCAAGTGTGCGGTTCTAAGGTGATCCTGGGTTGCAACAAAAATGTTGATAGGCTGGAGATTGAAAGGTGTTACTACGGCGGCCCTTGGTGAACAGCCGTGCTGGCCATATGCCCGCACACCGGACCTCCATACCCTTAAATATGCAAGGCAATGATTGTTCATACCAAGTCTCGAACCGAAGGTCAATGGCGACGCGGAGTTTCGAAGTCGGAGATAGATTAATCCCGATTCTCACGCCTACATTTTGATTCAATTGGACAGGCCTAGAGCCTCGAACATACTTCAATGCAATCACATCATCATCATCATCATCATCATTGCACTCAGCGGAGTCGGCCGAATTTATCGTGTTCATTGTGTCAGACGAGTTCGACGTTCGAATAGTACGCCCCTCCTCTCTAGGGAGATTGTGGTCTAACTTTCAAGCATCTTCGAAGGGCCCTTCAGTTTATCAGCATTCATACTCATCATTCGGGCAAGAACGAGCGAGTGGAACGGCTTGCCAGGTTGAATCCCCAAATTACCAATGATATTCAAGGCTCCGCTTCTTGTGTGGCTTTTTGTGGCATCAATTTCCCCTGCCTTCTCGCGGAGCATCGCAGATTTCACTGGACATGCTATACATGGTCCTGCTGATCAATTTGCTCTGATGGTTGACTCAGGTCAACGGACGAAACTTGCTGTACGAGTCCCTGTGACACTGGGTGTTATGTCTCGGTGCGTATTCAAGGACGAACCTCACTCCTCTCCTGCCTTGTCTTGGTGGGAGTTGATCGTCTAAAACCCCTGATGATCATTTCAAAAAAACAGGTGTCCAGATGCTTTCGTATGTGAAAACGTTTTTGACCAGGTTCTCGACAAAGTAGGGCATGAAAAAGTTGATCTTTCATTAACATTCATTGGAAAGTACGTATCCCCTCATTTTTTGTTGCCGGGTTCGCCGCACTGGTATCATTCAATTATCGAGCTCATTGCTATACGATCGGGGAAAACTTTTGCTGAATCTGCACAGGTTGAATAGTTCTGAACCTATTTATGGAGTAACATGCAAACATGGTTCGCTGGAATGTACTGGAAACATCCATGAACTTTGTGTGGCCAAGTACTCAGGGGCAAGTAGCATCTGGTGGCCGTTCCTCCGCTGTCTTAATTATGGCGGGGCGGAGAGTATCGGGCTCGAACGGACGGCGAAAGAGTGTTCGAAGGTGTCCGATATCGATTGGAGCCAAAGCGGAATCGAGGCCTGCGTGAATGGAGAGGAGGGACCTCGACTTTTACGTGAGAGTGTGAAGCACACAAAACAGCTGGGTATTCAGTTGAGTTAATCATACTTTGGTTGTTATGCGTTTATTGTGTCCCCCCTTTCCCTTTATGCCTACTAGTCCTTTTGCGTAGAGCAATTAGCCCCGTGCTGGACGTATTTGGATGACTGTCGTCTTCCACTCTCACACCTGCTTGCAACGCGCGTGAAGGAGGTTTTATTGCGTGACGATACTGATTCCATTCTTCGTTTCCGTGTATAGGAAGAGTTGCACTATTTTGATCAGCGGGAAAGTTCGATGCGTGCGCGATGGGAGTTGGCAAAAATGCGATGCTGGTCACGAGCCGAAGGATTTTGTGGATTCGATTAATGCCGAGTATGATCGATTGAACAATTTGTAGTCGACAGGTGGGTCAGTATAGTATCGTTTGGATGGGGCATATCTTACTGAGAGCGTGCAGAACTCTGGATGAATTTGATCCAGGGGACGATTGACAGGTGTTTGAGCTTTTTGGGAATTGGTTGGAATTGAAATGGTTTGGGTCCGAAGAGCCTAATAAATAAAAAATCGATGATATAATCAAATGAATGGGATCTGATTGAATCAGTCTGAGGTCTAGACCTATCGGCTCTCTAGGTTCAATTGAGTCGAGTCCTCAGAAACTCTCAAGTATCCGGACCAATTATGTGTGTCCAGAGACAGACACAGAGACTCACTTCCTGCAACACCGCTAGCCGCAGTTCACCACGTCCCCAACGTCCAACGCCGTCAACGTCCATCCTACCATTAAAAAGCATCTCTTAAAGGGAAAAACTACTAAACTTCATCTTACACAGCTCAGCTTACCCCGCACGCGACTGATTCGACCCCTGCAACACGCTCCCACCTTTTCTCTCCCCCCCTCATCCGCCAGATCTGCCAATCGGCCCCCTCCGCTCACAGGCCCAAAATGCAGGCGATACTCCATCAGTTTGTCCGCCAGAGCTCTCAGCGCGCTGAGCGCGTCATCCCCCGTCCTAGGGACGCTGAGAAGAAACCTGTTCAACCCCATTCGATTAGATCATCTTCCGGGACGGCCGTCGTCCACCTCAGCTATGACATGGATAATGTCCCCCCTCGTCCCTACGACCCTGACAAGCCAGGGACTCGATGGACCCGCTTCGTTTGCATCAGCGACACCCATTCCGTCATCGACTTCCCTGTTCCAGATGGCGATATTCTTATACATGCAGGAGACCTGACAACTGTAGGCAGAGTTCCAGACCTGCAGAAAACGATCCAGTGGCTCTCACGATTGCCACACGCTGCCAAGATGTAAGCTTTTTCTCTCCCCTCTTCACTTCGCAACAGCCCTAAATTCCCAAATTGTTTTTGTTTTCCATCGTCCCACGACTAAAACCGTACTGTTCGTTTCGCCCGCTCCGCTTCTCTTTTCTTGCGCACAGAGTGATCGCAGGGAGTCACGATGTATGTGTCGACAAATTTTTCCTATCTTTCAGACAAGAATTTGATGTGCGATCTCTTTTATCAATAGCTCGTTCTGGACATGGATTGGTACGATCAGTATAGTTGGAAGGTTCACGGAAAATCTCTAGAGGTATGTTCGGGTGTGTGTGTTCATCTGTGGTTCAAATGAGTTCAATGCAGAAGCATTGCAACTGTTACCAACCCCTTAACCCTTCTTTTGACCTCCCCTTTTCGACATGCCGTGTCCACCCTATCGCATTTTATTATCGGTGTAACACAAGAAACACATATGCTGATCCAGATTCTTTTTTATTCTTTCCTAAACAGGATCCTCTTGCAGCACGAAATCTTGTCAGAGGTCCACGTGTAAACGCGGCACGTTTGATCTACCTCGAGTATCAAGCAGCTCGTGCACAGGGTTTTCCATGTCCTCCTCCTCCACCATCGCCTATACCATCATCCCCCATAACGACAATGCTAAAGAAAGCTTCGGCAATGGTCAGCAATGCTGTCCTGTCAACGGAATCGGCCTTGGCATCTTCGAGCGGAAGCAGCACGGAGGTTTCGTCGTCGTCGTCATTTTCTTCATCTATCCCCAAAGAATGGAAGCTTTTTGGAGTGCCAGGGACACCTGAATCTGATCCAGACCGTCCAGGTCCGTCCAGTTGAGTTGCCGATTCCGTTGTTGCTCGTTTTTTTAATTGCATCGCGTTTCTAAAAGCAGGGCTAGCGTTCCACTATGCGAAGGGTACAGACGCTGAAGGTGCGTACATGATTCATTTCTCAGCATTTATGTCGCCATCGGTGAACGGGAACCCGTTTTGCCAACAGAAACTTTTGCGAGAGTGCTACCTGACACGGAGATTTTGATTACCCATGGACCACCAGCCAATATCCTGGATACCAGTGAAGAAGGGACACATGTGGGATGTGAAGAATTGTGGAAACGTGTTAAGGCGATTAGACCTCGGTTGCACGTATTTGGGCATGTACACGAGGGTCGTGGAGCGCTCATCCATACTTGGGGTGAGGAGGGAGATGATGATGCAGAAGATGTTCAAGAGAATCGGTGTGGGTCAAGCGAAACGATCTTTGTCAATGCTTCAAGTACACCTGCCGGCGCATTGTATTATGAGGCCTTGAATGACGGTGCGTTTTTGCATTTCCATTCCTCCGCTTTGCACTGGGTATCCTGGAGAAGATCATCCTCATACTCAACTTGGTACATGTTTGTATGACAGGTCACTCCCCTGACGTTGGTGGATACAATTTCCAGCCAATTATTGTTGACCTTCTCGACGACCTTCCGCCTGCCTTGTCACCCCCGTCTCCTCCGCCCATACCATCCAGATCGTCATCGAGATTGCCATCGTCATCTCCCGAGCCAGCCCCGCCACCCCTTCCCACTATACCTTCCCCTCTCACTCGACTCCTCTCCCCATCGCCCACAACACCTATTATTTCTCTCAAACGTTTGCGCTCACCGTCGCCTGCACCCTCTATTCCTTCGGACCTCCCCCAAACGATACGATCCTCTCCTAAACCTTTCTCTCGTGCTTCCTCTGCGGATCCAACCCTACCGACGACAGGAAGTGGAAACGGAGGAAAATACAGGATGAATCCCGCAACGAGGGAAAGGGCAAGGTCGCCTCAGCCTCCATCAAGGGGATCACCTGTCCCTAGGGGTCGGCGATCGACCCCTGGTCCGACCAGGCTTTTGAGAGCTTCGAGTCGTAAGAAAGAGCCGCCCAAGGTGAAGGAGTCTGAATGAGTGAACGCGGGGGGAAGGAGGGGGTTATTTCAGACTATTGGATTGTCGGAGTGTTGGAATGTACTGCTGGCTGTGATTAATGCTCGAGTGCCATCTACATCTCGAGGGAGAGGTTTAGGACGTTTTATTCGATACATTAAATTCGCGTTGTAAAATTTCCTGCATTGTATCATTGGGTGCTTTCCTCATCCTTCCTCTATCCTTCTCTCTTCTACACCATTCCCGTTTCGCTATCTCTCCATATATTTGGTACATCATTCACAGAAAATGCTTTCGTTTCCCCCTCGTTCTCATCCCCTCGTATCCCCTTTCCCCTACATAATCCAATTCCCCTTCCTTATCAATGATCCTCGCGCCTTGCGGATATATGGCCAGTTCCTACCACCTTTAATGCTTTGTGTTTTACTTTCGCTTTGTCTTCGTGTTTTCTCCTCTCCCCCTTCTCCAATTTGTCTCTTTGCTCCCTGATACGTGTTCATTACACTTTGTGCATACCCTCCTCCACTATTTTTCCCTTTGCGCCATAATACTAGTTCTTTCCTTCTTTCGATTCCTTCTACTCGATTCCGATCCCCCTACATGTCGTGGGCAGCATGTCTACGACATACAACAACCCCGGGGTGTATTGTCCCTCCTTTTTGTTGGTTGCTTTTTTCGCCCCTTTTATGCTACTTGCTTTATTCTGCATGGACCATTTGCCCCTTCGAGTTTTGACGGATCGGTTCCGCAAGCGCACACGCAGTGCCTAGCCCTGATGGATGTCTGATGATATGGCGCTCAATAGCCCATGCAAATGCATAATTTTGACCCCGCTTTCATGATGTGTGCCTTTGGTCGCATACGTGAAATCACGCTGCTTTGTGTTATTCCCTTTCTCTATAGTCTCGATATCGACGCTAGCCAGCAGTTTTCGCCCGCGAAGCCTGGGGGATGTAATATAATATTACGCCCGTCCACTTTGTCACGTCATCCGACTCGCCGCCCTCGTCACCCAACTAACGAGTACTCTGTGATATGACTATTGTATGCCCTGCGTAATCACAGAACATGCAGCCCCTCCGATATCATGCCTGCATTCGTGGAATACATTTGACCACTTGACCACTTAGCCTCTCAACTATGCATGCGGGGTTAATTGTGCCCTTACTTTTTTTTGAACTGTGTGTTGGACCTTCATCCATCACTCATTACGCATATCTTTATGGATTATATTCTACGTCCTTAACGATCAACGATATACGATTACGTTTGTGTAATACATCATATTCTGAATGCAGACTGCTATGACTCGGACCAAAACGTCAATTCGCAAACCGCTTCCCAAAGGAAAGTAGTCGAACGTGCAAGTACTAGCCGGTTCTGATTCCATATAAGTTCGAGGTATTATCGCCACATTCCCTGATTATGGATGTGTGCTGGGCTCAGGGTCTATGGGGATTGGAATCATTTTTTGAAGTGTTTGCCATCCACTGTTTGTGGTTACGTTACTGCACAGCAGACGTACTGGACTGAACTGGACGCTAGAAGCGATGATCACGTCTAGATCTTCTTGAAGTTTACATATGAGTCCAAACTGCATTGGTGATACTATCGTTGAGTGGGAAAGCGCACTGGCTTAAGCGGCGTCGCGTGTATGCACAAGGACGGATGGATGAAATCTTTGAGAGAACACACGTCATAGGTATGTATGAAAACAGCCCGAGATGGTGATGATTGTTGACCTTAACTGGGTTGGAAAATGTGTTATCAATAAGTGGAATGATATTGTGGGTTTAATGAGTCGGAGCTGGTGTGGGGATAGGGTGTTGTTGTGTAGATGTGCGTGTGAAGGGTAAGGAAATTATCGGAATAGAGCAAGTGATAGAATAGGATTTGCGCTTTGTCGGAATGGATAGGGTAGGGATGATGACTGGATAAGAAGGAACACAAGAACAGAAAACAAGCGAAAGCGAGACGAAGGAAAGAGGAAAGAGGTGTGGAAAAAGAACGGCTAAGGAAGGGGTAGCCTTCGTGCGCAGGGTTGATCACATCATCACATGCTGGTATGGGACAGCCCCCATTTTTTCCCTAAGCCATGATCATAGCAGGACCCATGTGTTGTACGGGACTGATTGACATTCCCCCGAATGTTTCATTCAAGTCTTCAGCACTCTTGGAGACGGTCATGTTCCGACCGAAAGGAGTATGGAAGGATATGCCTCCTTGTTCCACGACGCCTGGAGATGAGGCAGTACCATCTTCTCCACCATTTTGGTCTGGGCTGCGCGTTGCGGCAGCTTCGTCGTCGTCGTCCGAATCACCATCATCATCATCATCATCCCTAACGGCCACAGAACTCCATTGACGATATATACCGTCAATGTATTCATGGGATGATTCGAGGGTGTAGGGATCGAAGGGGAAGAATGTCGCGAGGTCATTCGAGACGATGTGTTCTCCGATGATAGACCGTTGCGTGCGAGGCGTAGTTGGAGTCGAGTTAAGAAGAGTTTTACCGCTAAGATTGGTCGCGGCCGAGTCTGAAGAAGCAAGGCTGCGTGTGGATTGTGAGGCTATAAGAAATTCAATGGACCTCTTGTTAACATTGATGATGGAATCGCAGTACATGAATCTTGTAATGCGTGCAACTTTGGCGAACTGCCTTACAACGTTGGGGGAGCACACCTGGAGAAAAGGCGATCGTAAGCATCATCGAAGGAGAAGAATGAAGACAGGGACAATGAACCTTCAATGGATTCAATTCAGACATGACCACTCGCTGGAGAATGTTGAGATCTGGAATCCACCGTTTGGGCGCAACGTCATCCGGATCTTCGACCTCCTCACCCTCGCCGCTCAGTGGCGCTTCAAGCAGGTCACGCCAACGAAAGCAGAAGATAAGGAACACAGCCTGTGCTACTGCATAAAATAGGCTGAAACGCGTTGCGTGGACCGGTCCATCTAGGTTTGCGTATGTGGCGAGCTCCTCTGATAAATGCCAACACATCAACTTCACAACTTGTTGTGTTTGAACAGAATCGACGAATTGTGCACGACTGACGAAGCTACCTATGTAACTTGCAGACGCTGTGCGAATAGTCGTCGCTTGCTCCTGATCAATGAGGGCTTTGATGGAAAGCGAGCCCAAAAAGTCGTTTGCGAAATCGTGGTCCAATGAAGAATACCAGAAGATCAAGAATTGTGTGTATCGCGACCTGAACGTTCTGAGGATAATCCGTTCGAAGATGGTTAGGAGGGCGCGGAACTGCGACCGTTTTAGAGAGCCATTTCCCTCTGCAATGGCGAGAGAAATTGGGTCAGAGCTTGTCGGTGGCGGGTTATCGTTTGAGGCAACAGCGTCCGGAGCATCATGCAGCGAGTTCAGATGTTCAAAAACAGTCTTCAGCATAGCATCCAATTTGGCTGCCTGAAGTTTAATGTCCTTTGGGTCCCGTTCAACTTCGGTGACCTCAGGTTCGGAGAATTCAGCGTCGGAAGATACGTCGCTTAATCCATTCAACCCTTCATCATCTTTATCACTATCATCATTTTCGCTGTCGCTGCAGGCGTCAATTTCTTTATCGAACGGATCGATCTCGAAAATTGGGTCCGCTTCTTCATCTTCCTCTTCGAGTTCTCCTAATTCGACTTGTATCTCAACCTGCGGGGACAGATTCAATAGCCAATAACATACATGAGACGCATACATACGTCTATCTGTACTGCACGGTCTATTATAGTTGCTAAAATCCCTTCGCTGAGTTCAGGGTAATATTGCGTGATTCTCAGAATGTTCCGGATGTACGTGATTTGACAGGCGACGGGCAATCGTTTGTGTGGGAAGTTGCGCAGTAGAATCGGTAATAGTTCATTACTGAGGGTCGGAATCAGTGAAAGAATGTGTTGAAGGAGTTCGTGTTGGCGATTGTAAATGTCACGTCGACGAAGTGGTTGCGAAGAATACTTTCCAAGAGGGTGCAGTCCAGATTCTGTGGAAGCATGGGTGCCCAATCCAATATAAGCAGAGAGACAGCCTTACGATATGTTAGTCCTGATATCGCTCGCTGCAAGATTTTGCTGCTGTATTCAGGTCTTGCGCTCACCAACACCCCACTGAACGCAATGTAGGACTTGACGAACGCAGGGTCCGCCATCACCCAAGGAAGACCCAAAATCGCCTCGACAAGGGAGTAATGGAAGCGATCTAATTGTGATACTACGTGTGTCAACGCGACCAAGAGATGGCGCAGATATGTGAAAGAATCTGGGTTGTGCAAAACGGAGTCTAGGCTGAAGCGGTCCAAAAGCTCTTGGTAATCTGTGGAATCACCCTATTAAACGCGATTAATGGCAGATACGAGCATAAGATGGGGTGACCTGCCTGCGCTTTTTTGCGAAAAGTCTCCTTGACGCTTGCAAGGAACATAGTTTTGCGATAATTCTCCCGCTGTTTCTCATCGCGCATGAGGGGAGATTTGCGCGATGAAGCGGGCCCTAAGTCCTCATCATTTTCCTGGCGCCTTCTTTTCCTTGGGTTCAGGGCATTCATTGCCGCTAAATTTTGTGGCCAAGCGCTCACGGCTCCCGATCACGTGCGCATGGGAGCATGACTGTGAGCCTTTCGTGTGGTTGCAAGCAAGTGGTTGGAAATTCTTCTTTAAATTCAGGTTATGCTCGCAGATGAGTTCTCAGGGGAGACCTAAAAGACCTTACGGTGGGCGTCCTCTTCGACCTAGACAATCTTCACACGCGTCCAGCGATGGCCGACCAGTGCCAGATCATCCTGGCCATGCCTCCTACTACACTTCTTCTGCTGAGGAAAGCATGATTCGAGGGGGCTCTAGTAATGCATATGTGCCATATCGCGATGTCTCGGCAGGTGCAGGGGAATTGATTTCGGTAGGCCTCATACCCAATACACCAGCTCATAGGACCTGCGGATTAACACGCCGAGCTAGTCACTGATCGAGGAGGAGCCAGGTTTCTTCCCTTCGGCCGATTCTGTTCATCCTCTTGTTGCAAGCCCTACCCAATTGTCTGAAGCAACTACACGGGAAGTCATGATGCCTCCTGAAACGGATCCTTTATTTCCATCAACAGTATTCGAATCCCCTAAGCCGTTAACGTCCAAGTCTTTGACATCAAGTAGTTCTCCCCCCCCATCCCGCCCGTCCTCTCGTGCTTCCGGTGCCCGTCAAGTTGCAGCTTCCCCTCCTGCGAAGGATCCGAGGGCTCTTTGGGGGCAGCTCCGTAACGCGGTTCTTCCTTCCTTCCCAACACCGGCTCGTCAACTAACCAATGAGTATTCGCCTCCCCCTTTCCGCCCTTCCACTCCGTCCTCTATCGCATCTTCACAGAAACCCTCCCGATTTCCTAAGCTTAGGAATACAGTCGAACAACTCCGAAAGACTGATATTGAGTCAGAAATTGAGTTGGCCTGCAGTACAATACGGTCGGCAGTTGCTTCAGATCCGGGAGTGTGGGGATTGCAGCGTAGCGCCGATGCTGATCATTCTCACAGTTCCAGTAGTGGCGGTAACTCTGGACTTGCGAGAATTGGAAGGGGCTTGAGGCGGGTGCCGTCAACTGGATCGGTGGCCACCGCTACAACGAAGAAACGGACTCAGTTTTCTGGGTTCTTCCAGTTGCAATCAACTCTTTCTCACTTCTCATCTCTTCCGGCTTTTTCTTACACCCTTCCTCGGCAGACAGAGGTCCTTGCTGTGCTACTGTTGCCCTTCCACTGGAGATCCAAGGGCAACCGAAGAGTGAGTTCCGAAGAGGCGTGTTCTCGTGCTGTGGATGTGTTTCAAATGATCTTGACCAATTGGAAGTCGGACGCAATTGAGGTTTGTTACTTATTTAGGTGGGATTTCCATCGCGCACGCTCTTAATCTTGTCCGGGATCAGGGAGAGGTTGAAAGAATCTTGTGGTGCCTCAAAGCACTTGCCTTCAATCACTCGGAGCAGCCAGTGTCGTCGATATCTATGCACTTGATGGCTTCAGTCACTACGTTGCTGCACAATCCACCAGCCCTGAGGCCACACGTGCCTCCAATCATACAACAAACGATCTTGCAGCACCTTATTTTGTTTCAACGCACCGTAATGTCATCTCAGCAGCCGCTCGAGTTGTCCAATATTGCTCGCCAGGTAACAGATCTAATACACCATGTCCAAGGTGGTGGATTTGCTCTCACAGATGAGGAGAGTTTGGTATCTGAATACAACCTTGTCCTCGACCATCGGCTAAGCGCCGAAGAAAGAGATCTTGCAAATTCATATATGTTCAGTGAGGCAGTCACGCGGCTCCTGCGGGTGGCAAACATGAACACCCAGGCATGGATTTTAAATCAGCTTTTGGATGTAAGATTCATTGTTCTCTCTTTGAACGCCAACTTCGTGCTCATCAACTTTGCAGTCTTACTGGCATGCCCCTGGTACTCTCGGCCGTTCAGTTATTGCGCCCATCGCTCTGAGAAGGCTGAGTGCTTTCACGGAATTCGCTGTTGACCGTCTGGGTGACGATAAGCTCGCAGAGCAAAATCCAGATTCACACGAAACTGCCCGACTGATCCTTGGTGTTCTCCGCTCTCGGATCATACCCGAAAGTTCCGCCTTATTTGAATCTAATCCACTGTGCATGTCTCATGCAGTATGCGTAGTCCTCGGATTGCTTAAACATCGATCTACTCGTGACGACGCACACAGCATCATTGATGAATGGAGAGTAAGCGAAATGGGGGCGACTTGGCGCGATGCCCTGGAGCACGAGCTCAAGTCAATGGTAGTGCCTTCTGCATTTCCCCTTAAACAAATGGATTTGATAAATGTTGCAGGCTGCGAGGGACGAACCGAAGCGGCTTTACTCCAACATCAAGAGTGTGTTTGAAGGTACTTCCGGCCACTGCAGAAGATATCTCCTGTCGGTCGTGCTACCGTATCTATTTGACGTGAGTCAGACCAATACCCACTACCACCACCGCATGCCTGAACATGACTCAGAGACTTGTTGCTGCGCCAATTTCACCGTCGACACCTTTTACTACTCTGCTTAATTCTATTGCCCAAGCCTATCCGCAGATTTTCTACAAGCCTTTGTTTGACTGTGCGAGAACAAACAAGGATTTGACTGTAGTGGCGCAGATCCGGATACTTGTCGCATTGTCCGACCACATACCTGATCTCTTTGTCCGGAACGCGGAGATGATGACGGTAGCGCTTTTGAGCAACGTTGGTGCGACTGTGGGGAAAGGAAAAGCACGAGCGGGCAACACTCAATGGGGTAAAGCACGGATTGGACAGTGCGTTCTGATGACCGAACTCCTCACGAAGCTTCATACCCTCACGCCGAAGGTACCTAATCTGGAGGTATGTGCGCAATTCTATCTTATTTACCAACACGCTGATTGTGCGCAGGCTTCCGTTTTTGACGTGCCACCTTCGGACGACTTCTTCGTTCAACTCGAGAATAAAATTGCAGTTCTTCTGAATGCTAAGGAACAGACAAGTATGATTCCTTTCTCCCAGCGCATCCTCCTTTGTCAATTGTTCCTGAAAATACGATCATACTCCCCCTCCACAAGACGGTAAGCAATTCCTGTTGCAGCAAACCTAAGTCCTGCTAACCAGTGGTCATAGTGCGCTCTGGTTACCTACTGTGGTCAACTGGGCCGCTCAGTGTGATATCGGTACAATGTCCACTCCAGTCCCTCACCCTGGGGACGATTCATTCGAGCACAGTGAAGAGGGCCTTCTTGTTGATGAGGATGTAATCGAGGAAGCAGATTTCACCTTGTCAAAAGTAGGGATGATATACACGTCTAGCTTTGCGCCCAGTAGGGTGTCCCAAGTTCGTGAGCCAGAAGCATTTCCCCCAACGGCTTGCACTTATTCCTTTCTTGTAGACGACGAGTGCGCTTGTCCTGCATGCTCTTGACTTCGCAGCAATGGACAAAGTGAATGCGTCAAATCTGCAGGAACGCGAATTTGTCAGAAATAACTTTCCTCGGAGCGTTAAAGCTGCCTCGTTGCCGTTGCTCGTCGCAATGTATAGTCAGCTGCGGGAGCATGATTTCCGTAGAATCCTGCCTTCGATCTGGCTCTCAGGTCTTGAAAATCCTGATTCGCGTCTCGTAGCTTCTGTAAGCATGCTGTTTGTGTTCCGAGATTAACTAGGAATGACGCAGTTCTAGGCCTGCTTTTTGTTCATGTTATGTGCCGAGAAGTTACCAACGCAAGCAAACCGTTTGATGGAAGATGACTTACACAGGTGAATATTACGCTCTATTGCCAAAGCCATCTTACGGATCTCCTATCAGCGACGTCATCGATGTCAGACATCGTGCACTTCAGAAGCTGTCAATATTATACAGTTGGCGCCATCAAATTTTAGCCCAAGTACCCGGTCATACAGACCATCGGCTTTTCAGGGTGGCTGCTAAACCTGTTTGTGGCAAGTTTACCTCGCTTTGTTTTGTTGACTTATTGTTTCCTCCAGCTTCCCTTCGTAGCAACTGACATGGGCAGTCAGAAATGGGCATCTAATCAAGCACCGGAGGATGCTCTTGTCCTGCTTGGTGCATCCCTTCCAGGAGAAATAAGACGTAGGCTTCTTGAATTGGATTGGATCAGAACTGCCAAGGAAAAAGAGGAGGAGCGGTTAATCAAATGGCATCAACTTCCTCTCTCGATCCTTCCTAAGGTTACTTTCGATGTTGCGGAACATCAACAGAACAATGCTCCTGCAACGCCCCAGTCGCCAATGCCCACTGGGCCTGGGGCCAGTGGACTTTTGCGGAGGAAGTCGAGCATTGGATATTCGGCTGTCCGCCGCAGGGCGGTTCTAGTGCCATCAATTGTGCAAACCATCTCAAAGCTTACGAGTTTATCCGAAGATCACGATCTTTTCGTTTCAGTCACAGCGCAACAGCTCCTGTTTTCTGCACTGATAGATGATCCTTCAACCATATGCCGCCCCTCAATCGAGGCACTCAATGATCCCTTCAGCACGTCCTCTGACACTGCCAGTGCCTTAAGCGCCTATCTACATATTCAAACGCACCTTCCTCCCCTTCTTTCACACCATATTTTGAATCATTTGGCTGGACACGTCAAGAACCTTCTAAGGAACTCCGACTCTCCGAACAAACTTCCGCGCGTTGCCTCCGTCATGCCTCTTGTCTCTCGATTAGCATCCACGGTTAGCGATTTGACATTCCGAGACATGAAGCGAAATAAGGCCGAAGCTTTATTACTCCCCACGTTTTCCCTGTGGCTTTCGGACATCACCCATATCAGCTCGCTCAGGTCACAATCGCAATCTTCGCAACCGCGAAATGGGCAAGATGATGAAGAGTTCATTCCGGATGTGGTCACATTCCGAATTGCACAGAACATGTTTTTATACCGTCATATCCTTCGCCACCAGAAAGATATACAACTGATACGAAGACAGTTCTCCGTGTTGCAACTTCCGTCCGCCCGATACACCCTTCCTCTACGTCCAGTCGACTTCGTTCCCACAGCGAGAGAGGATCCGTCTTCAACCACCGGTACCGTGCCTCACTTGTCTCTCACCCTTTCCCGCTCGTATCTCTTGGTTACTCTGGAAATTCTTCGTTCCATCAGTCGAAGTTCTACTGACATGTCTGAGGTATCAAAGTTCATCGATGGAATCAACCTTGTTATGGTGGTTCATGGAGATGACCTTGGAATTGTGAGCCATTCTTTGATGGCTTATATGACTGCGAGTACTCGCTTTTGGCGACTTTTCGCCACACATTCTGGCTTTGGCATGATAATGCCAGCCATCCTTAAGGTCTACTGCGAAAGATGGCATCACACTGGGATTCGCGCGGCCATTGAGTACACCATCCAACGCTTCTACGCTCTTCACGAAAAGGCGTTCATTTTCCAAACTCTGGATGCTTTTTCAAGGATGTTAATGTCACCAACCCTGACTTCCAGCAAAGAAGCGTTTGCGAACCAGGTGTTTCCTCTATTCGTCTCGCTACATACTGTACAACAGGGTCGCACCTTTGATGCCGCTGGTATCCACGGCTCGAACGTTGGCCAGGAACGCGAAGCAGTGCTGACACTCTTGAATGAGAGTCCTGAGGTGCTCCTCCTTCCTTCGAAATCACAAGGGGTGGACCCCACCAATGAAGTCGTCCTTTCTACTTTCTCAAATCTCGTCGAGAAATGGAAGGGACGCCGATTCCCCTTCGAGGATCTCATTCGTCTGATACTGACTATCATTGCGCATGCACCAACCGCTAAACGCGCAGAAGGCTTCCTACGGATACTTCGATGTTGGGCCGTTAATCTTTATGCGGACTCCACGAGCACTCGGACCCTACTCCAACAAGGTATAGAAGCCCTAGGTGGGACCCTATTCGGGAAAGTTGGCAGAAGACCCAGGGCTCAAGATGCGCCCAATACGAGCGACAGCCCGTATCGAGACGAAGCACAGCAAGACGAACAGTCGATATCCACTTCCCCCGCCGATCCCAACGTTTTACGCCAGGAGTACATCGTCCTGGTCATCAGGTTCAGTAGCGCTGGTGGGATGTTGAGCACTCACACTTTGCGCGCCACTTTCGAGCTTGTACAGTATGTAGTCAGAGATCAAGGAGTAAGAGCGGGGACTTTGGCGACGGATTTTGTGCAGCAAATGACGAAACGAATGCTGGCCAAGGATGCGAGACTTCCCCCAAAACAAGTTATACCATTCCTCACGGAGATTGGGATCTTATTTCGAGAACTTGACTCCGTAGTTGACCTCTCGAGCGTCATCGACGCAGTGACATCACTGATCAAGGACGGCTCTTTCTCCTCTGACAGAGAATTTGTTCAAACCGTGGTTTCACAGTTTTGTCGACAGGCCTTGGAAGCCTGCGTTCTTGCAGCAGGTGAGAGGCGTCTCCTTGATTACGCCCCAAGACAGTCCATCGTGTCGCTTCTCGTTGCGGCTGCGACGCTGCCGGATTCTATTGTTATTTCGATGATCGAACAGCAACCACCTACGCCGGCCTTCCTGGCTTGCATCATGTTACCCTTTTGCTTTAGAGTCCAGTTTCAGGGCGTCACACCAGGCCGAGGTTGGATTCGACTGTTAGCTTACGTCATGGACGGGTACAATCGCATGCCGAGCATGAATGTGGAGATGAACAGGAGCAACACACTGGGAGGCTCGATTGAGAAGGCCGAAAAGGGTCAAAACCCCGGTTCAAATGTGAATCCTCGTGAGCGGTCCGCACGGGCGATGGTTGTTTTACAGATTATCAAAGTTATCGTCGTTCGAATGAGTGTCGACTCTCAGTACATTGTCCACGGTTTATGGTCACGGATAGCGAGCTTCATCCGGCGTCTCCTAATGGAAGGGAGCATCAGCTTTGTATTATTTTTATCTCGAGCGAAGACCCCGCATGCGTCCAGGTCCACCAGCCCTTTCTCACCAGACATTGTGGAGTCAAAGCGTGTCTCTTTCTCGTCCTCCGATATCCATGGCGAATCAAACGTTTCTCATACTCTGCAACAAATCCGAGCGAGTGATTGCATCCTTTCTTCAATGCTGGAATTCATCACGCTTTACCGCTCACCACTCACCCTCCAACTGCGACCTTGGGCTCAGGGACTCTTTGCTGAGCTCGAGTCATCCAAGCAGTCACTCGGGTTTCCGAGCCCATCCCCTTCCAGTCCTGGTTCTAGAAGGGTATCTTCCGTGTTCTCAAAAGTCCGACCACGCAGCACGCAGTCTCCTGATATCTCGCCGCAACCAACATCTCATGACCTTCCATCGATTTTGGCAATGTATTCAGAAGATGATCTCCGGCAAGCCGGGTACACATTACCTCGATCAAGGTCCGCCTCGCCGTCTCATGTGGGCGCTTCCCGAAACATTGTGCATCTGGGCCCAGTCACGGCTCGGCGTGTAAATTCTGAGGGTAGCTCAGAGGATCACGCAGCATTTGTTGATCGAATTGTTTCGGCGGACCTCCTCCAGAGTGCAGTCAAGAAGATACACGTAGCTCAAGCCTGGTTCGGATTTGGTAATGAGGACGTGATTGTTCATGCCTGGACGAGGGGAGTTGCTTTAGAACGAATTGCGGAAGAGACGAAAGGTTTTATGCGCGAGTACCAGGACGTTTTCAGTCGTTCTGTTCGCGATTCCTACGTCGAGGTGCTGCCAGTATAATTTATGGCAGTATTTATGGAGTGTTTATCATTATGCATTCGGCGATAGCCTGTACATTTATTCATTTCATGCCGTTATGTGTTACATAAGTTGAAGTCCGACGCTGCCTATGATCCGTGGAGATGATCGGACGATGTCGTCGGCCGAAAAGTTGACATTTCTCACGCCTAAAATCGATACTACTTTGGCTTTGCGGGCCTATTCAGCACCCGCTTTGAATTCGACCCTCATTTGAACGCTTGATAAAAAATTGGAGAGGACTCGCTCGATGCTTTCAGAAAAACAGTTGTGCCCCTTCTACTCAACCGATCGGAGCATTGTCTAATAGTCTAGTCCCAGGTTTAAAGTGGCCGTTCTGCCAGGAGACGGGATTGGTCCAGAAGTCATTGCGCAAGCTGTCCGAGTCCTTCAGCAGGCGATCTCGAAGGCGCCAGGAATCCAAGTATCCATCGAATCATATGACTTTGGTGGCATCGCGATCGACAAGCACGGCAACCCGCTACCCGAAAACACACTTAAGGCATGCAAAGAAGCTCATGGGATATTGATGGGTAAGGCAGTTTTTGTCATATCGATGATATTCTAATCTCCCTCCCAGGCTCCGTTGGTGGACCTAAATGGGGGGTGGGTAGCAAAGTTCGACCTGAGCAAGGCTTGCTCCGACTTCGAAAAGAGCTGGGGGTATATGCTAATGTCCGACCGTGCACCTTCGCATCGGAATCATTGGTTTCATCTTCTCCTCTGAAACCTGAAGTTGCGAAAGGCACAAATATAACCATCGTGCGGGAGCTCATTGGGGGTGTGTATTTTGGACGACGGCAGGAAGTGGAAGCGTCAATAAAGGCTGATGAAGCGGAAGCTTGGGATGTCATGGCTTATTCGATCGGGGAGATAAAGCGAATCACACGAGTTGCAGCAAAAATCGCCCTTGCCTCGAACCCTCCCGTGCCATTACACTCTGTCGACAAGGCTAATGTGCTTGCAACCTCAAGGCTTTGGAGGAGAGTTGTGACGGAGACAGTCAAGGAGGAATTTCCTCAGCTCGAGCTGAATCATCACTTCGTAGACTCCGCTGCAATGTTCATCGTCGCCAATCCGCAAAAATTAAACGGCGTCGTCGTAACGGAAAATTTATTTGGAGACATGTAAGTCCCAGGACTATTTTCTTTAAGCTTCTCCAAGAATGATACCGACCCAAGATTTTCTTTAGTTTGTCTGATCAAGCCAGTGTTATTCCTGGGTCCCTTGGGCTCCTACCTTCAGCATCTTTGGCGGGATTCCCGACTTCGTCGACACCCTGTGCTGGTTTATATGAGCCTATTCATGGTTCGGCCCCAGACATTGCTGGCCAAGGCATTGCTAATCCAATTGGGACTATCCTTAGCGGCGCTATGCTTTTAAGGTACTCCCTTGGATTGCCCGAGCAAGCTGACGCAGTCGAGGCGGCAGTCAGAATCGCCTTGGATGAAAAAGATAAGGGAGGGCTGCATCTTCGAACGAGAGATCTAGGGGGTCAGATTGGGACTGTCGAAATTGGTGACAGAATCGTCGAAGTGTTGGGGAAACTATTACAGTAGAATGAACAACAACTTGGATTTCGTGTAAAGTACTCTCCAGGCAGGACTCCAGCCTTTGTACACTAGTATAATGAAAACATCGTGTTTATTTGTTGTGTGTTGCTTACATCGGAGACGTGTTGTCGGGACGCGTTCCTGACTCGTATCCGTGCCAAGGTTGGCATCTGACACCTGAGGGTGGATGCCCTCAATTGTTCAGACGTCATGGAGGACGAAGCAGGTATGTTTTATTTATGCATAGTAAAAGGTGTAGTGCTAAACTCTAGACGCAGGTCAATACATACGGGCGACGGACACGTAATGTAGTCCCAATATTTACGCCAATAATGAGCGGAGAGGAGAATGGTGACTCCAAGGATAGTGTTGGTGCTCAAGATGATGCGATGTCAGATGGCAGTCTCGATATCCTCGAGAACTCAACAAAGGCACGCTTTCGTAAACGAGCGAGGTTGTCATCTAGGTCGCGTGTAGGCTCAATCAAGGGGTCTAGGACACTCGAGCGACCTCAGAAAAAATCTGTCTCCGCATCCCATTCTAAGTGTAAGGCCGTTTCAGCACGGAGTGTTGTAGACAATTCAGATTCGCGTTCTCCAGTCACCAGGTCAAATTTAGCGTCCAATCGCTCCAATTGCTCCACTGACGTGGGGCGATCAGTCTCAAACTCGAGAAAATGGTCTCCTGGGCTTCGGATACCTCTTGGAAGCATTAGGCCGCCAAATACTCCCTCACGAAAGCTTATTCCCAACATTAATTGTGTTCCCGAGTCGCTTGCCTTCTCTGATGAAATACCCGAGTCGCATGCCAGTATCGCGAAGAAGCTAGCCAAAGCTGCGCCGGCGCTGAAGGCGTGGAGAGAACGGAATGAACGAGCCACCCCAATCAAATCAAGTCCTGCCGTCCAAAAGCAAGCAACACTGAAGCCTGCATCTCGCAAGGCCGCTCCCCGTATCAGTCCTAGATTATCGATTCCCAAGGGGAAGGGGCTCGCTCCCTCGCATACCCAATGCAAAGCGTCTCTAAAGATTGAGATCATTGAATTAGACAGTGGTGGGGAGACAGGTACCACCACCCCGCTGATCAAGTAGACAACATAAATGCTAACACTACAACAGTGGATATAGAAATACGTCAACGCAAGCCTGTGGTCAAATCTCTAGGCAAAGCACGGATGATCGTGGTATCTGATGACGAAAGTGACGAGAAACATGGGCCTCCCAATGGGACTCGACCAACGGTTAGCGACGAAGAGTCTTTCGACGCTGACCAGCTGAATATGCCCTGGAATGCAGCGGTTCCAGGCGTCCCTATGTGGGGTAGCGTGCCGAAGGGGGGAAAATGCGCCCTGAAGGGGTCTGAAAAAACGTCTATTCCTCCAGCGCCACCACGCAACTATCAAGTGCCCAGGCCCATCCCATCGATCCCCAATGCTTCCCTGGCACAACCTCCACGACCCCCGCATACTATAACGTGTCAAATCCCAGGCAATCCACCACCAAATTGCTTGAAGCCCGATTTCCCGCCAACACCCGCGGATGATCATTTCTTAACTCGACGTTACGAAGAAGTCACCGCAAAGTTGTTGATGAAAGTTCCAGAAATAATTCGCTTGAAATTCTTGCAAACCCGAGATCCACGACTGCTCTTCTCGCACGTAGAATCCCAAAATCAAAAAAAGATCTTAACGGACTGGCTGGAGGCAAATTACTTCATTCCCACTTCCCCCGATACTGTTGTTCGCTCGTATTCGGCTCGTGACTCATCTGAGACTTTGGGACATCATGAGCCAAGCACGGCAATGCCTCATCCGTCTATTTCGCAGTCTAAATTGGACATAATCTCCATTTCTAGCGATGGAGATGATAATGAGAGAGATGTTAATGGTGCAGACGAGATTGCGACACACATACCCAAGGGTTTAATAGATGAACTCAGTGGATTATTGTCGTCAGATAGTGGCAACCTTTTGCCCCTGATTCAGGACTTCGCTGATGTTGATCACAATCGCACTCGGGACGCTCTTTCTCCTTCACTATTGGAGCTATTGAGGATATGTGGTCAGGAGGAACCATTAGATTTTGAGTCTTTCGTTGCAACATTCCCCTTCGACAAGGATATCCAAAACCTTGTTTCCGTGGATATGCATGTTCACGACGTGGATTTGAATTTTCGCAAAGTTGGAGAAGCCAGCTTCAGCGAAGTTTACAGAGTTGGCAATGTGGTGCTGAAGATCATCCCAATCACTTCGACGCTTGATTCTGGTCGCAGGGGAGATCTTCGGCGTTGCCCAAACATATCAGCCGTTGAGGATGTGTTACGGGAGGTTCGGGCTACCGAGAGAGTAGGCGTTTCCCACCCTGGTTTTACACGACTACTGAAGTAAGTCCTCCCATTCTTTGAGTCTGCGCGTCACTGAAGGGAATTATTTAGGACATTCCTGGTGCGTGGCCATTACCCTGAACTGCTGCTCGACGAATGGGATGCGTATGACGAACGAAAAGGTTCTGAAAATCATAGCCCTGGTAAGTTCTGAGAATTTGGAGGAATCATTCTGACTTCACCGTCCCTGGAGAGTTCCTGCCAGCGGACCAGGAATATGTGGTTATCGTGCTGCCACATGGCGGTCCGGATTTGGAGACTGTAGCTCTGACCGCTCAACGAAGCAAAAGGAGGTGTACTTGGCGCCAATGCGCCAATATTTTCTGGCAAGTCTGTGAGGCGCTGGCAGCCGCGGAAGAATTCATGGGATTTGAGGTTCGTTCGAGTGCCGCCTTTCCCATGTTACTCGATCGACGTGCCCTCATCCAAACCAGCACCGAGATTTGCACTGGGGCCAAATTCTCATCGAGGAGAGAAATCAAATGAAATCTAGGAGGAATCTTCCTTTCAATGATCCCTCATTTCAAGGGCTTAAAGCCACCATAATCGACTTCGGCCTGTCACGAATGAGTATTGCACAGATGGATAAAGTATCACACACCTCCCATTACGTTGAATTCGATGATGTAATCTTCAAGGGCAAAGGTAAGTAAGCTCAGCCTGTTTTTCAGGACAAACACCCTTACGGTATAAACAGGCGATTACCAATTCGAAGTATATCGCATGATGAAAAGGCACAATAGTAACGACTGGGAGAAATATTCACCACTCACAAATGTGATGGTACGGATGGCTATTCATTGGGTTCTTCAATTATCTGACTATGTGCTTCAGTGGCTTCACTATTTGTCCCTAAAGATATTTCGTGCTTTCAATCTCAAAGAGCCTGCCCCTGTAAGGAAGGGTTCCTCCGAGAGAGATTGTTGGGATTGCCTTGTTGAAGTCGAAAGGTACCTTGATGCGGCGGTGTCTCACTTACGAGACTCTGGGCACAGAAGGAAGAAACTTTCAAAGACACAAGTGGCTGTGGAGACGCCTGCGTCAGCATCCGACGTGTTCAGTTGGGGAAAGACCCGAGGATGGGTGTGGTAACACGGATATGGCATAGGGTCACCGTAGAGCGTCACGTCTACTCATTAGTTCAAGACAATAGCGGCCAGTACGAAGGCTCCCACAACGGCAGTCCTTCACACCCACCCGGGGCCTGAGATAGCTCTGGTTACACTTGGACGAACACACTCCCCGAAAGCACAGGGGGGTCCACTGGGCCAATGCTTTGAGGACCTGCTGAAAAAAAACATGACACGCTGTTGCAATCGATATCGAGTGGACCAGATAACTTGTCAATTGGCATCGAGAAGCCAAAGAGCAATTTAAACATCAGCCAGTCATTCCTAGCATGCAGGCCATAAACAGTATTGTCGTAGAGAAAAGTCTCATACAGTATGTGCAACTGAATGTTGGACATAACCAATCAGAGGATGGAATGTCAGAGTGCTCTGCAGTAGAACCGTTCTGCTCCATCATACACAGGTTGTGCATTTATTGTATCGGAGGTCTGTACGAGGTTGGATGGGACCTAAATCAAGCAAGGAATTTGATGTGCAGAGAGCGTTAAGATCAATGAACAAAGGTTGAAGAGTTAAGTTTTTTGGGAATAATCAGAGGCCGGGGCATCCGCAGTAATGCAAGCCTGCACTCGGCACCCCATTTCGCCAGCCGCATATACTCGAGATGCTATGTTACAAACGATGGTTCCATCCAGTTCTCGATGTGGGCGATAACACAAGGTGCGCCATTACATCCGAAACCGACCATCCAATCTCGCAAAGCAGCTGGAAGCATTTCTGAATTGAAAACCACAGGATACTTGGGATCCTATGGCATCCTTACTGCTTCTTGAGACAACACGCATTATTTGGGTTTGTGAGACTGATCACATGACCATTGAATAATCTTCAAACCATAGGATCCCAGCCTCCACTAAAGTAGAGCGGCTGCAGTGCGTGAATCATCATGTCCTTTGGCCGTACATCTACCGTAAGTGCTTCTAGCGTTACAGTCCCTTCCTGACTTAATTGGGAGCCCATGCTTTACCGTTAGTCAGCTCTTCCCCCTGGCGCAAACCGAATCCTCTTTGTGAAGAATTTGAATTATAGTATCACTGGGGATGATCTCTACGATCTTTTCGGTCGTTACGGGTCAATACGGCAAATCCGAATTGGGAACGAAGCTAAGACTAAGGGCACGGCGTTTGTTGTATTTGACGATGTGATGGATGTGAGTCTCTTCCTTGGTGGTGATAGTGCTTCTGTTAAGAAACGCACCGTTTTTCGTTCGTTATCAGGCAAAAAATGCTCTAGACCATTTGAACGGGTTTCATCTTCAGGAGCGGTACATTGTTGGTGAGTTCTGAATATGTTGCCTGTCATCTTGGATGCGCTCACAAGCACTGGTCAGTGCTGTATCATATGCCTGGCCGACAGGACGCAGCTGCTGCCAAAGATCTCGCTCGACGAGAAGAAGAGCTGGCGGCTCTCAAGAAAGCGCATAATATACCGGATGAAGACTGATCTGTTATCTTGCCTATTGTACCTTGTACCACATTTAGCCTAATCCAAGCAGTTGCGAATGATTTGGTTTCCCAGTGCTGAATGTGGCATGTCATTAAGGTCAGTGGCATCACGTTCACGTTGTCCCGTCCGCCATATGACGAAGTCGAGAGCAAGAATTGAAGTCTTAGTTCACCAATGTGATACAAAATAGTACTAAGTACAAAGCTAGCGTTATCCTCAAATAATTCCCTGCTTTTTGAGGTCTTCGTACGTTTTCCGGTTGTAAACATTTCCATCGTCGTCCTCAAGTTCCTCCATTGTTTCTTGCTGAAAGATTTCTTGGCGTCCTTCTTGCTTTAATTTTTCGGCGACTGGTTTGACTTCGGTCAACATCGAAAGAAAAGGAAGGTAAGCGCCACCTACGAGCCAGTGCATCTTCAATCCTCGTGATTTCGTGGAAGTGTTTTGTGTTCGGAAGCCCGAGGGCACGCATGCCAAATGCGTGCCGCGACTCCTGCAATCATCGGTGTCTTTTAGCAAACGTGTGCATGCAGGCTGGGGAATCTCACCTGAAAGTGCCGCTCAAAGTTCTTTCTGCACAGGATATTCAAAGCTAGCCCTAATCCCGATGCTGGAGTAGTGACATACCTCCCCATATACACTGCATCCGAACATATCTCGCACCGGTACTCCACGCCTAGCCCATGCAGCTTATACAACCAGTAAGGGATCGGCTTCCCATCCCATCCTAGCGGAAGTTTCAAAGGGTTATAGATTTTCTCTTCCTCTTCTTCCTCCTCGTTGGCATTATCCGTGGTGGTGTTTGTGACGGGAACAGGCTTCTTGGTCGGTGCCTCCTGCTCTAACTCCCTTTCTCGTGCAGTCAGGGAGAATCGGCGCTCCACGTTCGCTTTTGTGTCCACAATTACATTTGCGAGGCCTTCAAGCAGAGGCTGAATTAATGCGGTAAGCCGGGCGGCGGGGTAGAACCTCGATGATGACCGGTCGGGTGTGTCCGGATTTTTGCCGTTTGTTGCTTTATCCCGCGATGCATTAGATTCCGCCCGCTCAACAGCCTTGATATGCTTTTTCGACTTCAGATGTGCATCGTAAACCGTCTGCTTTGAGTACATCTTTTGACCTGCATTGATGTTAGAACTTTCGACCTGGAACAGAGTTCTGTAAACTTACACGCGGAGCACCTTACGCCTTCTCCTTGACCTTCAGGTCCGGATGTATCATCTCCCCAACCTGTTATCTGCCCTTGTTGCCATAACTTCTCAAATTCCTCCTCAGCATCGGCCTGCTCGCGATCAACATCCAATAACGGTTTTGTTCGTTTGGTGAACGAAAGGAGATATGAATGGAGGGAAAAGAGGTACCTGAGGAAAATCCCGACATTAGCAAATGATATTTGGGGCTAGGCGAGACTCACAGCTCGTAATCTTTTTGGCCCCGAATATTTGCTGGCAAGTCATTGTGCAGCGAACCGCCTTTGGACGCGGCAAGAAGATCCAAATACTGAATGTAGGAGACCCGCTTGCCAATATGTTTTATGTTCACATACTGGGTGTGGTTGGTGTAGAGATCAAGGTACCTTCCATAAGACTCCTCCCCCGAAAACAGGAGCCCAATTGCTGCAATGAGGCGTCAGGAAGGGGTCACCATAACATCATTGACGAGACTCACGATCTTCCTCATCCTCGTCCATTTCATCAGCTCTGAAAATAGCTTCCACTTCTATAACGAAGGGGTCTGCTGGGGTGTCAGGATACTTGCTATGGAATTCTTTGATCCTGTTCAACCGGATATAGAACTCAGAAAGCTCCTCGGCGGGGTCAGACGGCTTTGAGACGAGTTCCTGTTCTCTCCGACGCGCGCTAAGGTCCCACAACAGATCAGAGACTCAAAGCGCTGAAGAAGCTGGCAAGATGAACCTATCTACATCTGCATATGAACTAGAGAGGGTAGACATGCGTTCAGCGACGCGCTCTAAGACATGTTTGGCGCGATGCTCGTTTGCTAATCGTACATCATGCTTGGAGAAAGGTGGAACAGTCAGTTAAGTCCCGAATTCGGCAGGAATGGCTCACTTGGCTAGTGGGCTGGGATAAAATAATGGCCAGAGCTTTCTCAAGACGCTCAACCTCTTCGTGAGTTTGTCGCTGGAGTTCGATAATGGAGTCCATGGACAAAGAACGCTCTACAATAAGGCTGTAAGACTGCAATATTCTGAACTAATATCCAAATGTATCCACGTGATCTCGGCGCTTTCGTCCCACGGAACATTCAGCGTTTCACTGGCTCCTCATGCATCTCCTCCTTCAGGAAGAACCAAGGGCGCTGTATCTGGTTACGTCTTCAGAGGATGAGCGCCTCGGCCTTCCACCAAGAGCCCTCATCTTCAAACCTATATCGAATCGGACATCATCCCAAATCATTGTAGAATTCCTGCCCAAGTGCGAGGTAGACCTTGGCAACCTTGTAAGATTGACGAATCGGTCTGTTCAGGGCTGCCTGGGGGTACTTAATATAGCTAATGGTTTGTCGCGGGAAACGTAACCCGCCTTGAACGCTACTCTGATCGGCTTGTGGGGAAATAGATATCTTCATTGCTGTCGTCACTTCAGTGAATTTCATTGGAAATCTCCGCCCTGGGACAGAGATTACAGAGAATGTGTCAAGGGTCCAGGATGTGCAATTCTTTTGCATCAATTCCTCAGCTTATGACGATCTGTCTCAAATATCGGATGTGCTCGCTAGCCCTACATTTACTGATTTCGGTGACTCGGGAAGCGCCTATTCGCAGCCTTCCATTCAGGCACCATCAGGCATACCTATTTATGAGCACCCTTGTGCACCTCTGGTCAAAATACTTTCTACCGGAACATTCTATTTTGCTGCTCGACCCCAATGGGATATCAGCACACGACTTGGTGTTCGATGCAGTCTTGATGGGAATGGCATGGACCGACAAGATGGCAGGTTCATTTGGAATGAGTACATCGCACAACCGCTGCTCGACTTCAGAGAGCGGCTAGATCACTCTGAACAAAGTGAATTGGACGCCTGCCAGTTCATCGTATGTGCGAAAATGAAATGCTGACCCGCATTACTCAAGTATTTTTTAGTTGCTCGTTATTCAAGGGTTTGTAGGTGTCTTTGATGTGCCTCTCCCTGCCCCTCCATCGCACGGCGCTCCGGTCATCGGGACAATCGCGCTTGTGTCTCGGCTGGGCTGGAAACGTGCCGGCACCAGGTTCAATACCAGGGGTGTTGATGACGATGGAAACTGCGCAAATTTTGTTGAGGTTTGATGCGCAATTTTGACTGCAGATTGTGACAGTGCCAACGGAAATTCTAGACCGAAACAATTTTCAGCACGAGTGACCATTCCTTCAGTTATGTGCAAGTTAGGGGCTCTATACCCTGTACGAAATTTTACCTGCCTCTTCCATGTTAGAAGGTGTCTTCTCAGCTGCGACGTGGCCTTTTTCAGTGTTTTGGGAACAACAAGGCTTCCAAACTTTCGGTCAAAAAATTCAAATCACTAAACCACAAATTGCTTCCCAACCAGCTTTTGACCGTCATTTCATGCAACTTGCCGAAGAATATAGCGCGGTCCACGCAATTAATCTACTAGGGACAAAGGAAAACGAAGCCATCCTTTCCGAAGCTTATGCGGCTCACATCCAAGCCGCGGCAAGGGCTCCAGAGTCTGCTACCCCTGGAAAAATTGGTATCACCCATTTCGATTTTCACCAATCCGTCCGAATAGGTGGCCATGATAGTGTGCGAGAAATACGGCGTCTTCCCGGCGTAAAGGACGGAATTGAGGATTACGGGTACACCGTTGTTGACTTAGCACTCAATGAGGTGATTCTGCGCCAAAAGGGCGTGTTTCGGACGAACTGCCTGGATTGGTAAATGCGCCAATACTATTACCTTTTCACACTCACCAAGTTCGCGTTAAGCTTGGATAGAACGAATTTTGTCGAAGATATTCTCTCCCGTTCAGTTCTCGAGAACTATCTTTTCAACTTCCGGAGCGACTGGGTAGCGTCGAATTCCCTCTGGTCGAATCATCGGGAGCTGTGGGCTGAAAATGGGGATGCGCTTTCGCGCATCTACGCTGGAACTGGAGCTCTTAACACCAGTTTTACGCGGAGCGGAAAAAGGACCCTTGCAGGTAAGCTTTTCCCTGCTTCTAACTACTTACGTTAATATGTTGTTGCCAGGGGTTCTTGCTGATGCTAGCAAAAGCGTGTCAAGAGCCTATATAAACAATTTCCAGGACAAGGCAAAGCAAACTGCTATTGACACGTTTCTGGTCCGTTTCCTGTGTTGCATAGGAGGCTAAAACACTTAATTTGGAAACCAGGGGAACCTTCCTCACCAAAAGCAAGTGACGGCATTCGACCCAATCCACGACACAGTCCAGGCTGCCCTTCTAGCGAGGTAATGCTCATGTTCTCGGCACGCTTCCAACGTTTACGCCCCTTCCAGAGTGTTCGAGTACTCGTCGACGAAGCTTACTACAATCTTCACAGGGACATGGAACTTGAATGGTCGAGTAGGCACGAGGTCCTACACTCCGCGGACTGTGACTAACTTTATTCCTCTCGACAAGACGGGATCTGAATCCCTCCTACGCTGGCTTTTTCCTCTTCCTAGTGAGTACCGGTACTACAATTCCGTTCTCATGCTGAATCCCAAAAAGACACTCCTGAGTTAGTGCGATCACTTGGCAATACCATGGGACTGCTGACATCGACGGCCGCATAGTCCAGATCTTTTTGTTATCGGGTTTCAGGAAATCGTGCCTCTGACTGCTCAGCAGATTCTCCAGACGGACCCTGAGAAGCTGTGCGTTTCTTCTCATGAATTATCTCGCATTAAATCACCAACTGCGCTTCACAGTAAACGCTGGGAAGCGATACTAATGGAAACTCTGATTCGTCGACCAGATAAGAAATCTGATTACTTCATTCTCAGAAGCGCCCAGGTACATCCATTCCTGCGCTTTTGGTTCCGTGGCGGTTTTGATGGCGACGTGATTCTCAGCTGGTTGGGACTGCACTCATTATCCTTGTTCGATCCGATTTAACTGGTGTCATACGCAACGTCGATGCTGCAACTAGAAAGGTGAAGGCTTCTCTGTTCCAGAGGTATCTTTGACACCAACATTTCGGTAGACTGGTCTTCGTGGGATGTCAGGAAACAAAGGCGCAGTGGCCATCCGTCTGCAGTTCCATGACACTAGCTTTTGCTTCATCACCGCACACCTTGCGGCGGGTCAGGCGAACTACGAGGAAAGAAACAGTGACTATCGAACCATCGCACATAGTTTGCACTTTCAAAGAGGGCGTACAATTGAATCACACGAGTACGGCCTGGTGCATTCATGAAAGTACCTTCAACTGATTGCCACTTAGCAACGTTATATGGCTGGCGGATACGAATTACCGCATCGACCTCGATAACGAGACGGTACGGGCACTTGTTGCTGCAGGCGATCTGCAGACTCTTTTGCTGTCGGACCAGGTTTGTCAACGTTATGTGGGCCTTTCATTAAGGCCTAACCAAGTCATCAAACAGTTAAAGCAAGCCATGGCTTCCAGGGCTGCCTTCACCGAGTATGAAGAAGGGCCCATTCTATTCGAGCCCACATACCGCTATAATGTTGGGACAGATCTGTATGATACGAGCGAGAAAATGCGCATCCCGGCTTGGACAGGTTAGATTTCAAGGAGTGGCCACTATAGTAGCACCTTGACTTATGGGTCTTCTAGACCGGATATTGTACCAAGGAACGAGCCTGGATCTGTCGGCATACTCGAAAGCCGATATTCGTAGCTCGGACCACCGTCCAGGTGACTCTTGACACCTAAGTGATATGCACTCGTCATAACTGAGTTCATATCCAGTGTTCGCCCTATTCCGTGCGGAGGTGCGCATTGTAGATACAGCAAAAAAGATGGGTATTTCCCAACAGCTCCTCGCGGACCTTTTGTCTAAAAATGACATTCAAACCCTGGAGTCCAACTTTACCCGTATTTCCGTCGGTTCGACACACTCATGTGTGCCCTTTCGTTTTCGTTACTCGAAATCAATGCTGATTATGTTTTCGACAAGTACCACCTCCTAGCTCAGACGTCGCCGCATGGTGGGAAGATGAAGGTATCGACGCCAGTATAATTTTTCTGGTGTCTACTAATGAACCCACAGATCACCCGAATGGGGTGTACGTAGACACCCGGCAAAACTTTCAATCAACCTCCAACCCATTCGATTCCTCTTCCAACTCCAATTCTTCGGACGATGAACTCTATAAAGATGCTCAGACAGAAACCTTTACTCAGCCTCGTAAAAAGCCCCCTCCACCCCCACGGCCAGCCAGATCTGCAATAGATTCCGCGCAATAGCATAGTGTACTTGTACTGTGTGTAATATCATATCGCCGAACATGTCCTTTGCTGTAATCCATACACAGGCGGTTCACCTCTCGTAGATGCTGCCTAACCAGCAAAGGCGAAAATTAATAAGGCAAAAAAGTAAAGAAAATATAGTGCCGAGCCCCGCCCAGGGATCGAACCTGGAATCTTTGCCTTTCTTTTCCAGAGTAGGAAAGCAACGCAGTACCATTATGCCAACGGGGCCAGCTGCCTTGTTTCCTCCTTCAAGATGCTTCACAGATTATTGGCAAAGTATAGGAGATTGGCTCCGGAAAGTGCGAAACTGTGCCGGAGTCATCTGGTAATCAAAACCACATGCACATCACTGGAACGAGAGAAAAAGACCCGATGCCGGACACAGAGTCATGAAAGAGGAATGCGCGGGACTCGAACCCGCAGCCTCGAGATAAAGATTCTCACGGTGTTGTCCGCGCCATCTTAGAAGTCTCGCGCGCTACCATTGCGCCAGCACTCCCGCCATTACTGCCTTGGGGCATTCATCAATCTATCAATGCTAATTAGGCGCCAGAAATTGAACGAACAAAGTCATCAATTCAGCAACAGCCCTTGGCGCTCTCAGGGGCAGCCTGAAGTCCAAGAATTACAACGACAGCAACTACCTGTAGACGGCGCTAATAGTATTGAGTATCGTTAGGCTGCGCCCGATAGATTTGCAATATATGTACACATCCCACTGTCCAGTGGCAAACTAAAGCTTTGACTCCCCCTACACGCAAAAGTGTTCAGCGTATCACAGAGGTGAACGAAGCACAAAGTCGATCCACCTTAAGGACTCTCCTGAATGCATCCCTAAAATCTGCTTTCAAGTCCTACAAGACAGTATGCTGAGAACAAGGCCCAGTTACGAATGAAACTGACCAGATACCTCAATGTCTTCGAGACCAACACTAATCCGAAGCAATTTGGGATCAGCACGACGGTCCATTACGTGACGTTGTTCGATGAGAGACTCGACGCCTCCGAGACTCGTGGCACTCTATTAAACTTCGTCTCAAAATGGGGACACAAAAAGGACATGAAATCCGTACCGTAACGAACGCCAAGGAGAGTGCAAGTGCCCTGGCGGCCTTTCCATCTTTAACAAGGATCGAAAACGTAGGTGAATGTCCACCCGTCATTTGCTTCTCTACGAAAACATCGTGTCGTTGAAAGCTACCGTGCCAAACTTTGGTGACAATTCCTCCTGGAACTCTATCCCATTCCGTTCCCACAGGCACTCTGGCGAGACGATCTAACCATTGTGCGAGTTGAGCTGCAGTTCTAGACTGCTTTAATACTCGAAGCTCCAAAGTGCGAAGAGACCGAAGGAGTAGGAAGGCTTCAAGAGACCCCTGGTAATAGCAAACGAAGCTGTAATTAGAAATTATGGCACTTTGGTAATTGGGGGGAATGAAAATAGACGGTCGCTCCAAAGTCAACATCAACTCACCATAACACTCCCGAGGAAAACCCGTTCTTTCCAAAGCTGGACGGCCGCCTCCTCTGATTTGACAACGAGAACACCACCCAACAAGTCTGAATGCCCTCCAAAGTACTTCGACGCACTATGCATGACCATGTCTGCTCCGAACTTGAATGGGTCCTGGAGAGGTGGAGGGGCAAAGGTCGCATCGATGACAAGGTGCGCAGAAGTTGCATGAGCCTGAACCACCAGTAGTCCATACACGAATAAGAAAAAAAAGATGGGGGAGGCCATGTGATCAGCAACTTTCGCACTCTACGTTGAAGGTAGTGGCGTACTTTGTCCGCAAAGTATTGAATGTCCTTCACCTCGCCGGTAGGGTTCACTGGCGTTTCAATCCACACCAGGTCGCCTTGAACATAGGGTTCATCAATGTCGATCACTTTCTGAAGGAAAGATGTTTGGTCAAGTCATTTCATGAAGTATGTCTGTGCTTACGAAATCCGGGTTAACTTTCTGATAAGTGGAAATCACCTCACGAACGCCAAAGTATCCATCCCGAAAAGCGACACGCTTAGGCTTATAGTAAATCAGTGCAGCGAATGCAGCCGAAAGGCCCGATCGGTATGTAGTCGCATAGCCACCCTTGAACAGAATGTCACTCCAACATCCAGGTAGAGCATCAAGGAATTATTATACACAAATGTTCCCGAGAACTTTCTCTACGCGGGTAAAGACCGGCTGAGTATACCGAGAATACACGTGGCATTCGGGATTGAGGGAATCAACATCTTTAAATTCTGGAGGCAGGTCGCCAGGAAACTCGCGCTGCTTGAACGCTAGGCAATGGAAAATGCTCAACAATAACGCTCGATCGAGAAAGAAATTTGCTCGCACTGGTTGACACGGAGATATCAGGTGCGACTGCACCATTCCCAGCGAATTTATGATCACCGTGCAATAAGCGGGTAGCGAAAGTGGCTTCAGCAAGCGCAGTTTCGGTGATTTTCTTCTTGGAGGTAGGAGCCATAGGGGAAACAACACTTAAGGGTGGGAGATCAAGGGCTAGATCACGATGTGTCCGGGCCGAGCCGGCGCGACTTAGCCGAATCCAGATGTCGACATTAGTGCCGTAATATTCGTGCATTGGGAGCGGACAGCCACCCAACCAACAAGACACATCGAAATTCCTTTGGATCTCCGCGTGTGCGAACTGGGCAGGAGCTGCCGGGAATTACGGGAAGGCGGGCAACCTCTGGACATAGAGTTGATTGCGCCGAGAGTGTGGCCAGACTCAATTTCTCGAGAAGTTGAGATGCCTCCACTCCATTCCAAGTTGTTTGCGAAAGAAGGCATAGGATTGATGCTCCAGGCCTCCGATTTGACCTTCTCTCGGATCCCAAAGCCGGGTGTGTTATCTGATTTCAAGAGGGAGAGGGCATAACATAGGCAGGGATTCCAGCCTCTATGACTTCGTGATATGGCATGACACAACAACAACGATGCGCGATCACATGGCCTTTAGTCTTTCACATGACAACCGATTGGATTCACCCCAGCACTACTTGCTCTGCTTTATTTCATCCTAATAGGATATTGGACTTTGGATTCGCTGTCATCCCTCTAGGTTACTATCTCCTGCCTTTTTTTCTTGGCTGTCCATGCTCCCTGGCCGGGAAGAGTCTAAACCCACACAGCTCTACGTCCCTTGATACACTTCGTGAATAACAAAGACCCTTTGAAGCCTCAGACGATCAGGAGACTCTTCAGTGATGGCTTCACACAGCAACACTGGTGCAAACAGCCCTAAAAGTCATCGCCATAACCCTTCCACTTCATCTGCTGTATCGTTTCCTCCAGCTTTGTCCCAGCCGGGCGGTGGTGGTGGGACCCATATGAGCCAATCTGCCATACCCTTCCCTACGCGCTACGATAGCGTTGCTACATCCTCTGACATGGTGCACCATCGAAATGCTAGCATGCTGTCTTTCCCTGGAACTGGGCGATTATCTATCAATCGTGCAAGCGCGTTGGAATTGCACGACCTTATATACGGTAGTTCTATTCTACGAGATGGCCCTTCTGGGGACGCTCGAGCCACCATTGAGAGACTATATGAAAGGGATGCTGGTACGCCGCCTGTTGTACACCCTGCCCCATAGCCTGGATACCGATAAATCCTCTTAAAAAGTCTATTCAAACCCCTTATTGACGGCGAGCAGTGGAGATGTGATCAAGGATATCCATTCTCTCGTGCACGCCTTCACGGCTTTCTCACTTCCAACACCCTTGTCATTATTCAAGCGTATGCTCCGCAGCAAAGCCGAGACCGAATGGCTCAATATTGCAAGGGTTTGGAGCGAAGTCGGTGATGTAATGGAGAGCGACGTATATGGCGAGTACTACCCCTGACCCCGCTTTACCAAACGTGTGTTGCTGAACGTTCCTGCCATTTCGCTCCATGTGATATCCTGTTCTTGTATAAACAGATGGTCATCGTAAAGTGATCATTGAGCACACCGTATATTTGTTATTCTTCCCCGGTAAACCCAACTTGATATCCGGCTCTCAGCACAGTGAAAACTCATTCATCTTTTCGCAGATATCTTCGCTCCTGATTCTGCACCCACTCAATCCGACCTCCTTCGCTTCAGCAGTACATCTTCCACTATCTCAAGTTCCACAACTACACCCGGTGACACCACACCCACATCATTCCGTAATCTTTCCCTCTATTCACATCCTAGTCAACATCATCTTCATCATACTCCACAAAAGCAAACAATTTCTTCCACAGCTCGTGCACTCCTCTCACTTTGTAGGCGCGTGACTCTCCCGGTTCACACCCGATTGATGTTCAATGAATCCGGACGGGTGGTTCATCATCAGGATGTTTGGGATGTGAAAGATGTAGTGAGGATGATACCCGGAATGAGCGTCATGCAGTGGGCTGGGTCAAGGTTACTCGCGGGCGCCCTTAGCAGAGGGTATGGGTTATATGAAACCATCGTGACAGTAGCTGGTGACAACGGAAATGGGTCAAAGCGAGTTTCGGGTGAAGTGGAGGATGAGGAGAAATTGGGCTTGTTGGAGGCGAGAGCGACTGATGAAAGCGCGACTCCATCGGCGGGTAATGCTTTAGGATTGAACCTAAGTGATGCGAGTGAGAGAGCAGCGAATATTCAGTCGGGAAGGATGAGAGCGCCCGACATTGACGTCTCGGCGCCGAGTCCTTAGATTTTGTAGGGCTATTACCTTTGATAACAGACATTTTCCCTCCGTGTGGCGCAAGGTAGGATGTATGTAATGCAGACAAGCGGACATACCGTTACACCTTAGTATGCCCTATGTATAACTCCAAGACGATACTTGTGTCCAACTGCAAAGCCGAAACAGCCTACAGTGAAGGTGATCGACCAGGAACCCTTGGGCCGTGCGCCGCTTCGTCCAATAATGATATCCTATCTTACTGAGCCCTAACGATGGTACAGATACAATGAATATTGTGGAAACGGGGGAAGGGAACAGTGGGATTTCAAGTGTACTGCTACATAAGGAAAAGTTGTCAGGGGCCAGGGGCTGAGGATAACCCCGAGATATCCATCGTCGTCACCAAACTAGATGAAACTTGCCGCCCATATATGGGAAGTAAGTCAAGTGTGGCTAGAGAGAATGTAGTTGCTCAGGGGAAGACAAGAGGGTAGGCCATCATGGATTTGCGTTCCCCGCTCCCAACCGGAAACCCAATGGGTTGTTATCGTGCCTGAGACGTTTCCAAGTAGGTTGCGCTTCGGAGGTCAGCTCCAGGTCTTGATAAGAAGGTTACTGCGCTGGTCTGGGAGTCCAACATTGAGGTTTGGACATGTCAACGCCGTGTAGTCCTAATTTTGTTGGCTGACGACACTAAGAGACCCAGATTGGCGTCTTCGACTTCAGCATGCGGGAGACGATAGGATGATCAATTCTATGCCGAAGTGCAGTCTATTCGCTGCTCATCCGCCAAGGAACCAAAAAGGGAAGTTCTGTATTCCAGAGGAAAAATGGTCTCGAGTGCTGTTCCCCTTTCTTTGTGAAAGGGGTCCCTACGGATGAGATGCAATTTCCAGAAAAGCATCCTGGGAGTACCCCTTGATTCCCACACATCGGGCATGGTTACTAACCCTCGGGAAAACAACTGCGACATTGGGATTAATATTGTGCAAAAAATGTCGCCAAGCTCCATCGAAATTACTATTACGTAACTAAGGGCGCTGTCGGCACGTGTTAGCCTGTCTGTGGCGGCTAGTACTAGTGTGGCCTTGCCGTTCTTCACTTCGATATTCTGTCATACCACGCCCGGATTGCACGTTTCCTGTGGGATTCGAACTCACCGGGTACAAATAACTTAACTCCACTCCAATTACAAACTCTGAAGGCTGGTAATCCCCGTGTATGTGTAATTCTGGATACTAGGCAGGATCCCAGCAGTAGATCTGGATACTTAGTTTTCAGGTAGGAAGGTAGGCCGCTTCTGAGAGTGCCCAGGGCAGGGGTCGTTGGAATAAACAAAGAAACAAAACAAAAATTAGCCCGATCTGAATGTACCCGTCCTCCTTCATCTACGTAGTAACCAGATCATGCTCCATTGGCGAGTCACCATTTACAGGTGTTCGTATATTGTGTTTCTGGTAGGTTGGTAACTTGCGTAGTGGATCCATGCTGTTCTTGCAATGCAAGACGCTACATAACACGATCCACCGCCGGTCCAATTTTCCATTCCCCCTTCCCGCATATCCAAATATCTCTAAACTCATCTAGCAATTCCCGCGTCTCTCTGCTTGTATAATACTAATAACAATTACAAAGTCATCTCCAGACAGGCTATTTTCGCTTTATCAACTTCAGGACGTTTCTGTGCATTATTGATTTGGGCATATGAGCCTTTGTGGATGAGAAACATCGGGTCACCTCTGTCCTTATCCGGCAACAAGCAACAGCGTCCAAATTAAAAGTGTGATGGGAACGGACGTGTCGGCCCTAATCAGTTGTACTATAATGGCCCGTTGGATAAGTGGCAAAGATTTACTTTTGGCCGAATCATTGTCCCACGAAACAAACTAGGAATCGGCGGAGAACATTGGTTGGGAGTTGGCTTCTGCTGCCTCCGGCATAGCATAACACGCCGCCGTCTCTCCCGCTCCTGAGCGGATCACTTGCACCACTACCCAATCTACACGTAAGCTTGATGACCTGCGGCGGCGAATAAAGATTAGTATGCCATTTGCCACTTTCTGGAGTTCACTTCACCTCTGTAAGACTTCGACAAGCCCCAGATGTTGCGTATTTAACGGCCCGCCCACTCTAATCCTTCCAGTCAGCATGCAATAAAAAGACAGTCTGATTTGGGCAACCGCCGAAGCGCGTAATGCTTGGGGGCCATGCCTCATGATAGTTAGGATGGAAAGGGATGATAGTGTGGCTGGAAGATGAGTAGACCCTTAGGCCGTCAACTGAGGGTGGAAGTCGTAGCAAGGTTGGAATTGGTGACTCAGACGATTGTCGTGAAATAAATGTTCCAACGCAATCACCAATCCTCGCAGCTGGTCATCGAACGAGAATTCGAGCACTACCAAGCGGATCGAAAGATACGAGAAACCCACGACGCGTCGAGGAACACAATATCAACAAACCATCGACGAGGAGTCTGGACTACAGGGAGTTCAACGTGGTTGAGAGGGGTCAGGGGGGAGTTGTTGGGGGGAATCTCTCTTACCTGATTCGCGTAGTGCTTTCAAGCACACAAGAGATCCAGGTGAGAGAGCACGGCCACTTTTCGACAAAAACTGCAAGAATTGTGCCTGAAACCTCAGATCACTTACACTGCGGGTTCAAACAAAGCGGAAATGCTTATGCAGCACAGTGGCAACTCATGAACCCATACTCGCCGTCCTCTTTCCGACAAATAGCAGTAAGGGAAGCCCGAGAATCTGCTGAACATGTACTGCTGCTTTGTATTCTAGGATTACAGCACGAAAATTTTGCATCCACAAGAAGGATGCTCTGCCCATCTATCACTATTCCTGACTATTCCCGTTATCGCAATGTTCACAAAGGCCCATGAAGTTGGGACCAAACCCTTGGAAAGATAATGACTTTATAAAGCACACGCCACAGATACTAAACTAGATGATCCGGTGCCGCATGGGAGATGACAGATGCACGCCGATCAAATCCAAGGCGGAAAAGTCCTTTCGGGAACTCCCTTCGCCGCGTCCTTCTCAGAAGATGGCCATGTCAAATTTGAACACAGATCGAGTGTAAACATTGGAATACAATTGAGTGGTTATTGCCGCGCGAACAATTAATACTGTAGTAAAACGGGTAACTCAGCAGAGCAAACCGTAGTCGTTCAATAATGCGGCGTTCGGCAAGAGAACTTCGATACCAGCAGTAAGTGTCATTTCGAATTTCGAAACTAGTAAGAGTGCGGCACGATCAAAAGACCCCGCGTATAGCACAGGCCGGTGAAGAAAGACTTTGGCGCCAGTTAAGCTCGAATACGCCACCCATGAACGAAGTTGGAACGGAGAACTGTCATTGGACTTCAATTCAATTGGAATTTGCCGAACATGTGACACTGAAATTTGGTTTTTCGTCAACGTTTCGTTCAATTGCAGGCCTCTTGCACACCACGGGCGTGCTCGAGCAGAGAAATCACAGGATTCCCAAGAGTCGTGCACACCCTCAAGATAAATTGTCTTGACATTAAAGGTCGAATAAACGCGCCCCTTTTCTTTTTGACCAATTTGCTCAATCGTTGTGACGGTGTGCGGCCGCGATCCCCTCCCGGGTTTCTCGCCTCTGGGGTCACTCGTGAAACTGCCCAGGGACCAAATAATGAGGCTCATGGGAGGATATTAGGAAATGCAATAAAACACAAACGGAATCGTTCAGGAAGTTAGAGACCGAGTGTTTCCTCAAATTCACAATCATCCGCAAGATATTTCGGGCCATCAGGTTGATGATGCAACAGCAAGCACTCGCTGATTAACGAATACCCAACATTTGGGATAATTTTTGCCAGCATACAATCTACGATTTCATGATCTCCGGCTCATCATTGTGGGTCGATCTTTAACGGACAACGAGATCCCCATAAACCGAATCGAAGCCATCATGCAGTTGCGGAGTCTCGCCATTCCTGCTATTTTTCTGGGAACATCAACAATTCTCCCAGGTGCTTTAACGGAATCGGTCATCTCCGTCGAGGCCGCGCGATACTTCATCTCATCGCTCCCGAGGCTAGTTGCATCACTGTTAGATAGCGGGTAATCGTTCATGCAGTACGAGATGTGAGGATTTCCATAGCCCGCGTTTACATGATGAAAAAAAACATTGATGATACACACTGACACATGCTAATAGAACCTCACGTTACATTGCGGAGGATACCCAGGAAAGACTGGGGTGAGATATGGCTGTATCAACGAACGATTCCTTGTGTATTAGGCAAATGATGGCTGAGATGCTGCTGATTGAGGGATTATTCACTTGAAAGGGGCTCAGCCCGCTAAACTTTGGAGAATTGCGCAAAAAATGCTTTCAAGTCATTCCATCTTCCACTCAGGATGTTTCCCCCACTTCCACGGCATTCGCACCTTGTGTGTGGCTTACCATTTGAAGATGTGAAGCTAAAGATCCGTCGGGTCCAGTTTGGATTCGCATCACATCAGGCAGTATCGTTGTCTCGACGAGAGGTGTGCGAGCCCTTTATCCAAGTCATCGACTGGGACACCGAATGCCTTCTACTTCCCTCTGCAATGAAAGGATGTCGCTGGACGAAATGAGTCCCACGACATTTGCATTTTTCCGATTTCATAAACCTACTCCTAAGTATATATACAGACCAACACAAAATGATCCAAAGAGGCTCACGGCTTCAGCACGCCAAACGCGCTTGACAGCTGTCACCGGGAACGGGAGAACTGGGGAACATGTGAGGCTGTGCAGTGGCTGCTCGTTACATAATCTCGCTGCGTCACGATCTCGGTCTTCATTTTCACCGGTGACGAAGTGAATTCCCTCAGAGGAAGGTTAAGCCCTTTCTGCAGCCATCCGATTTCTCAGCCAGCATCGCCTGGCTCGGTATAATACACCCAGATCGTATATTAGCATCTGCTGGGTTGCTGGGGCTCCAACCTCCGGCCATCCAAGGAAAAAAGTGCTCATGGAGTCGGCTTCTCTCACTGAGGCCCATATTCCCCCCGTATCATACCTGGAAAGTGCTACCAAGAAGCCGTCCGGAGAACAGCCCCGATCTAGATCACCTGCAGCTGCGTTTTATGAACATGCAACTAAGTCCCTAAATTCCTTTCACAATATGATAGTGCTTGCGAATGCGGAGGATGGATGGGGAGATCCTTCCAAATCTATTTGGAGGGAGGTTGGCCAGCCACCTACTCCTCTCAATAGTCTCCAAGCATGTCTCGAGCATGCGAGCAGTGGTGCAATTCGTGGGCTCTTCATACAATATCCCAACTTTCACGAAGCTAATTCACCCCCAGGCTCTCTCATCCTCGCCGGAGGTATCCGCGCAGGCGTTAATGCTATACTCCTTGTCCTCAGAATTCCTCGCTCGCCGCGGTAATGAATCACCGTTGATCTGGAAAATCTTCTGCAGCTATACTGACACGCATCATAATAGGAAGTTACGCTTTCGAATGATACTTTACGCCATTTTTGGTGCTTCTACTCTCCGTTTTGGGGCGATGCTTGGGTCTTTCACATTCATTTATAAATTTGTCCTAAACAGTCTCCCTCTCCTTCCAATGGATGCCCAGCTTGCAATTGCCCAGTTTTTCTCATCTAGGGATCTGAGCGAGGCCTTCTATTCAAAGTCTTATGGAGACTCGCCCTTGGATAGTGGTTACGAACTTGGCATACCCTTGCACAAACCAAGATCGAGACTCGAGAGACTGAAAGCTGAGACGATTGCCGAGGAACCCAGGAAGAAAACCTCGCTAAGCTTGACCGGGAAGTTCAATTATTCGAGAATACATGTCGCAAGATGGCATGCGTTCGCAGCGGGTGCTTTTGCTGGATTTAGCGTTCTGTTCCAGAAGGGAGAACAAAGGACAATGGTTGCTCAGCAGATGTTCGTTAGGTGTGCAACGTTATAAGGCTAAGAATCTCTGCTTCCCCTGAAGGTCTTTCGTGACAGAGGGTTGCAAGGTTCCTGGAATGCTTGGAGCCCAAGATGGGGAATACATGTGCCTTACGGGACCTTTGTTGTCTTTGGTCTATGGTAAGTGCCCACTGTACCATAGATATCAAAGGCCGACGAGCTACATTACTCTAGTTGCGGTCAGATCATGTACTCTTTCTTGCTTCGACCCGATGCCATTCCCGAGTCATACAACCGATGGTTTGTTTGCTAGCCTTCGACGAAGTGGACAGTGACTGACTTGTCGTGCGTATCTCAAAGGATTCTGAGGGCATCGATGGCCAAACCGGAAAGTTTCCCCATTAATCGCTCAGCATATCGAAAAGGCACATTCCCTATCGATGCGATGGAAAAGTTGATGAAACGTCCGGTGGGTTGTCCCTTCGTTTAGGTCGGTATGATAGAGATCAGTAACACTGCCCGAAGGACAACACTGCGTATAACTTGTCTGTCATGCAATCCATGGTAGAGAGAGCTAAACAGGGGGATTTCTCTAACGTACGCATCACATGCGAGACTATACATCCTTGGATTGATAGCTGTCTCTACGTGGAAGTGGATCGGTTCATCAAAGTCTTTTCCTGGATGTTTCCAGTTTACGGTGCTCTGCATTTCATTCCAATGCTCCTCTTTAGAAGAAAAATGTTCATGAGAGAACCCCTCCTCATGTTATTGAAAAGCTTCAAGGGAACAGTGAGAAGCTCAACGTTCCTATCCGTTTTCGTCTTCATCTTTCAGTGTGCGTGGTTGCGGGTTTCTATTTCCCCGATCACAGCCGGCAATTCCATTAACTGTTATGCTATCCTCAGCACTTCTATGCATCAGAATTCAAGCGTATCAGTCGAAGTGGGCTCAGCAACTGATGAGCCGGAAATTCCGTGACGCGCTATTTATGTCTCGCATATCTTGGTGGCTCTCAGGCTCCATGTGCGGTCTTGCTTTATTGGTTGAGGAGAAGCGGCGTCGCGCGGAACTTACCATGTATGTCCTTCCACGAAGCCTGGAGAGCGCATGGAGTATGCTCAGGGGAAAGGGATGGTTGCCGATCATACCTGGCGGAGAAAGTTTGCTTTGTTCTCTTGGAATGGGGATGATGATGGTGGGTTCGTTGCCATACCAAACCCACACCGCTGATAACATCGGACCATTGGTACGACTCACAACAGAGCACTTATCAAGTAGGTATCCATTGACCCCCTTTGTGTTTCATACTAAGTTTTCGCAGTGCGATCCAGAACACCTCTCGGGACTTATTCGTCGAGTATTGTATCAATTCATAGGGCCAAACTAATTCCCAGTCCTCGTTTCTTATGGGATTTACTTATGCGTGTTCTACTCGGATGGGATGTATTATGGACGCAGTGAGCATTAATTGATGCGAGCAAAGGATAGCGGCAAGGAACAGGCTCTGACTTGATACCTAGAGGATGCAGAGCATTCTTCGCGATGGTCCAGTGGTGTGTGATACAGGCTTTTGTATTCAATCTGCATTCTTAGACTTTGCTAATTGGGAGCTCCGGTTTTATTGGTATCGAGGAAGTCCCTTGTTTATTTTGCGACACTCAATTGGGCATATACAGACATTCGGTAGCAACCGCAACCGCGCTAAGTGCGTGGGTTTATCTGTCTCACTGTACAGCGGATAGTTCCTCTCCCGTGTGACCCTTCCCTGCTTAGCCTTCCATTGACCAAGCTTTCGATCGAACAAACGACGGTGACCGATTTCTACTTCCCTATAGCAGTATTTGGACATGGGACCGCTGAGATATGACCGCTGCATTTTCCACTCTGCCCGGGACCCTTTCAACGATTGCAAATTGTAGCACAGGCGGACAGTCTTTTTTTGGCGAGGAGCACCTCCACTCCTGGCTATCTAGAGAGAATGCCGGCATTCATGACTCGCCGAACTGCAATCAAGGTGACCCTGTCCGCCCAGCTGTGTACTCATGGGAGTGACGAATTAGGACCTTGACATCGATGGTATAGTCGGTCTGAGTCAATCACGCACGCTGCTGGCTTGCCAGCCATCGGCCAATTGCTGTTGCACTTGAGCGCGGCGTTAGCCGATTATGTAAATTCGATCGTCAGGCTGCAATATTATAGGAAGATCGAATTCCTGTTGCAGTCAATGCAAATCTTTGACCTTCGAAATGATGTTGTTCGGCTTTGTGGCCGCTGCATTGGCCTTCATACTTGCATAATCTCGACCAATCATGCGCGGCGCCCACCTAGGCAATGAGCAGTTGACAAATCCACCCGATCCTACGATTTGAAAACTGGCCCCGGGCACATCCCACCGCTCTGAGAATGATGAGGGTCCAGGATGGAGGTCCAACTACATGGAAACCTCCCAACACCCGCGACCTGCACCATCCGCAAAATCCCCTTGGGAATGAGTGAGATACCATGTACACTTCGCCTATCACGCACCGCCTACCGCATGCCCCGGTCAATCTTTCTCATTCATGCCGAAAATCGCGCACAGATCCAGCTATTCTATAGATTGTTTCTCTCATCGACCGAATGCTGCTGAGCTCACATGTTTCTCTTTCTTTTTCCTCTCCTACATGACACCCCCTGACACCACAAACCCAACGATTACATGTTAGCCTTTTTCATTTTCTGTCTTGATGGTTTCTATAGATTGTAGGGGTGGCCGCACATGTTGCGTCGTCACGCGACCGCGGGGTAACTTGAAGACAGAGTAACAACAACAACAACAGCGTGTGAATGAAATGACGTTGGACTTCCCAACGAATCGGCCGAGCAGTCGATCATTTTGTGAGCCGCTGTTTTTTCAGATGCTCAGGTCTGTCTAGTTTCTGCCGCTAAAATCATGTCGCACTGGTTGGGGTGTGTGAATCTTACCACCAACCTGCGAATTCATTTCTTGCGGGAACTTGCGTTTGCACAAATGATGACCCAATATGGCAAGAACGTGTCAGCCTCCATTCACACCTCATGTCCTTCGGTCTCAGAACCACAGGCGCCGAAGCTGCCCTCAAATTACAGGACCACATAAGGGGAAAGAATGGTGGGTTATTACATGGCTAATTGTGCCAATGGTCAGTTGACAGGGCTCTCGATTTCCCGTAGTCTTGATCACGGGTGTCACGCAAGGAGGTTTAGGGGGGGAAACTGCTCGTGTATTATCCCCATATGTGAACCTTCTTATTCTTGTGGGAAGAAACCCTGATAAGCGTGTGGGACCTAACTCACTCGCTGCCAAACCGCTAACACTCTACGGTTAGGCTGCAGGAAACTTTGCAAGTGATAAAGGGAGAAACCCCATCAGTAAACGTTCAAACAGTGTCAATCGATCTCAGTTCTCTTCAGTCTATCCGAAGAGGGGCACTTGAGATTGCGCATCCCATACATGTATGGTTCCTGTTTCTGGGAAAGGGACTGATTCTCATTCTTCCACAGGTGTTGATTAACAACGCTGCAATCGTTCCGACTACCGAGTTAACCCGCACGAAGGACGGGTTCGAGAGCCAATTTGGAACAAATCATCTTGGCCATTTCTACCTTACATCCCTTCTTTTGCCACGTATCCTATCAGCAGTATCAGCATCCTATTCACCGCGTGTTGTAAACGTGTCAAGTGCCGCCATTCATGATCCCAGAGTGGGGTCGAATATCCGACTGGATGACCCCAACTACATATTACGACCAGAGGAATATCAAAGAATGATATCATATAGCGTGAGCAAAGTGGCGAACACTTTGCACGCTCGCGAGATTGCAAAACGGTACAAAAGCGATGGTATACTGGCATTCTCGCTGCATCCAGGGGGTGTTTGGACGAATCTCGTTAATAACTCCCCGGTGGATCTACGACAGGAGCTCGGGTTGATTGACGAAAATGGAAAGGTACTGCAGCCTGAGAGATTCAAATCAATTGCAGAAGGGACATCTACGTGAGCTTCCGCTTTCTCACGAATACCTTCACAGTTAGCTCTAATGAATGGCAGTCACATTGTGGCTGCTTTTGATCCCTTAATCAAGGAATACAGCGGAGCGTACCTTTGTGACTGCCGCGTCACAGCTTGGAACGACCTCCCGGCATGTTTGAATGAAGTATGTCTTTCTCGGTAACGATTCGCAGGTGCAATGGGTCTTACCGGCGGCGCAGGACAATGCATTGAAGCTTTGGATGCTGAGCGAGGAGCTCACTTCAAAGGGATCAATAGAGATAGACGCATGAGTAAGCACTTGCTAATCCATTCATTCACAAGCTTATACTTTAGCACTCTAGGCCCAAATCTTTGGCGAAGTGAGCAAGAACAGGCCTATCGAACGATCGTGTGAAATTTCAATCAACCAATGTACATGTTCATGTATCCATTTAGAACTGAGAACACCTTGGTACCTTTTTTGGTCCATATATTCACTTTGTTTTGCCAATATAACTAACCTGCCCGGGGTACACCGATCCCGTCCAGCCGGTGGCGGACGTATCTGTGTGCCACAAAATCCATTCTTGCGAGGCTGGGCCAGTCGGTAATCTCTTGCTTGGTGCTTTTTTCGGTCACTTCCTCGTGGTTTGTCCCACCGGGAATCATATATGCTGGTGACGCACTTCCTGCTTCTGGACGGTTGGCCCGTCGCTGGCCTCTCTAAACTTGCCCGCTGAAGCTTCCGCAAATCCAATATGTCCCAACTGAGAATTAAAAAGATGTTCTAGGCAAAACATCCCTTCTCAAAGTCAGGGATATACTAACTTCAACGTGTGGATGGGATTCACAGAATGGGGAATGCAGCGCGGCATCTTGATGGCAGTGCTACAAACGGCAGGTGTGGAGTATCAAACTACCACGATCTCGGACGAGCTAATGATAGTAGACTCCCTTACCCTCTCATCACGATTTCGCATCCAAGACTAAATTAGAACTGGAGGGGAGAAAGATATTATCCAACGCGCAACGTGTCGCATTTCTCACGATGAACAGTTTTGGGGTAGGGCTTCAAATACTTGGGTAAACCTACATTCTGAGGCTATATTTGGTCCCGTAGTATCCGGTGAGTGATAGTTTTTGGGCCGAAAATAGCCTGTGGGCCCTTACCCCCTCCTGGGTTGTCAGTTTCGTTTCCAATGGAACTTTGCTCAAGTACGTGGTGGGAAATTGCGCGTTGGCCGGTGGTCTGTTGCCATCAATATGCCCGCGACGCGACAATCTGCGCAATGGTTACGACTTCCGTTCGCGTTCGAATCTGCTAGGAAGGTGAAAAGGACTGCATCTCGGACCGAGGGGGCCAGTCATAAGTATAGGAAACAGCAGAGCTTCAAGTTGAGTTCCTCCGAAGGGCGCGTACGAACTTGGCCTATGATGCTCAAAGTTCGAATAACAACGGCTACAGATAATTGATCACTCCAGTGAATGGTGCGAGCTTTTTCCAGTGTGCTGACGCTTGTGGATAGTGGGTTGCGGCCTCCCTGGAAGGCTACTCCCCTGGGACGAGCAAACTTTTCGGACGTCTCATTCTTGTTGGCAGGTCTGAAAGTTGGTGTTCCAGGCTAAACACAAATAGCAATTTCTGAAGACCTGCAGGTGAAATAAAAGGATCGACGATGAGGATAGCACGGCTGAGAAGTTTTATTCCCTTCATTTGTTTTGCGAACTTGCTTGTTAGTTTGGCAATAAGAAATCCACTGGGTTATTACAAGCGGGAATATGAAGCACGGAGGACAGACTTGCAGCGTGGGGAACACGCATCTTAAGAAGGTAGAAATCGACTACCTGCCAAAGGTGGGTCCCGGGGGTGTTCATAACCGGGCCAACAATCCTGGATGCAGAAGGAATCGTTAATTCCATCACTGTTAGTACCGGAAACACCTGCCAATTGGATCGAGTCGACTGTTGGTTCCCGTGATAACGCTGTGCGATTGCCTACCCTACACATACAAAGTCGGAAGAAAGAAAGATGGTGTGGAACAGAGCTTACTCCAAGTCGCAGCATTTTCCGGCCAGTAAGATGCAGACCACAGCTGAGTGGCGGGAAAAAACTTGTTCTGCAACAGCCCTTCGATAATATATATGATCCACGATGCCTTATGTACACATCAGAGGCCGGCCTTGAGCCCCCAACGACACTTCTTGGCCACGATGCCTGCAGTTTCCATATCTGGATTGAGTAAACTTTCTAACCTAAAGGACCATCACGATTCTGCTAGTTGATTGCCGCTGGGACTGGTGTCAGATCTCGGTACTTTCTCAGTGCAAGTATCGATCACACCAGTTTTTTTTTTGGCGGCTGGAGCAATAGAATTTTTTTCATCCATCCGATGAACAATGCAATGTGCATGTTGGACCTTGACGGTCCACACCGCTAACTTCCGCCTATGTGGCTTTCTCGTAGGTCTGCTGCGCCGTCGCGCGTTATCATGGGCCTTTTGAGTCTATGAGTACCGATACTCAATACGCCAGTACCTCCGAGATCCGAGTCTCTGGCCCCCTGCTGTATTGCATGTTGGGTGTCCCTTAACACAATTTTTACACTAGAGGATAGCATGTACGACTGGCGAGCTCGACAAGTTCTCAGTCTGGGAAGGCGGGAGTGGTTGGATGACAGAACCAATATCCCCGCTTCGGCCACATGGTGCTGAAGATTAAAATTTTCGGAAATTCGTTCCGCATAATTTTTATTTATGTTTTACATTCAAGTGATGGCCGAATTACGCTGACTCACGCCTGCCTTACATCAACACAATTACTTGTCTTGTTCCGGGTGCCTTTCCAATGTCCTGGGTGCGAGTTCTGGGGCATAATCATTTTAGTCTCGTTGTGTTGTGCCGCCATTACATAAGGCAAAACAATCCCACTATCGAGCCTATAGAGTTTTCTTGAATTTTGATGCAGTTGCGCCACGTCTATTCCCTTCCAAGGTTGTACGTGTTTCTCATTACCGTTTCGTTACTGAGGTCACTTTTTGATGAAACCATGATGGATTCGTTAGTTCAGGCTGCATGCAATTTGACGCTCTAGAAAGAGCCGTGAGGGTATTTCCCCCTCCCCCCCACCTCCTGTAAAATGTGGTGGCAGTACCCAAGAAGGCCGAATTTTGCAAGGATTATTATAAGGCAAGTCACTGTTCGCCCTGCGGTCCTGTCAGTCACCCAAGTGAAACTGTACCCGACAATGCGAATGACTGAACACAACATTGTTACCCTAGGGCCATCTGATCCCCGACCTCCTGAGCGCTGCGATGTAGATAGGATTAACGAGTTGAAAAAGGCAAGTTATTCGCGTATCACAGACTGTGGTGATTTGGTCTACTTGAGGCTGTTTTGAATCTGGCACTCGTGGCAAAACACCTCACCGTTTTAATTTGACAAAAACGATATCGCATCAACAGTGAGTACCAATGGCCGGGCCCAGAATTGCAACGTGGGTGTGATTGGAATACGCGCGGTGGGCCGCTCCTTCCACAAGTAATACTCACCCTCAATCAGGTAAGGACCCATGGATCACCTGGATTCAAACCCTGATTCCCTCACAAAGTAACGATGCCACACTCGGGGCGGTTTTGAACTCTCATCTTCAGTGCGAAAGGGACGCTATTTTCCATTCCGGCTCGTGCCGTTTCCCTCCTTGGTGTGTCTTTGGTCCTTGCTATAGTTTGTGTTATCTCACTATTGGTTGTCATCATAAATTCATGTGAATCCTAGATACTCGAACACAATATGGCGGTATTCATGGGCACATGCATTTTATCGTGTAATTGAAATGGACCAGTGTGTTGAGCGATTTCCCGTGCACAGAGCGGGATTTCAAGTGATAAGATGTGCTTGACCAAGAATCCGGATGCAAGGGCCGAATTTTCCTCCTCCGGCTACCTTTTGGATGCGGCGCGGCTCACTCCCAACATCGACTGGACACTCAACAAGAATAGATGATTGACATCCAACCCATTATGGTCTTCCCACCGGAGTCTATTTCCTGTGGCAGAACTATGTAAGGAGTCGCACTCTCGCTTGCAGGAGTCTGTCGAAATGTCAGAACCCATCCTGAACCCTGGATATGCATGTGCAGAGTGCAGACGCCGCAAGACGGTGAGACGCGCATCCATGGTTTTCATCTCGACCTCGGACAGCAGTACTGATATAATACTACGTCATCAGCGCTGTGATGGACTGCGCCCTGCTTGTGGACGGTGTCTGCGATTGCGTCAACCATGCGAGTTCGTCGAAGCGCGCCAGCGAATTCCGTTAACATCCCGCCTACAAGCCAAAATTGCGGCCTTGGAATCAGTTCTTGAAGCACTATCCCGTCGACCAACCCTCCTGTCACGTCAGCTTGTGAAGCAGCTTGAGCAAGTGGGCCAGGAGCGAGGACGTACTCCTAAACCCACTTGCGCCTCACTCCCCATATTCCCTATAGAGACTGTTCTGGACCCTCAAGCTCTTCAGGGGAGCATTACGCCTTCCGAGCTTGAAACTAGATATGGTTCATCAATCGAGAGGTCATGCGTGGAGGCTATGTTCCACGAGTGGAATCCCAATTCCGAACTTCCCAGCGAACTCCACATACTCTTGTAAGCCGTCTTGCTTTGAGTTCGAGCGTCCCAGAAGCCTTACTTTATTGTTGACATCAGGATACGCCTCTTCTTACCATTCCGATCCCAATTTAACTGTCACATTGTACTGCCCCTCTTCCTTGACTCGCTTCGTCTTCCGGCAGTCCACCCTATGGCGATTCATCATTGCATGCTCAATGCCATGTATCTGGCTGCTTGCGCTACGAGCGGTGGTTATCTGTCTAGATTCGAGCCTATCTTCCTTTCCCGAACTCGCAGTTCTCTTGAACAGTCGCTTGGTTTTGCGGACAGACTCTTTGACTTCATGAGGGCATCTGTTATTCTAACGATGTACTACAGCCAAGCGGGACGAGTACTCGAAGGAGTGAATACCATCTCGGCCCTGGTCGGCATGGCGCTCGGTCATGGGCTACACCAAGGGCATAGTGAAATTTCGCTCGGCATTCAAGGTCTGCATTCGTCATCGGATAGCTACGGGTCAGAGAGACTACATGGCATCAGTCGATCAAATCTGTGGTGCGACATATATTTGACAGATGTGATTTTGTGCTCAGAATATGGAGTTATGAGCACGGTGAAAGAAGAGGTGAGATATCTCCAAACTTGCTCTCGTGTTGCCGATTTGAGGTCACTTCCAGAGCATTCTACCAATTTTACGGATTCACCCATCGGAACCAACCGTTGTCTATTTGAACGTTCGAGTGCAATCGTTGAACCAGCGTATACGAACTTACGTGATCCAGCGCCAGGGTTCCAGTGGTTCCAGTGGTGATTTGATTTCGAAAGTCAGTCACATTATCGCTGATCCCGCTTTCAGGCAGTCCGCTCGAATTTAGGACATTTGAGGCTCTGGCAGTCGAGCTTTCGAATATCAAACGGTTGTTACCTCCGGTCATTGATCCCCGGGGGACATCGCCATGCGAGACCTACAGCTTTGCAAACCCATTCTTGGTCGGAGCACATTTTGGAATCCAGGCTTGCCAAATTTTGTTGTTCGAAGGACCAGCTGCCGACGACCGGAAGGCACATGACAAAGTTCTCCGCGCTACCCACGAAATTGCAGCCCTGACCTGCGGTCTGCGGCCGACTGGGTGTCTTGGGCAGCTTCATAGTTCTGCCTCTTTCATTGTATGTTGGAACTTCGCCACATGACTCCCTCGGTCACAGCACAAGCCCTGACGATCACACCGCAGATGCACCATCACATTGCATGCGAAATCCTGATACGAGAGCTTCGGAAAAACCTTTCCGACTCCTCCCCTGAGGAGCTGGATAATTACAAGAGCCTCTATTCAGATCTAGAATCAATACTCGATTCGCTCCAAGATCTGACTCAATTGTATCCAGCCTGGCGTGAGTGTTCCACACGATTTGATTTTTGCGAATCCATTGCTTGAACTGATCGCTGTGAAGTTCGTATTCTAAAGGAGCTGAGCGCGCCAGTGACCGTCCCAACAGTGTCAAAGGAAAATGACATAGCCGCTCACTGGCCAAGGACTAACGCCACCTCGTTTCACCGGTGACGGACTTCAAAAATTATCAATCCAGCGTGTTGAAGTACTTCGAGATATCATCATCCGCATACTCTGTGTTTGGATTACGGAATGAGAAACCTTGATTCACATCACTTAATGTATGCTTACTGACCGTCCCCAAGTGTTCCTGTGTTTCGCTCAAACTCATCCATTGAGGCAAACAAGTCAGCATCGACTGGAAGCGAGGCTATGTCTAGGTCCATGTTGCCCAGGTTTAGTGATTCGGGATTCATATCGCCAGCACCGCCGTCAGGTACAGAGATGCTTGTATCTGTCAGACCCGAAGTGAAATCGGGAAGCAAGTTGCTTGAATTGTTTTCGGAAGAATCCAATGTTGGGGTCGCGAAAGATGCCCGAAACTCGTTGAAACTTTGCAGCAAGTCAACGGCGGAAGCGTAGGAAAGGGCCGGATCCGAGTTTTCGGTGCTCCCTTGCGTTACTTGGCTCACTCCCACCAAATCTGTGGAGTTGAGTGATGGCGGAGCAGGATTTGACTGATCCGCAGCCTTTGTTTCTCCCGGTTCAGCAATGAAAGGATCGTGAGATGCAAGTTCTGGTTCGGATTCAACCGATGGGATGGCAAACATTTTTTCCACTTCCAGCAGATCATTTACCGCACTAGTCTCTGCATCATCCGATACGCCTTCACCAAACAAGTCGATATCCATTTGTTCACTCGAGTTCATTGGTAGATTCACCGGCTCCGGATTCGAAGACTGGGTGAGAGGAGGTGCGGAGGACCCATTGCCAATCAGTTCGTGCTGCAATTGGGAGTGGGTGGCTATCGCTGATAGTATCTCGGGAAGACCCTCTGGTCGTGGTTGAGGGAGATTAGGAGGGAAGTTAAAAATAGATGATGTTAAGGAACTGTCGGTGAGTAGTTTAGACGTTCTTGGAGCTAAGGTAACTGGAGATGGAGGACGCTGACTACCATAAGAAGCCAGATGGGGGCCAAGCAACGCATCAGCGGAGAGATCCAGTCTGAGGGAGAGACCAGGTTTCTGGCCAAGGGGAATTGGTTGTCCCGAGGCTATGGATGGGGCCTCAAGCGTGACATCGATAGCTTTTTCACCCAATGGAGACGTATGTAAGGAAGAAAGTGATATGCCAGCGGGCCCAGACTGGGATCCCCTTTGAGATTGTGGTGCAGTCTTGGAAGCAAGGGGGATGTCATCCTCAGAGTCGGAGGACAGGTCTACAATTCCGACATCTGCAAACGGCTCATTTTTGGCTGCTGCGCCTGTGGGGCTAGGAATCCACTGGATAATGTCGCTTTGAGTATGGACTAAATCGCGCTTTGTAACTGCAATCAAATATTTCTAGGTCGTCGTCAAAAGTTCCCATGGATTAGTGGGTGAAAATGGATAAGTTACAAACTCACTATTTTTGTCTCAACAATGTCACAAAGTCGATCGTATTGATCCAGTTGGGATCGTAGGGTCATGGCCAGAGAATCCGGTAATCGAGAGCTAACTGCATCAGTACGACTCCCATATGTGTAAGCATATGGGAAAAGGCGCTCTATGGGAATCTTACAGTAGTCGCAAAGTGCTATAGTACTTTATTATTCGTGCGGTGGTAGCGGTAGCGTGCTGAAAGCAGTTGGATCAAGTTTATAGCCGTGAGATCTGCATCAATAGATCACACCTTAAATGATTCTGTCATAAGAGTGACTTCATTCACGAGAGTACCATCGTTCGCTACCGGAGGCACTTTGAGGTCGTGGGTTTGCTCGAGCTCATAAGGACAAGGCATGAACACAAGCAGTAATTACACAGCCAGAGTAGATCTCGGTAATTTCCAGGCCACAATTCCATCTCAAGTGGATACTTATTTCCGCGGCTCGAATCATGCCTCGTATACGGAAGAGTAAGCGATGATACTCGTGTTTAGTTCCAATACTTCTCTTATGCATATTGTTAGGGACATCTAGGAGACAGACTACCAGAGAGCGTTCTAGATTCCATCACAAAATCAATGAAAGCCGCAGGAAGGAGCGAAAGTTGGCCAAAAAGAACCCACAGTGGAAGTCCCGGCATCCGAAGGATCCAGGGATACCTAGTAGTTTGCCTTTCAAAGACCAAGTTTTGGCGGAGGTTGCTGAAGAGAGCCGTCGAGTGCGCTTAGATTTTGACCCTTACCACACGATACTGAAATCTAAACAATCATGCTTTTGATTTCCTACCATTTCAACAGAACCAGGAAGAAAAACGTTTGAGAAAACTGCAGAAAAAGGATGCTTCACACAATGAGCCGGAAGAGGGGTCTGGAGATGAATATGAAGAACGGGACATCTCATCCACCGTTGAAATTGAAGAACCGGAACCTCTGCTCTACGATCCGTCTATTCCTCACCTTGCCGCTGCCCTCGAGAAGGCTGATGTGTGGCTCTATGTCATGGACGCCAGGGACCCCTCTGTTCATCGCAACCTATATATTGAACGTCTCGCCATAGAGAAGGCGAAGAAGATAATATTCTTAATGAACAAAGCTGGTACGACTGCTGCAATGTGTTGGTCTGATTGCATAGGACTTAAACCATTCGTTGCCAGACTTGTGCCCCAGAGAGGTGCTCCAGAAATGGCTATCATATTTCCGTGCAACTACGCCCTCCATCCCTGTTATCCCTTTCCGGGTTTCTTCGTCCTACTTACCAATCCATGTTCCGCATGCCTCTGCCCCAAAGGGAATAAGACTTGGCCAGACCGATGCGATCGGAATTAAAGAACTCCTCGATCGTCTCAATACTCAGACTGCGGCTACAAGCTCAGGGCCAGTGACTGTGGCAGTCATTGGTTTGTCAAATGTGAGCTTATATGCATATCTTGCTTTCTATTGGCGTCCCGTTGACTTTATTTCAAGTCGGGAAAGTCTTCTGTGATAAACTCTCTCCTTGGGGCTGGACGTCTTGAGGCGTACGAAGTCAACTCGACAAAGCTAAGTAGTATGACGACGACGATTTTGCCGCAGCCTGTTCAAATCAAGCGCGATGGTGTCACTTTGAACTTCATCGATACACCTGGCTTTGCCTTCCAAGGATTCGAAACTTTAGTACTCCGGAACAATGTGACTTTCCAGCATGTTCGTGATTCGATAGTTCGATGTAGGGGGCAAATCGAGAAGATGGTTAATGCACACCAAGCTGGTTGGTGCCTAAGATATTCGATGGCCCCTTTACTAACTGCTAAACTTGGGACTATTTCTGTGTTAGCCAAATGGATTATATCCAGATCCAACCCCCAAGACCTCATCGTTCATTATAATACACCCGCGTTCATGCACAGCAGTCCATCGTCGTTTCTCACCGGCCTTGCTCGCGTAACTGGGCATCGTAAGAAAGGTGGAGCTGTCCCTGATGCTGCTGGGGCGGCTCGATCCTTGTTGTGTGACTGGAGGATGGGCAAATTTCCGTACTATACCCATCCACCCGCGTACTCAGCACCCTCATCGGGACCCTTCAGTCTGACCACGGAATCTGACGACCAGCTCCTGTCGTCGTTCTTGACGCGAGAGGAACTGGAGAAGCACAATTTTAGAGCCGGGCTCATACGTCTTGATCCCGTAGCTCCAGAGGAGCGTTCTGTGAACCTCGAGTTTGTTCAGACTTTTGAGACTAGGGAACCTCAGCCACGGCCAGCAAAGATAGCAAGATCCCTCGCCGGGCGGAAGAGAGTGAGGAGGAGGCTGAAAGCAGCGAGGACGATGAACATGAAGATGACGAAGACGACGAAGATACTCACGAACCTTCAGCATTGATCCCAGTTCAGCCTCCGAACCGAAAGCGAGCCGCCTCCGAATCCAAGGAGGTGCCACCTCCGAAAAAGGTGTCATTTGCCCCGACCAAGGGTAAGAAGGGGAATGCTCAGGATGCTATTCCGGCAGTTGTCAAAGTGGCCAAAAGCAAGCTCCAAAGGGGGACGCCAGTGCACAAGGCAGCTGAATCTGGGGGTGGCGAGGACTATGATTTCAGTCAATTCTTTTGATGTAATCTATATTTGTAATCGCATTCGGTTGCCCACGTCCATACGCTTGGCAGCCACAATGAAAAGGGCCTCTGATTAGATTTGGATTTACTGTAACTTCCATGCTTGAAACCGCAGAGTTCAGACGCACAGCCAATAATATTATTGTCAGTCAATTCAAGCAAACCGCTTGCACGTGTCCAGAACTGGCCAGACTTTTGGTACCAGCGTCCAGCCGCAACGCATCGGAGCGACTGACAGTGACCAAGGCCCAGAAGCTTCTCGGTGGTGCCTTTGAAGTCTGAGCCATTCTCTCGGACGCATTACACCATTTATTTTACCATCAGCCATTCTGTCCTCACATTTCACCTTGATCTGTCAAGCCTAAAATGCCCCCACCCCCCTTCTCTCGCATTGCCCTTGCAGCCGCCTTGCTGGAGTATGATAATGACCCTGATGACCCCACCAAGCCTAAACGCTCTGCTCAGGATAGTGCCATCTTCTCTCACCTTCGGCGATCTGGTCCCGTTCCAAAACCTGAGAGTGTTCTTGACTACGATGACCTCCCGGAACCTAGAAGGAGCAAAGACTTTCTTAGAGTGCCTCTTCCAGGGGATGATGATAGCTTATTCTCGCCAATGGAGTCCACATTCGGCGTCCGCGCGTCAATAGATGGCCGACGTTCTCTGGACGTTCTTCGAGAGCATGGCGAACAATTCTTCCAAGCTGCAAGCAAAGAAGATTCTGAAGAGTACGACTCGGATGATAGGGTTGATCTAGGCTCGTGGGGTCTAGACTCGCTCATTCCTCCGAAGCGCAAAACGAAGGACAAACCAGCGAAGCGTCCCGGCCCTAGTCGTGTTCGCCCCGCGTCCGAGTACCTAGATAATCTCCCTAACGCCCAAAGCCCTCAAAGAATTTCATACGCTCAAGACGCGTTCGATGTCGCCGACGGGCCTTCCTCATCTGCCGGACCCCGCGCACGTCCGACGCGTTCGCGAACAGCTAGTTTCATGAATGATCTCGGATTTTTGGGAAACGCGTCGAAAGAAGCAACTCATGGGACTTTCCCGATGACTGGAAGGCCACAAACATCATATATCCCCTCCGAGTTTGACGGTCGTGCTGGAATACTTGGAGCGCGACCTCACTCCGTGATGGACTCAATATCTGTGCCCTTTCCGACCTCTCGCCCTGCGACTCCTGGCCCTGACTTTAGAGCCGCCGAAGGAATTGAGGATTCGAAGTTTGCCATTCCGCTTCCTCCTCCCGAGCGGTTGTCAAAATTCGATCCAAAAGCAGCGAGACGAACTCGAACTGAGTCCATGGGATCCTGGATCTCAGAGCCAGGCCTTAGGGAAAACTTAGAAGATCGAGCACGGACTGTCTCCATGGGTTCCCGACCTTTACTTGGAGATGGAAATGATCCAGGCGCGATGGGGAGACCAGTTTCAGTGGCTCCTTCCCAGGTGACCGAACATCGGCGATTATCGAGGATGAAACTTTTGCGCCCCAAAGTGCTCATCATGCCTAGCCCCTTGCGTGATCTGAACAATGTCGAGGTTTCTTCCAAGCCCGACTCACGAGTTGGGGAAGGATTCTTAGAAACTACTGGCGATCGTCCATTGCCAGCAGGTTTCCGTGAATCAACCTTAGCTGCTCGTCCTGGTGTACGGCCGAATACTGGGCCGGAGGCTCTAGGAAAACTTCCGACGTCCTCCCACTTGATGCCCAACTCACGAATGAGTCTATCAGCCAGTCAGCTCATGTTCCGAAATTCGCTCAGGGTTGATGGAAACTATCTGGAGGATGAACAGCGGCTGAGTAGAGCCCAATTCGATGGAGAAAAGATCGAGATGTACAATGAAGATCCAGATCAAATTGAGGCTGCCTACCGAGAGTTGCAGCATCCGACTGGAAAACTGCTTGGGCACAATTTGATGGACGCTCTTGCTGCTCGAAAGGACGAAATTAAAGGAAAGAAACGGTTGGCCAACATTTCTATCTGATCGTGCGCCTATTCTGAACCATTGGCCTACAGTGTATTTACAGGAGATGGTCGCTTCTCTATGATGGAAAGAAGTCTGAGCACTCGTAATACTTTAATCGATGCCGCAACATTCGATCAACCGCAGGTCGCTGTGGTTGACAGCGAAGGCAGACCAATCAAGCCAGAAGCTCGCAAGGTCTCGGATGGTGACCGCCGGAAGTCCGCGGCGCCCTTGGTTGATCTTAAAGGGGTTGGCTCTGGGCCGCGATCACGAACGGTCATAAGTAAATCCCGAACATCAGTGTTTGGAGTGGACACCGTTTGGGAGAGGGAAATGTCCCGGCTGCGGGAGCTGGAAGAAGTAGAAAAGGGGGCTATAGAGCAACGGTACATAGAAGGGGAGAGTAAAGCGGCAAAGAAAACAAAACTCAAAGGGAGGAGCGCGGGCCCCAGCAACATTCCCACCAGTCCCGGCGAAGAGATCGCATCAGAGATGCCACAGGGTGATTCGAACATGCTGATGCCACCTCCTACTTTACCCGAAGTCTCGTTGGTCACCTCGAGAGCTCGCCCCAGGAAACCCAAAGTCCCGAGTAGCGAGAGTGATGACGAGGAGGAGCATGGCGCTGTTGAGCGTCGCAGAGTAAGCACTGCAACTTTGGGTGTCAAAGGATGGTTTGCAGGATCTTCCGATGACGAAGACGATAGGCGTCCCTTCAGTAGGAATACAGGTCGCTTCGGTACACCCCCTAGCTCGCAAGCTCCTCGGCTTCCCCCTGTCACAGGCGATTCCGAAGACGAAGATGTCCCATTGTCACAAATCAAACCTACCGCAACAGTACTCTCACGAAACGACTCAGACGAAGATGAGCCCTTGGTACAAACCAGATCACGTTTGAGTGTGACTCCTACAACATTGCTCAACTTCCCTGAACCCAAACCTACTCCAACTCTTCCAACTCTATCTAATCCCGAACCGACACCGGCGGATGAAGAAGATGAAGATGACAACATTCCACTTGGTCTGCGGGTGTCTGCTAATACCCGATCTTCACAGCAACCTCCTGCCAATGCTGGCGGCGATGACGATGAGGACGAGACACCTTTGGGACTTCGTTATGGCACTGACACCTCACCAAATGCCGAGCAACAACGTCAACAACAACAGATGTCGATGTTGCTTGTGCAACAGCAGCAGCAGCAACAGGCACAGCAGCAAATGTACCTACAGCACATTGCACGACAATCTCTGGCTGGTTTTTCAACAATGACTGGGACTGGGATGATGCCAGCGGGGGGATTTCCAACGTTTGGTCCTCCTTCAATCGGCATGTTCGGGGTCGCTTCGCCAGTCATACCTAATCCTCCTGTGATGCCGGTAGTGAATCATGCAGATTCTGCCAAGATTGGTAGAGTTGATGCCTGGCGAAAGGGTGTTGCTGCAGAGCCTTAGGTCCTACATCCCAGCTTCTTCATTTTTGGCCTTTTTTGTATTTCGAATCATAATATACGTTGCTCCAGGTCGTGTTTATCCTAATTATCCAGGGGCCATGCACAGCAATCAAATTACTGAATTATTAACGAACACATCATAATCGTAAAAAGTCCAGAAGCAAGCATCATTAGGTGGCTAGCGCCATCGAGGCGGTCGTGAAGGCGTTGCAGACATGATGTGAGTAAGTGGTGAGGGAGATGGAGATTTAGATTCAGTCTTAGGAATCGGGGTGAAATAGGATTTCAATGAGGTGCTTGGTCTTGGTGTTGTGGGAGGCGGGGAGTTGGAGGATTCCATGGCTGCCCTTCGAACGTATTGAAGGGGCGCTAAGGGTGATGTGTTAGGGGATACGTTGGACTTCCCCTGTGGGCTGCGACTGGATGGCGTCAACAACACAGGAATCCGTGAAGGAGTGGAAGGGCGATCTTTCAGTGGGGTCTTCTCTTCTTCTTTCATATTTTCAAGGAGAGTTGTCGAGCTTAACCATTTCTCTTCAGTCTGCCTCTGCATACTCGTAGGAGAGACGGATCCCACACGAAACATGTGTGCGAAGTGGTCTCGGATGAACCTAGCCTTTATGATCAAGAATCTGTAAAATCGAAACAGCGAGGAGCTTACTTGGATAACTCGACCCATCCTCCGCCCACACGGACCATAACCATTTGAGAACGGAGAATACGGCAGAAGCAAAGCTTTGGCTCTGCGTCGCCTATCCAGTACTTTCCGCTTTCATCTTTCCAGGTGTCTGTTACCGCCTCAATGTGAACTTCAGCTGGCAATTGTTAACCACACTTCCAACCGCGACATCGAGTTTGTTTTTTGGATTCGCAACGTACGATCGGCGAATTTTAGGCCTGTCGCTCGCACTCGAACCAGACCTGCGTGGTGTGACTAAGGTTCCTCCAACGAATGGCCGAGCCGGTCGTGCACTGCCGCGCGGTAAAGCACTGGAAGACAGGGCTGAAGGGGTTGGCGAACCGGGAGTACGTCTAAGTGCAGCTGATGATTTCCGTGCACGCGGTGTTGTAGGAGTTGGGGGTACGCGAACTGCAGTTGCATTGCTCATTGTGCGTTGACGCGACGAGTGAGTGGACGATGTTACTGAGGGGGAGAATGATGGAGTCGATGCGGACGGCCCCGACACTGAGCGAGTTGAGGACCGACTCAGAGTCCGACTATGAGCACCTGTAGGACGATTTGACGGCAAACGACGCTGAGGGAAACTTTGTATCGGCTTCGACGATGAAGAGGATGTGCGTGATCTTGAGGCGTCCTGAAACAAAGGGGTATGAAGCATGTGGGCCCCAGTAGAGGATTGCGAGGCTGAGGCAACACTTGACAAACTGGTTGTTGATCGAGATGATGAGAGACCATTTTTGTGTGGATTGCGAGCAACGTCTTTGCACATTTCGGCCAATTCCACCCAGGTTTGCTCGATCCGAGAGATCTCATCCTTAACGCGCTGATCGTCTGCGATAAACTCCCTTGCTCGTTAAGACGCAAAATGGCTTTCTGACAGAATAGCACTCGTTCGTCTAATTGTTCGTGGGGGGGCTTCTGAGGATCACTGATGTGAGTCGACTGCAGCTCGAGTGGAGGATATGGAAAAGAATCGATGTGCTCCAAAAGATCACTCAGAGCGGAGTCGCACTGATCCACCAGGCGGGAGAAGAGCCCAGACGTTCAACTCTCGCAAGTAACTCGTGATTGTGATCAATCTGGCTTTTCAACGACGCTACTTCGCTTGCTAAGCGTGTTTCAGCAAGATTGGAAGGGAGATCGGAGAACGCGAATGATACAGCATTGAAACGGCCCCGCATTGCTTGAGCATCAGCAAACGAGGGAAGACGATGATTTGTCTGTGAATCCTCCGATGCACCAGACAAGCTTGGTGAACGAGCTGCCGCTGTGATCCCAATGGAGTTAAGTTCGGCTCGTATTGACGCTATCTGCATCTTTAGCTGTTCTAAATGACTACTCGAGGAAAACTCAGCCTCGTTTTGAGCAGCTGGAGGTATTAAGTAAGCAATTCGGGGATACGGTCAAAGAACACGGTAGGTTACCGGCTTCCTTTCTCTTCGCTTGCTCTTCTTCCCATTGACGTCGAAACTCATCCATAGCGGCCTGCGCCTTTACCTCTGATGCCTTGAGGGCATTTCGAGCTGCTTCAAGCTCTGCCTGACTCAAAGAGCCGCGTCGTAGCATCTCCTCGCGCTCTGCTGTCAACCGAGCTTGATATGCTAGACGTTCTGTCTGCCTTCTAGCCTCCATTAGAGTCGACCTCACCGCAGCAACCTCTCCAGGGAACTTCTGGGCTCGACGTTCGGTATCTTCAAATAACTTCGCTCTAGGATTTATTATTTCCTCGTGCACATTGGAATTGTGGGCACCCGATTAGTCCTCAGGTCTCGCAGTGTACTCAGAGACAGCTCCATCGAAGAAATGATATCAGATCCATATTGACGCATTGACTCGTCAAGAGACGTTATAGCTTGTTCGAACTCTTCATCATGTCCAGCAGATGCAGCTGTTTCGTCCTCCTCGGACGCCTTGATCAACGCCTCGTGTTCCAACGTTTTTGTCGACAGCGCCTGGAACGCTTCCGTGATAGTTTGTGAAAACGTCCCCAATCGTGCGTCCAACACCCTAGCTATGCCAGCAAGGTTATACACCTCAAGCTGTTTTTTCAAGGAATCTAGTCCGGAAGACAGCGTAAGAGCCATTGAGTTTAGGTCAGCACGAACAGTCTGGTCTATGGCGCTGAGCTTGCGGTGCAAATTGTCTGCAGGACGTGATTCAGGGTGCATCCTAGACGGACTGCTCTTTCGGTCACCATGCGAGGCATCTGAAGGCTGAGATGAGACAAAAGACACCATTGTCGGAAGGGAGGCGACAAGAGAATTGACTTGGGCGGCTAGCTCGGAAATCATGTCGCCGATCATTGAGGACGTTCCGTCGTCAGAACGCTTGTCATGGAGCACATCCTGAATGTGGCCTCCGATTGATTCACGAAGATCGCTTATTCGACTCCCAAGGACCGTCGCTTGTTCCGATAGTCGTTCCATTTCCGTCCTCTGGATCCGCACAGCGTTTAAAGTAGCAATTAACAACTGTACGTACGCCACGTCTGCAAGAATGACATCAATGTCTTCCTGCAGCCGAGAGTGCAGGATTTTGGGGATACTGGGAGATAACGCCTCGAGGGGCGAGGAAAGCCGGGACGTTATCCCAGAGATCAACTGTGATACCCGGACTTTTGCATCCTCGACGTTGGTCAAGATCGGGAGGGGAGTGTCGGGAGATCCAGCGGTTGACTGGCGTTGGCGGCGCAAGGTCCACTGGTCCGCATCAATCGCGATGAGAAGTTCCGAAATAAGCCGAGACACTAATGTATGCAATTCAGATGTAGAAGGAAGTATGGATCGAGCAGCTCGCAATGCATCCACATCATTGGTGGCCTGAGCCTTGGCACTCATAGCCTTACTGACGAGCTCGATAATATTTTCGGATGCGTCTCTGCAACGTTGGAGAAAATCTGAGGATGCATTGAACTGACGAAGCTCCAGAATAGTTGCGCTTAATCTCTTCAACACATTTCTTGCATCAGACTCAGCAGCTGAGAGATCCTGCAGTAGTGAGGGCAGCAGCGCAATGTATGAACTGTGCGCTCTTATTTCGAGGGAGCCCAGGTCATCGAGGCGCGGAGGCAGGGCATCATTCCCGCCCCCAGAGCCATTGGTTAGACGATCAATCAGAGCCTCCAACTTTATCCGAAGTCGAGATGAATCCGACAGAATTGTAGAGGCACGCTCCACAGCCTGTGCTCGAACGTTGTATTGCTTCGCTTTCAGCTCCGCCCTCCTGGAAAGTTTGATCGCAGATGCTAGCTCTTCGGACAACATGACATGGGTGGCGTCATTGCTGAGTGCTTGATCAGGTGACAAGTGATGAAGGGGCCGAGGAATGATAGTAGATGGGTGACCAATGGCACTTAAACGGGATGCAAGTGATGATGACCGAGAGAGAAATGACGCGGCGAGTTCGGGTGAAGGATGGAGCTTATGCACTTGATCTAGCTCCTCAATTAAAACGGAAGCTGCAGCCTGATCCTTCTTTAGCTCAGCGTAAAATTCGTCCGCTCTGTCAGTGGTGGCAATCAGTGCGTTGGACGGAAAAAACAAAGAATAGCCTCACTTCTTCCATTGCGCATGTAACGATGGTATAAACTTATCGAGGCCTTCAAATACCATGCTTTTGTTCTCCAACTTGTCTTGCTCGTCAAGTAAAGGATCCGGAACCTTTTTTGAGCTCGCATCAATCATTTTGTCAAGAGTTGCCCCAGACTTAGGCAGAAGGTCATGCTTGTAATTATGCACACGAGACATGATCTGCTTTGCTTGGCCAAGGAGGCCATCCCCGAGTTTCCGTCTCTCGCCGCGGGCGATCTGAGATAGCACCTGGGGAAACTTTGACTCGGTGGGGGAAGATTGTCGGACCGAGGCATCAGAAGCGAAACCCGTCGAGAAATCATCGTATAAAGACACGGTCCACTTTGTGCGTTCGAAGAAAGTCATCAATTCCTCTAAAAGGGCATCCATCGTTTCCCAAGCAAGTACTCGCTGATCTTCCCATTGGAGTCTGAGATTGAGCATATCGAGAGTCTCGGACCTCGCTCGAAGGAGATGGAATAGTTTGTCGACGGCCAAGAGCGTTGTCAGAGTGACATCGATGAGATCCGTGTCCTCCGGGGACATTTTCTGTTCCGATTTACCTGCGGGGCAAAATGCAATATGTTGAACGCCCAGCAAGAGGAAGCACCAAATTACACACTTTTGGCCAGCTCTTTGAGGCGAATCATATCGCCAAGCTCAAATCGTTCCATTTCTGCCTCTATTCGATCCAGTTCCTGCGTCCAGATGTCGAGTTGATCGCGCGAAGGTAAGGACGTGATCCGGGCGGAAGATGTGGGAAGGATGTCTACTCCTGCAAAGACGTCGATGGGAGGCATAGCTTCAAATTGCTATAAAGCGGAAGAATTAGGGAATTTTAATTAATGGACATAATCCCGTACCTGCACTTTGGCCTCTATGCTGGTACGGCGCTAATCGAATCGCAATGAGTTACGTCTCGGGGAGTACGAGAAAACATGGGACAATTACTTCAAGGAAGGCGTGAATCTCTACTACATCATTCGATTGCAGAGATGCATTTGGTTGGATGTCTTCCGCGTCCTGCGCGGTATTGTTCATGATCTTCACGTCGGTGGCTGGTGTTGTTGGATCAGCCATCTATCTTCTTTGTAGTTGCTAGTTGGGGGAGGGCAGAAGGGTCCTGAAAATCGCAAACTGGCCCGTTCTATACCTACGACTCAGACGTGAGCACAGTGAGAACTGCTCTGCATCGTGGCCTTTAGAATTGCCGTTCCGAGTGCGTGGGTTCGGGCGTGAATGCATCGATCACGTGGTCTTAATTATGGCTCTCGATATTGACGCGTCAGAGGCGTCTTCGTCCACGCCATCAGAACAGAATACTAATGAAAGATTCATGGCCAAGCCGTCGGCGCGGGAAACGGGCCCCGCGATGCATTTCTCTGGGCTGCATGCGCAGTGGCTGCAGCTGCAATGATTGTCTCCCCTTTCAGAACCCGCAGAGAATTACGGAGGTTGCAGGAAGCGGTATGAGCAGGCCATGCGCTCCCTGATGATCTGCTTGTTCAGGTTTCGCTAGGTTAGGCACAGCTCTCAGGCAACCAGAGCGATTGTCAAACTGCTTGATCAGACCAAAGCGGAACGAGGAGCATCGGCACAACACACATCGCGCACGCTTGACTCGCTAAGGGTGCAAGTAAGTGCAAACAGCAGAGCGCTGCAAAGATTCGAGGAAGAACAGAAAGTATTGTCGAGTTCTGTGGCTATTAGCTTCAAGTCCTTAAGCGAACAGCTGGCCCAAGCCATTCATGACAAAGCCGAGACGGATTCCGTCCATCTTAACCACGTCCGGTCGATCGCTGCTTACGTGGACTCGATTCGCGAGCAACTAGAAGTACGATCCAAGTAAGTTTAAGTGAGACTCTGGGTGAATATTCCCTTTATTGCTTCTAGGACTGATCAAGCGCTTCGCAAACAACTCGGACGGAGTCTCGCAGACGTCGCCGGTGTCGTTCATGAACTTGAGATTACCGTGAGCTATTCCGTGGACCTTCTGTGGTCATCTAGCTCACGCACTACTTTTAGGGTCAACTGCCCTACAACGGGAAGGATGTCAGGGGTGTGGAACGGCTACGTAGCCTTGCAAGGGATTTGGACGGTGTACCAAACACGTCCTCAGGTGCCAAAGTGGGGCCAGAGGAACCAAGGATGTCGCCTTGTTTGGACAACACCTACACCGCATCATGCCACTGACACCGCTCAGAGTTCATTCCATTCGCCATCCTTACAATGTATCCTTCACTTCACTGTAGCGAGCGCAAACACGCAGTCCTGTATCACTAGCTTAATCGTATTACTCATTTCTGCAGTAAAAATACAATACTCAAATCAATACAGTTCAGTCCGTAACGTCCAAGATCATCTCGCGCGTTTTCTCCCCTTCTCCACAACTTGATCCGCCCCGCCGCGATTAGCGGCACAGTCGTCACAAAACCATGCGCCTTTCGGTGATGACTTGAGGCCTAGACAAGATAGGTGGAACTGGAAGGAAGTCAAGGAGCGATCTAAAATAGCAAGGCAATGCAACGAACCCATTCATATTGACAGGTAGGATTATCGCAACCGATCATCTATTAGGAGTATGGTGGGTCAATCGCTCGCCAAATCAAACGGTAAGACCGCTCACCTCTCCGTAGGATGGTTTCTGACAGTAGCAGTAGGGTGTGTCATCATCAGCCCCATCACCATCATTAGCGTCTCCATCCCCAGCATCCTCGTCGGCTTCCATATCCTCCACGGGCACAGATCGGGTTGCTTCACGCCTTCGAGATGGTGGCGCAGGCGATGCAGCAGGAATATGGGCTTGTTGTGGCGTGCTGCGACCTCGAGAACCGGTAACATGAGTTAGAGTAATGGGCGAATTATTGATTCCCGAAAGAACGCTAGCGGTCTTATCAAGACGCCTTCCTACAGTAAAAATCCCCAAGTATGAGCCAAGCCCTTCTAATGGACAAGAACCAGAAATCACGTTTTGTTTCTCGTACAGCAGGGACTGGTGAGGGTGCAGAAATCACAGCTTCTGGGAGATGTACAGAAGATTGAGTGTACATAGGATTATGCCCAATGACAGCGGTAGCTCGAACGGGTGCCAATATCGATGGTTCGGGGAACGTGTCGCCTGATATTCTACGGATCCTGTGAAGATCATAGTCCAGGCGGCCGACGGCTTTGACCATGAGCTTCTCTAGTCGAGTGGCAAGCCGGACTTTCTCATCGGCTAGCTTGTCTATCTTGTCAAGATATTCTCGCGCTTTTTCGATGTGAGCTTGCTCCTTGGCTGGGCCCGAGTTGTTACCCTTACGGCTAAAGATATCTTGAGTCTTTTTGTGTATCTTTGATTCCAGTTCTTGAAGGGAATGGCGTGACAACACGGTACGTGAACTGGACGTCGTAACATACCAACGACTTCATAGTCTTTTTGCTTGATTTCTCCCATGAGGAACTGGACCTCATTATGCAAGTTATCAATACCTTAGAAATGGCCATAAGTATTTAGATGCAAGTGGGTAGGGTGCCCTCACTGGAAATATACTCCGTGGCTATTAAAACTGCTTCCTCAGCGTTGACATTGCTGGCCATGACAAAGGCGAGTGACAAGGCTGTGTTAAGCACAGCTTTCCGCGGTGCACGTGACCATAACATTCGCGTTTGTCTAGCCAGCACGTCTGAGAGGGTGAAATCACCCCTCTCCATGCAAGCTGGTTTTTCATACGCATCATACGGCATACCCCACCAAATGTCTTACGGATATCCTCAGCAGACTGGCGGTCTGACAGAACAGCAACTGCGCCAGATTTACGCACTGCAACAGCCATCATACGGAGCGGCCGCTCAGGCTCCGTCGCTCTATCAGCAGCAACCGCCAGGGCAGAACTCACAATATGTTCAGGTATGTCATCCTGTATCTCTCTTATATTTCTTGATTCACTAAGCTCCCGATCGTGACATATCTCAGCCAGGTTCCATTGCCTATACTGCCACTCAAACACCAAATGGCATAATGTACCAGCCAGTTGTCGGTCTGTTTTTTTCCTTGTCACGGAGAGTGGTCCCTCATGCCCTATTCTTCAACCAGCCCGAGAAGTCAGCGTCCAGACACGCCAGGTGGGTTGCCAGCAGCAACCATCACCAGGCGAGAGTATACTGATCCCACACCCTATGCCCAGGGCCTAGTAAAATCACTCCAGTACGTCCCAGCTGGACCACACCAAGGGCCCCAAGGACAACAGCCAGCCGCCGCCTATCCACAGCCTGCGTCCTATGGGGTTCAAGCGTCACACGTGTCCTACCCTTCCCAGGCGCAAGCGCTCGCTCCTGGTGCCATGGGAAATGTCCCTGGAGTAGCATACGATATGCGCACGTATGGTGATGCTTTCAGTAACGGGTACCCAGGTGTTTCTCCGAAAGACCTGTGGGTGTCATGACGTCAGACGAGCCTGCGTACGTCTTATTCTATTCTCAATTAGAAAACGTGCGATGAAGCAACGTGACAAGGAAGAAAGGGAAAGAAGGAAGTTGGAGGAACGAGCCGCGAAGAAGCAGCAGGAGTGGGCGAAAGGGAGTCAACATCGCCTCAGGGTACGATTACTTTATCACCCGGCGCGTCGTACTCACATGCTATTAGGCTGAGGGTGAAGAATTGCGTCGTGCCAGAGAAAGAGATCGGAGGGAAGAATACGAGAATCTTGAAGACCATGAAGATTCGTACCTTCGTGGCCGGCCGGACGCAGTGAGGTCGGGTGTACCAGGAGGTGCCTTTAACTTTGCAGGCGCAATGGGCGACCTAAGCATAAACGACGAGCCCCGTCGGCGAAAGATGAGCACTGCAGGTCGCTCACGCCCCGGCAGTCCGAGCGGAATTAATTTCGGAGGCCCGCCATTGCAGCCATCTTATGGCGCCACGTATGGGCCTGGTGGGCCTGGCGGCTATGTCCAAGAGCGTACCATCAACGGTATAGGCGCGCGCCCAGGAGAGATTCCAGGAGGACCCTATCCTGGCGCAATGGGACCGGGAATCGTCCCTGGCATCCCTGGTGCGCCTGCAATGGCCGGCATGACTAATGGAGTTGGTGTAATGCCTGCTCCAGGGGGCGGAATCATGCCTGTTCCAGCTGATCGTGCTAGGACACCGTATGGAGGGCCCAATGGTGGGTCCACTCGTTCTCATCCCAACACACCTTCGCGTGTTCCTATCTCTCAGATGCCTCCTTCCCCTTCTAATGCTGTCCCCACGTACGGTGGGGCCCCTTCAGGTGCAAGTCCATACCCACGGCCCGGCGCTCTTCCCAACGGCGGCACGATACCTGCTCCACTATACCTTGACCCTGCGGGCCTCGCCGGAGGCGGTGTAGCGTACAGTCAAGCCCATGCTTTCAGTCGAGAACCAAATCCCGCACTCCCCTACGCTCCGTTCCCACGCTTCGATATTGTAACGGATATGGATGAGCTCTTCGAACTCCTTCCCGAGGTTCCGCCGCTCCCCGCCGCCCTCGTTTCGCATGACGTGTCGCGTGACGACTGGGCCAGATATATGAGTGTAAGTCGCATAACTTCCGATCACCCTCTCTGGTCTTATTCAATCTCTACGACAGGATATTATAGCAGCTTGGCAGCCTAATCCTCAAGCACGACTGGTGCATCCTCCACAACGCGCTGCGATTGTTAGCAGTCTGACTGACACCTGGAACGAGCATTTCTTCCTTCGTCGTGGTCTTCACTTCATCTTCGACTCTGTTCGAATGCCGAGCCGTCATCGAAGTGCCAGTCGCGGCAGTAGAGGCAGCAGAGCGAGGTACTCTGATGAATCGGAGTCGGACAACAATGACTCTGATGAACCTTCTGAGAGCGAAAATGAGTTCGATGGACCCGGGCTCCGTGTACCTGGGAGTCGTGCTGGAAGTCGTGCTGGAAGCCGTCCTGGAAGTCGTGCCGGAAGCCGCACGGGAAGTCATATGGGACGCCGGCCGAGAAGGCGTAATGCTATGTCGTATTCTCTCACAGCGGAGTGTGTCCCAATGCGTGGCAGATCCGGCATACCGTCCGCAATGTCCGCCACTACACTTATGCCGGGAGGCACTGTTATGCCAAGCGGTGGGATCGTTCCTGGTGGTGGTGGTGGTGGTGGTATTGTACCGGGCATGGTTCATATGGGTGGTGACCCCAGGTTGAGCGGTGCGCCTATGGGTGTAGGTGGAATGGTCGATCCTCGGCTTGGTGCAGCGATGGGAAACCCTCCTGCGACTTACCAAGGAATGAACTTCCCTTAAATCTGGCTAAGCATTAGCCTATCAATGTAATTTCTTCTTTGGTCTGTTTGATTTCTCTTGGGTATCCCTTTGCTCCAACTTGCCAAATACTAGCGAGGGCCGCAATCGCCTACCTCACGACTGTACATGTATCCATCTACTCCTTAATGACATTGTTATGTCCTCCTAAAATACGAGGTTGTGCTTGAACCGAACGCAGCGGCTTATATTGCCCTCGCAATTCACATAAAATGTTATTCTGCATTAGAAAGCTGGGGGAGAGTATGAGGGCGAAATACAATGTCAAATTGGGGAGGCTTCTAACAGAAGAAAACATGAACAGGGCGAAATAAGGAGCGCCACTGAATGAGGGCTCAAATAATTGGAGGCTGTAGAAATGAGCGCCTGCTCTTAGCGATAACTTGGAAGAGAAGCGAAAACCCGAAGTGGTTCGAAGTGGCTTCTGAGGGTCATTGAATGCTTGCGTGTAACGTACTTTTCTCCGTCCGTCTTCGTTTTGGCTCACTTGGGACCCCAGAGTCGTTCGTTCCTAAGGTAGGCAATGACCTTTGAGGCGACTTAACCTGTCAACGATGAACCTACCATACACCAGACGGAATTGTCGCAGCCCTCATGTTGACACCCAACACACCCTTATCCAGGTTCGCCAAATGAGAGAATGCGCCGCGAGTAAGGTCGACATGATGAGATCCATCTTGGCATCCAGCGCAAGTATCAACAACACGAACGAAGATGCATCTAGAAGGACCATAGCACACTTCAAAGTGTCACCGATAAAGGATGTTTATAAGCAAGTTCCCCCCCCCCCAAAAAAAAACGACGAAATGCTGGATCAAAGTCGAACTTACGCTCGATAAACGAGAAACACTTGGGCCTGTCCCACCACCCTCGTAGAGTGAGTGCACAGACGAACGCGTCGTCAGTAGGCGTCCAATGTCCACTTGGCCAGCAACTGGGATTTTCGAGGTCCTTTCCCGTATACCTTTTCCCACATAGTAAGAGCCGCCGTGACGCGCTAAACAAGGGAGAGAAACGCACCAGGTGATGACCACGGGTATAAATTTTCCCACTGATTTTAGGGCATCTTTCAGCACTCCTCCTTGCCCTGCCAGTCCAGGAGTCCCGCTTTTGCTTTTTGCTTTTTTCCCTTTTCTAGTTCGACTACGCCTATGGGCTATTCCATCGCCGTCTCCATTTCCGTGTCCGTATGCGGAACGATCCTGCTGTGTTATCGTCGCGTTCGAATATTTGTACTCGAGATCGGACACGAAGACGCGTTTCCAGCCATCCTTCTCGTCGAATGTCGTGTCTTCTGGGTAGGAGTGCGCAACGCATAATCGTGGTGCTCTATATGGTTATTCTGACCCAACCCCGGCAAGGGCAATAACGCGTTCGACAAAGACGCGTAGAACAAGACGGAAATTAATAACAGTGGCGCAGCCCCAATCATCGAGGAATACGGTGCGATTCAACAAACGAAGGGAGTGAGGGGGGGGGGACCAAAGTCGTCTCCTTGAAATTGGGGGGGAGAGGAGAAGAAATCAAGAGTGAGACAAGTTGAGCTTGGCGGTTGGGTTTACAACAGGGGACTAGGTTGGAGGGCCGTATTCCCACGGTCAAACAATTCTTTAATTCAGCTCCGACCCATAAGCCTTGAATGGTCATCTCTACTGGACCGAAAGCGTTACGATTGCTTGGCTTGGGGACCCCATTTTCTAGCCTGTTTGGTGATTCGGTGCCAAACATCTGCGCTTAGGGTGGGAAGTTGGAATGATCGAGGGGGCTTGCATGAGCATCATAGGTCAGCCAAGCGGGGCAATCGATCTTGGGGCCATGCATGCAATGGGAAATGTAGTGCGGGACTTTATACTTCCAAGGTGAGAGTGCATGACCGACCTTCCCATTGCGGCCGGCGTCGCGTGCACGGGGTGTGGCCTTGTGAGCAACTGTATCGGTGTACTCCACACCCACACACTGAAGGCACTTCGTGGAAGTGCTCGGAAGCATCGATGCATAGACGGCGAAGCCGAACGGTTTTTCTGCTTCTTGCTCCCTGGCCTGGCTGGATTCTTTACGAATGATTTTCCAAGGGTCTTCCGATGAGAATGCCTCTTCAACTTAAAAAATTGCGCTAATAATTAGTGGCTCCGATGCTAACTGGGGTGGAAAGGGGTCAATCCCCTTCATCATGGAAAAACGCACTTCATACGGGAACATTCATCATCCACTTCCTGCTAAGAATCCTCGATTCATTGCGCATCCGTCCCCACTTGCGCAAGCCAAATAACCCCCATCAGATGGAGCTATTGGAGCTCGTTCTGAAACATCTAGTCACGCAGACAGTACGCAAGATCCCACCCCCAGGCTTCTTTTTCCTCCTTCGGGACCCCCCGATTCTATCGCTGCATTCTGGGCGGCAGAACATCAGGAAGCCCGCTACCGGGTTAGGTGGCATGACATGCTCCATGACCTAGCGACATTGGTACTATGTATGCTGGTGGTGCAAAACATTAGTACTGTTGGTGTTGAACAGTGCTGATACAACATCTGCTGACCACAGAGGGCCGTCTATACCTCCGCGCGCTTCTTCTACGTATCAGAAAGCCAAGTGCTGTCTTTCTTGGAAGTTCCGTGATGATATACATCGCTACTTCTGTGCGTTTGCGTTTCAGACTGCCCAAGTTCGACAACATCACTACCATCGGCAAAGAAACGTCTAATTCTTGCCAGCGCATCCGCGTAATTCGTCCCAGTTCCTGGAACAACACAACGAACACTGGTTGGACTACTAGTACTACTAGCGAGCTTCCGCGCCTAACTAGTCACGCGGGGATCATTGCACCAGCTGCAACCAGCTGTGGATCAAGCCGCCTGGCACAACCCACAAATAGCCGAGAATATTGCTTGTGTCAAAAAGCAAAGAACAAAAAACAAAAGAATCAAAGAGTTGCAACCGCTTTGGAAGAACTTAGTTCCCGTTCCCGTTATATTCTTTAGCCGGTCCAACCCCCCCCCCCCCCTGTCTCATTTTGACAACCTGACTTGCTCATTGCACGTTCATTGGATTTCTTATGTTCTGTTAAGCAATAGCAACCATCTATCTATCCACATTCACGTCACAGCGTTCTTTTCTTTCTCACTCGGGTCTCGATCGGGTTGGTTGGATACGTGGGAGCTTTGAATGGACTCCTGAGTTTCTTCCAAGAAGTAAGTTACCTGCACAGCAGTGTCACTCTGCCTGGCATAATTACGTTGTTTGTGCCACTTGTGCTTACGTGTTGGTTTCTCTATTTTGGGTTGTTATTCACTTTCTGGTCACGTCTGATCACATGCCGTTCTTTGTTTTCTATCTTTCGTGTTTGTTTTTGATTCCTCCATTCTCGTTTGTCTTTTTAATCAATCTTTCATCCTCCTTCTCGAGAGCTCGCACGGTATCTTGGTGAACAGTGAGTCCTTGAAGTCTCGTACCAATCTTACGTTCGTGCATCCTCGTGCTCTTGACAATGTGATGCACGCGTTGAATGGTGTAAGACTTCCTCTCGGTAGTGTTCCAATGTCCGCCCATAGGTACTCTATGGTTTGTCCCTGCACACAATAATCTGTAAAAGCGTAAGCCCCATCCAGTGCTATCTGCCTCCTTTTGATGACTTTCTTATCTCCACATCCCAACTTCACATCGAACGATCATTCAGCAGGAATGGTTGGGATCATTGACTCCCCCAGTTCCTCTATTTGCGGACCTCGGTATCATTCTAACTTGACCAATGCACAAGACGGAGGATACTTCATTTCTTCCACCGCTCTGGAGGTTTCTGTCTCTTCGCGAGGATCTGCCCATAACGCCACTATCTGTCCTTGGACTCCATTTGCTACGTCGATGTCGGTGTCTAGGTTGGTGGTTATTATGACTTTGCTTCCGTTTGCTAGTTCCACCACTGGAGGCAGACCGCCTTTGCGTCTTAATCGGCCTGAATGACTGTCGTCTTTGTACACGTGAACGTCAAGAATATCAGCATCACCTCCGAGTCTGTGCCCATGTCTGCTTTTGCACCTGAGGTGACGTTCACGTTCCCGTGATGCATTTGTTTCTTCATTTTCTCATACCTCTCACAGGGTGACCCATTCAAGAACATCTATGACGCCAAACCGCTGGGGTCCTACAACTTCCAACAGGACAAAAATATGCCCTACTCCCTCGATCTCAAACCTGGTGACATAGTGGTCACTCAATGCCTCTTGGAGAAGTTCACTGAAACCGGCACTAACCTAAACCGTGCTGCGTTCAAACTCATCGGTGTCACTTACCTTGGCAACGGTCCTACACCCAAGAACGACATTGCGACCCTCACTGCATCTCCTTCAAAACGGGCTCTCTGTAAGTAACAGTCGCGACTCTTCTCAATTAGGTGCTTAAAGTCGGCCCCTCTTTCAGAAACAGCGTTTGCATCGGAAACCTTTCTCACTTGTTTGATTTCCATCTGTCAAATGCCCTTCTATTTGTCCCTCCTTTCTGACTCAATGAAACACCACGCTCCGTTCCCCTGTACATACTGTGTTTGTTTCAATTCCACAATGTATCTACTGCAATGGCTGTGCAGGTTTCCGCGATGCGAAGCACGCACTCTAGTATGTAGTACTGTCTGTATATCCTTTTTGTCCTATTTAACAAGCCGCCGTGTCTTCTGGTTCGTACGTGTAATTCAACTACGATGACAGCACAACATGAAGGTCCTTAACATTGTCCATCCCATGACCGCTGAAGAATTCCCCATGACACCCGCGGACCTAGCTCCGCATCGTACCCATGATCACACAAAAAAGAGGGTGCCACCACGGCTTCACCGTTGTTCGGGGAGTTGCACAGTTTCAATATGCAAGCATGACCGACACAAATCTCTATTAGAGGAGTACGTGGACGTCTCGATTGATAAAATACGCTACAGGCGAGAGCAAATGCGTGAAACCAAAGAGATCAGGAAGGAAAGAAAAAAATCAAGAATAACAACAGACAATTGGTAGTGAATTACTCAGCATTCGCGAGAAGTTAGCAACACAATAAGACCACAAACGACCACAAAGATGTGCCATGCGGATTTAAATACGAGAAGAAGATATTTCAAAGCGAAGGAGGAACAAAAGACGATATGGAGCGTGACAGTTACACTAAGAAAACCCGGTAACTTTTGTGCGAGAGAGAGAAAATATAAAGGCGAAAGTAAGAAAGATAGCACTACTGGTCCGCGCGCGGCAGCACAAAAGAGAAGAAGATAGAGTAAGAAGCAGGAAAGCGGAGGAAAAATAGTATCCCGCACGAGCTAGGCGTGGGTGAAAATCCGTGACGCCCCCTGCCGCTTCGCAGTTTTTTTTTTTAAAAAATTCATAGGATAGATAGAACCTGAAGAGAAGGTAATTCCAGTCAAACGAGTCTCCAGGCGGCCATCAAGGCAAAGGGGAGGGGGGAACTTCAAGGATCCACCGTATATATTCCCTTCAATTTCTTCCGGTTTTCAATTGCTTTCGATCCCTAGTCCCTGAGCAAGACCCTGCACCTGAGCAGTCGCTTGCGCCTGGATCGGTACCGGCGCCGCTACAACCGGTGCTTGGTTACCAGTCGGTCCGGCCGGAACGCTCGGAGGGCTTGATCCAGCGCCGCTGGAGACGGAACCACCAGAACTACCGGGAGTGTTGGCAGCCGATCCCTGACTCTGACCATTCTGTGACCCCGAGAAAGGTTCCATGTACTGACGCCATTGCGATGACCCATTAAACTGTGCACTACGATCTCCACCCTCTGCTTGTTGCTGTCGCTGCGGAGTGGTCGAAGCTGCCGGTGGCGTAACCTGCTGTTGTTGTAATATACCTGCACCCATGAACGGACTGGAAGAGGAGGAGCTTGCATTGCTGGCACTACTTTTTCGCCCGTCAGCGACAATATAGTCTGATCCAACGGCTGCAGGAACACCGTTCGCCCCTAATCCCATATTTCCTATCCCAGCACTCAGATCAGGAGTAGAAGGGTAGGATCCGTAAGCACCCATGTTGGACATTATACTAGGACTAGGAGAGTGAAGCGACATTGGTCCAGGTGAAGTGGCACTCTTGCGCCGGATGCGAGCACTCTCTGCTCCAAGGGATGACCCATTCGAGAAGGACGATGGTATAGCTGGCGTACGAGGAAGTCGAATAGGAGAAGCACTATCAAGGGAAGAGGAATGCAAAGGATGAGGATGAACTCTAGATCCTCCGAAAGAATTCCCATATCCACTGCCAGTGCCAAAATGCGACCCAGTAGGAGGGAATTGTTGTGATTGATTCAAACCATTGTGCGGGCCATAGGCACTGAATGGAAACTCCACATTGGCCCCGGAACCGAATCCATTCGTAGTGGACAGTGAAGTAGTTGAATGCTGCGCTTGGAAGGCTACAGATGTATCGTCCCAATCGCTATTCCCCGAAGCGTTGGAGGACATGGACCCGCGCCGACTGTCCGCACCAATACGAGCGGCGGTCGTGCCGGGCAACGAAGAAGTAGAAAGACCGCGGTCTTTCTTCAATCGAGCAGCACTTCCGACGCCATTCACACCACCAATAGACGACCCCTTCGAACCTTTACGGGGTTTAGAGTTGGTGGTGCGTACTTCATCGAAACGAGGTGGCCGAGGCCGCATGTGTGTGCGTTCATAAAGCCCGCACTTGTTACAAACCTAATTTCCAATATCACATAACAATAAGTTCAGACGATCAAACATGAAACGAGAAAAAGGATGAATTACGTACGATCTTGCCCTCATTCAATGTACTCCTCCGCCAACTTGGCGGCTCCGTCGTATGACAATTATGACACCGTCTCCGAAGGAATTGCGTCTCCTTGGAGCTCGCATCATCAGTATGCATAATTTGAATTCCGCCAATGGCACCAGGCCCTCCGACCCCCGCGCCGCTACTACTCGAAGACGGCCGAGAGGGATACACGGGCAGCGGCGCCGTCTGAGAGGGCACTACAATCGGTGAGGATGTTTGAGAATGGGCAAGCGGCAGATGGTCCGCTGACCCTCCGAATTCGGCCGCAGATCCATGTAGAGGCGGGTAAGAGTTCGACGAATGCGATGATTGGTGGTGGTGTTGGAAGCCCTGCGAAGAGAAGTGGGGCTGTTGCTGCTCTGGATCGGAATAATGGCCTAAATGCGTTTGCGAAGCATTGCTGTGCAAGCTCAATGGTTCTGCACTCAGAGACATTGGTTCGCTGTACATTACACCACTATTGCCGCCCCCAGCGATGTCGTCTGGGTGATGATGGACAAAGGGGCTTTCGAATTCCCCCTGAGAGAAATTCGCTCCAGCCAAGTCGCTAAACGAAGAGGCGCTGGAGACACTGCTTGCGGTCGAATGCGATGAATTCAGACGTATATCGCCAAAGTAGGCCACGTTCCCACTAGAGGGGATGTTCCCAAACGTCTGAGAGCCATCGGAATTATAGCGCTTGAAGATTTGTGGTTCAGAGTTGCGTTGGTTGAGTGAATCGGTGCTCGAGGAGGATGCGGCGGGATTCGAATGTTGATTTGTACCGTTTCCGTTGGGGTTATTGAAACGGGAATACGAAGCATCGTTATTCGGAGGAGAGAGATAGTTCCAATTACCATCCGAGGGGATGGGAGGTAAAGGAAGTTGGGAAGATCCAGACTGTGATTGAGAAAGGGGAGGATGGATTTGCACTTGGTCAGGATCTAACTTGAGGTGAGCGCTGGTCTCGAATACGGAAAAGGGCGTGCGATGGGATGGCCACTGGTGTGAGGAGGCGCCGCCATTACCAGGAGGACCATCTAGGAAAGAACCATTGAAATCGGTTGAGAAGGCTCCAGACGAGGTGGATGAGTGGGGGTCCCCTGATGGCTTTTGTTGATGATGTCCGTCATAAGTCGGGTAAGTCGTAGAGAACATGATGGCGCTTGGAGGCGTATCAGGACCGGATAGGTCGCTTGCACTTGAGCAGGTTGAAGACTCGATTTCGAGCTCAAAGTCGAAGTAGTCGTAACCTTCAGAGACAGAAGCCATTGGTGAATAAGGGAAAGGAAAAATGCTCGTCAGTTGGATGTGCCTGCCAGAGGATAAGGGAAGGGAAGACGAGGGCGGGGATGGTTGGATGGATGATGAGGGGGGAGAGGTGACTGACTACCTTGGGAGTACTTAAACAAAATCGCACGATCAGGGAGAAGTACAGTTTTAACAGTTGGTCGTTTAGATTATGCTGTGAGCCAAAAAATTTTTCAGTTTCTTGAAGGTGTTTTAGGATGAGTTGGGCGTTGAATCAAGACGACGCGGATTCCGATGATGAGGAGGGCTGTGTGAAGCCCTTCAGACAGCTAGAAGCGCAATTTACTTCCGGGGGCAAGTGTGCAAGTAAGTTCTTCAACTAGAGAAAAAATCAGATTTAGTTGAGTCCCAAATAGATGGGTCCGGATGAGCGCCCTTCAACACCTGAGAAAGACTGATTTGGAATGTAGAATGGCTCCGCCCCATGCTCGGCTACATTTGTCGAAAAGTTTCTGTATTGTGTGTGGCAGTAACTCGCGTTCGCATCAGATGGCGGCGTGTTCTCCCCCCCCCCCTCGAGATAACCAGGGGATGGGCTTGACAACATGGGTCTAGCCACTGCGAACCCAATCACTTCAGTGACAAATTACATACTGCTTATACACAAGGTTGCCAACCACACGAGAGTGTCCATCCCACCACCCGAGACGCCCGTCGCCGCGCGGCAGGTCCCACCCCCCCCCCCGCCATCATATTGGCTCACTAGTTATATGTTTAATGAAAATCTACCCACCAGATCGCGCGTACAACAAGTATCACCTATTATACAGCGATTTATAGGATCATCGAGTCCGTATGTTTACAATGAACAATGCGCCGAATCTCAGTCGGGCTCGACTGGCCTAAAACTAGACAAAATAAACAATCAACGGGGATGTTTATATTTTCATAATCTTGGCCATCATGGATCGTCCGAGATGTTTAACTGTCGCATCATGTTCCGTCATCGGTTTGCTGAACAATGTCCGTTAAGCTCACCGCGAAGCCACGTTAAGCTAGGATCATGTTGCGGCGGACGTGGGTTCTTTGCCTTCCAGCCCTACCGTGTCCCTTCAACCGAAGACGTGCCATCGAACTCAATCCCCCAAATTCAAGTGTGATTCAACAGAATTGGGCTTACTATCGCTACACCCGATCTCGACCGAGCCAGTGACCGCCTCGGCTCCAATGAGTCATTTCATGACTAGCAAGAAGCGCCCATTGTGCACCAGAACCAACAGGCATCAATGGAGGGGAGGGCGCCATCAGCTCGTGGAACTTGCACTGCCTAGAGAGCAAGATCCACCGAGATAGGCAACTCATCATCATCTTCGGACAAGAGTGGAAGCGCAAACCTTTTTGCATCCATCGTCCTCAGCGTGAGACTTCATCTCACAGCTTTTCGGTTTGTGAGGTCCGAGGAGGACTATGCCCAAGTGCTCTTTCTCTCCAGATCCCCGCCCAATCTTAATCTTCCACGAAATGGTGACCTGTTGGGCTAACCCGTGGGATTCTCGCAAATCTCAAATACCTAGACCAAATACCAATACCAAACGAAGAAATGTTCACTTGGACCTACTAAAATTCCTTGCGTTGGCATCTACTCGATCTTTACAGGTTATGGCTCTGCTGGCGCGCCTCTGATCATCGCCAACTGATGTAACAACTCTTCATTTCCTGACTCTACTACTATCCTTTGATTTGTGGCCATCATTTCCTTTGCCCTCCTGGACTGCTAGCTGGGTCATTCACCTGCAACAATTCGACCTAAAAGGGTCCTTTGCCCCTTGCCTAAGATTTATGTCCCCCCTCCCCCTTCCCCTCCAATAAATGGGTTTCGTAATGCTGATCCTGGCTGGGGGTCGTGTAATTCATGCCAGAGCGGTCCATATGGACCATATCGAAGTACCGCATGATGAATACGAAACGTACTTCCGCCCAGTGGCCGTTGTGGATAATAGCTACAGAGAGTTTTCCTTTAAAAAAATAACCAATTGAAGTCTAGTACTTGAGGCAATGCCCTTGCTTGTTGGCTCGCGAGGAGCAACCAATGGATATCAGCCAAGGTTTAATCAAGTGCGGTTCCTAAATCTGGAGATTGCGGCTTTACGCTTAACCTTGTGACACGAGGAAGACCCTTACCTTATGGGCTATAGCCGTCGGGTGAGACCAATTGAACGCTTGCGTTGGCTCCTTCCTTCCCTCCGGCTTGCCCTGTCGACTAACGGTCCCGAGTGGCTACCCGATTGTGTCAGAGGCGTCATGTTCGACTTGCTAAACCAGCACGGCAGCATTAGCATTCAGCAGTCATCTCAAAAGCGGCCAGGTTTTCCATGCCCGCTAGCAGTGGCCCATTCAAGGCTTCAGCGTTCGCAACACCCTGCATCAGTATTGATCAACATTGTTCATCTCTGTGATTTTGCATCGTCAACGTTCCCTCGAATCCAATTCATATTCACTACCATCAATATCTTTGCCCCCGTGCCTCAACCATGGTCGTTCCATCTCGCCAAATGCCAATTGGTGACCCCCCGTGGCTATCCATGTGCCTGAGAAAGCAATCCTATCGCTTCCTAAACGCCAAGCTGACGGATCATCCATATTTTACCGTGTGGAGCGCGGGGTCTGAATCCATGTTAACATGTTAACATAGCTATCATCGTTGAGTCAGACACAAATCGTGGCCCAAGGCTCAGTCTGGCTATCACCTTGCTAAGCATGGTACACATAGTTCCCGACCAGTATCTCTCCTTCCTGGCCTCCTCGTCGCCCGGATCGGAAACGTACCACTTAATCTCACCCTACTCCCATTGTGGCTTCAAGCCTTCTCGCCCAGTTCCCCGGTACCTCTGGCTGTAGTTTGTTATGCCTTCGGACCCGGGCTAGGCCCCGTATCATTGAATCTGCGCATGAATAACACTCAGTTGTTCATGATCAAACTAGTATCCTATACATAGCTGTTCGAACGAGTTGACCGTGATCGTTGCACACAAAGTCGCCGCTCAACATTCGTCCATTCCATTAACCTAATCAAGGTTAATGAAATCTCGAATACAACAACTTGGAAATACTTGATATCTAGTTTGCCTACATTTGTAAGTAACTTTGCACAAATTGATGATGGATCCCACGCAGACTTTTTTTACGTCAGTTGTTGTTATTGCCTGGCGAAAGGGGGGGGGCATCAATATTGAGCCGTGCCTGCATGCATGGTTACCCCGAGTTCGTGATGATGGTTTGTTTTTTTGATCTCCGCCTACCAATTTCGAGCACGTTCCTTAGTCGACGACAACATGCATCGCATTCGCTGCTGAAACGATCCGAGGCTCTACTTCGACTTCGACCCTCTGACATCGTCTCGTCTGTTACTAGCCAACCATATTCCATGGCTTACATTCTCACGTCTGATAGTCAAATCATGATGATCACTTATTACTCAGTGATAGCACCCCCGTCATCTCCTCGGACTATGATTATCATGAGTCCTCCCCCTGATGAAACTTTAAAAAAGTTGCCTAGCTCATCGCCACAGTGTCCAGCCACGTATCCCAACATCGTGTTTGAGCGTCGCGAGCGTTACCATGACCGGATCCACTTCATCCAGTATTGACCTTGCCATAATGAGCTTTGTCCGTGAGCACCGGCATTGGCTCCGGCCGGCCGTGAGGATAATCAATATACCATCCTTGCCATTGTCGCATAATCATGATCTCGATGACTTTGCGACCATCGCGAAAAAAATCATTGCCGTGGCGGAGAGGCTCCCATGTCTAACATGCTTATAGCTCGCTCCTGTCTGCTAAACCGGGGCATTTTGAATTCCCCTTCCTTCACCCTCCCATGGGCGGGGGGAGGGGGCAAGTGAAAACCATGCTATTAACTGACACACAGTTTTCAGTTGCTGCCGGGAACCCTCGCCGTGCTACACTAGCGTCCTACGAATGGCCTCGGCAGACAGAACACCGCTCGGCAGGAGATTTTTCGGGTGCTCACTGATTTTGGAGTCATGCCCGACTGGGATCAACTGTATTTAGGAATTGGCCCCGCAGCCAGGGGTGGTGTTCACTATATTCTGATGCAAAACAATAACTACAAAACATCCGGGGGGTCGGCGGTCGATGTTGGATGCCAGCTGCACACATGCATTGATCCCCTCGTCATGTTACCCTACTGCGCGATGCCCCCCTCCCTTACTCCCCCTTTGCTAAGATTGATTTCCCATGCAATCCGATCAGCGCCCCTTTGTCTTCATGGGGGATACTCAACTCGGAGGGGAACCAAGAGGGCAGACTTGGCCACCATTCCTGACCCCTAACTCCTTGTTACATATGCCAAGTACTGTACGATGCTTCGCTATATGCTACATAACTCCGCCAAACTCCATTGCCCTGACTTGGTTGAGCACGTTCTTGGAGGGTATACTATATATGGACGGTCCTCATTATCATTACGCTAGCTGACCAATATTTCATATACCACGCAACACATTATTCTTCTGGACTCAATCGCATTCTCAATTTCTGCAGGAGTGGTTCGATAACCCCCTGTTGGAAATTGAGTCCAAAGTTGCCTCGTTGGATAGTAGCATCGTCATATCACTACCGCCACTTACCGCATTCTTCCCACCGGTTTAGGGCAATGGTTTCGAGGGCCCAGACAAGCGCATGAAGGTCGGGTACAAAGATATCGCTAAACGAATCGGATGATGCCACTCGGAATATATATAGGAGACGTCTTATCGCAACAAAGTCTTCGGTTCAAAGATAAACGAGGATAGCAGCCGTGCGCAGCATACGTATTCCAACGCGTCTTAGTGCTTAGACCGGCCTGAAAAGCATGGGAAACGATAAGCAATATGGCAGGGGTGAGAAACGCAAGAGTTGGATCAAGCAACTTCATGTTCGGCACCACGCTGAATGAACTGCAGCGCCGGTCAAATCTGCCCGTGGGTCGCACTTGATTCAAGCAAAAGGATTCAACATCACGAACGTCAGGCAAACTCGTGGAGCGATCATTGGCCTGCCTCGTTGGAATGATGTAAGTCTGTGAGCCACTGTGTACAAGTGACGATGATGGGGAATCTGAATTTTCAATTGGCGATCGTGATGCTTCGATCCCATTAAATCAACAAAACAGTTTTCGCATCATCTTCATCTTTGCAATCGTGTTTAGAGTCAGGCATCAATTGATAAGTGACGCTGCACAGTCAACGGGGCCACCCGGGCACTTCGTGAGTGAGGGGAGGGGAGGACGCCATCGACGAGCCTGAGCCTTCGGCATTCAACTTCAACTGTTTTCCCAGGATAACGAGTTTCCGTTTACGGACTACACGTAATATGACGAAAAAAAAGGGGGCTCGCCCAAATCTTTGAGGCATTTTCCCCCTTCCTCGCCTCCGAAGGACCTGCTCATTGGTGGATAGCAAGTATGAAAGTACCGGAACGTATAAAGCCACAGACATGATTCAGCAGCAAAGAACCCCAGGGTTGGTTGAGAGGCGCTGTACATAAGTATATTAGCCGCTCAGGCAGGATCTCGACGTTCGCGAGCAGCGGAGTGGCGACTTCGCTTGGATCGTTCGCTTTGGGCGGCTGTGTGGGTACAGCCTCGTTCAACTCAATCATTACAACGATTGAATTGTTCATTGATTCAATGTTTGGAGTTTCCCGACAGAGGAGCAAACTGTTACATAATGGTAAGGCCGTTCTCGGCCGCAGAGCAACCGTGCCTAGGTGTAAGCGCTCGGCCCAACCACTTCTCAGCAAAACTCAAGCCGCAAACTCTGCATCACATCCGCTCGAAGTTGTTAGAAGAGTGACCAAGGCAGCACAGTGCCTCATGAAGTGGTGAAACGGTGGCTGGGGGCGTTGGAGATGGTGAGATGAGAACTTTGAGAAAGCGATCATAGTCGAATAAGTTAACGCAAACTCGATATGTACAAAGCGCTAGAAAGTTGAATGATGAAAAAATATCATAGCACACTGTAGCGTCCAATTGCAGTCGGGTTTCTCGCTTCAGCTTGAAGAGCGGCTGTAGATGCTTCGATAAGCAGACGTTTGATTTCGCGCACCGCACGTTCCACCTTGCACAGAGTCACAAGTCAGAGACGTGTATCATCAATCAACGGAACAGAGGGATGAGAAATGATCTGAACACGACGAAAAATTGTTCATGCAGATGGGTGATGGCGGTGGGCATCCGACAGATACCCGCCGACTGCTGATATCGGGTACAATTCCGTATCGGGGTGCACAAGTACGGAGGCTGTGGCAAATGGGGCAACGGAGGGCTCACCTTCATCTCATCATTTGACTCAATGAGCAAATGCAGTTTAGGTGGCTGACCGGGTGCTGGCTCCTTTCCAGAGTCATAGTAAATACCTTAATCGGAGAGAGGAGTGATTGAAAATAAGTCCAATGCCCGATATAGAAAGGAAGACCCCAGCAAGGACTTTACCCTTGTTAGTTACCGAAGCACCAGTCATGTCAATAAGCTGTGGACGTTTGCTTAGCTTATACGGCCTCGATATAACCAATGAAGACAAATTACCTGAACCATGGTCTCCTTGTTCGTGACCCTCCACCTAGCTTTTTGGGGATAGTCATTGATAGGCACGATGGCGTGGAAGTCCGTCGCGTCAGGTTTGCCAGTGCCATCTCCAATAGGAGTTGAGGATGCCTGGAGGGCAAGCTTGGTGGCGCGTACTTGAGCATTGAGTTTAGCGATAACGCTTTGCGCCTGACGAGCTGCAGCACTCGCGGCTGCAGAATTGGAGGCAGAATTCCTTGCAAGGGTTTCCTCTGCTGCACGCATGCTTGCCGCACGTCTTTCTGCCTCCTCCCTGGTCTCAGCAGGCACGGGAATGATCCCAGTCTTCGAGGCTTCAGGGGCAGGTCCCCGTCTGACTTCGACTTTGAAATCAAAGGTGGCCGCAGCCTCTCCATCTTCTTCTGCGGGTCGTTTTTCCTCCACAATTTCACCGTAGGCATTCCGCTGAGCTCTGTCCTTGGCTTCGCGTTCTTGATTGAGTTTCTCAAGACCCTTTCCACCGAAACCTGAGCCTTCGTATTGACGTGCTTTGCCTTCTGTCACTTTCTGCAAGAACTCTAAGACAGGATAAGCATTCAGACTTCACACATAAATACTTGAGCTCACCTCTAGCCATATCTTCAAGTTCTGGAGGGGAGGCTGCATTGCTCGCTTGGAGGGCTCGCCATATGTCAACAGAGTAGCGCTCTTGATCGGGAGCGATGAAAGTAATACACGTTCCGGTATTCCCCGCTCTTCCGGTGCGACCAGCGCGGTGTACATAATCCTCCATATGGTTAGGAGCATCGTAGTTGATGACTAGCTTCAGTTGCTTGACATCTAAGCCACGTGCAGCAACACTGGTAGCAGTGAGAATTGGAAATACACCGTTCTTGAAGTCCGCGATAGTAGAGTCACGGTCAATTTGATCTTTGCCACCATGAAGGGACATGCACAAGTATCCTTTGCGCATCAGTTCACGAAGTAAATTGTCCGCGGCTTCCTGCCTGTCGACAAATATAAGAGTCCGGGTATCTTTATCCTCATAATATGTCTGGCCCAGAATCTCCAGAAGTCGATTGAACTTGGTATCCTCCGCACGAACCTCAACGATCTGCTCAATTTCGGGTGCAACGACACTGCGTCCACCAACGGTAATCTCGAGAGGTTTGGTCAGAATCTTCCGGGCTAGAGAGTCCATCTGCTTAGGGAACGTCGCAGAAAATAAGACGGTTTGTCTGTCAGGCCGAATGTTCTTCACGATCTTCATCACCTATGGGAAACATCTTCAGCATGAGTCAGTAAACTATGACATGGGAACGCGCCTGAGGCTCAAAGCCCATGTCGAACATTCGGTCAGCTTCGTCCAACACAAGGTATGTGACACGCTTCAAGTTCGTTACTCTACCAGAGTTTGCTGACAACAAATCAATCATCCGGCCAGGAGTGCAAACAACGATCTCAGTGCCCTTCTTCATTTCTGCAATTTGATCCTTAATTGGCGTGCCACCATAGGCAGCCACAGCCTTGAAAAGAAGTCAGCTCAACGTACTCGTGGGAAAGAAATAAGACAAACCCACACGTAAGTTGAGAGCTTTAAGGAAAGGCTTGCACTCGCGATGGATCTGGAGTGCCAGTTCGCGAGTTGGTGTCATGATTATTGCCATAGGACCTTCCATAGTCTCCAAAGGACGCTGGTCTTTAATTTGTCGGAAAAGCGGTAAAAGGAATGCGATTGTCTTCCCAGAACCAGTCTTCGCTACACCAATGACGTCGCGGCCAGACATGATGGCGGGAATGGCCTGTGATTGAATGGCAGTGGGTGCGGCATATCCAAGGCGTTTGATCACATCGAGACTACAAACGAGTGAGGAAAAAGATGTTTGTGCAAGGAAAGGGACTCACGTGGCGGCGGGAAGTCCGCAATGACTCCATTTTGTAACTGGCTTGGGGCATTCCACACCCCGAATTTTGATGCCATCCAGAGCAAGTCTCAATAAATCCACATCTTCTTGGTCCATTTCTTCGACTTCTGGAGCAGGGCGGTAAAAATCGCTCCGGAACGGTTCATACTTGATCTTGGAGTGGTCGACATCTGCCAGTTCTTTCTTTTTGACCTTTTTGGCTGCCAGACTGAGGGGACTTTAGCGTGACACCAAAGTCTATGGAACAAGCTTACGCGAGAATCTCCTCGGGCTTCATATTTGTTGTGTCGAGCTCGTCTACGACATTAGGTACTTCCACCTCATCTGCCTCCTCCCCAGCATCGGGATCACCAGGCAGCGCTCTCCCGTCCAATTTGAGACGGTCCTGTGCATTCACCTTTTTGACCTCCTTAGTAACATCCGTCATGTAAGCATCCAATGGATCGACCTCGTCTTCCTCCTCCTCCTCCTGGGCATCCTTCATGGCCACATCTGGAGGAAAGACGTCGTCCTCGTCGTCGTCCGCCTCAAGATTCTCCCCGACACTGGTCCCCTCCACTTGGGCTAGATCCACGGCAGGCATATCGCCAAGTTTGATCAACTTGCGATCTGTCTCTGCAAAATCGTCCATAGAAACAACAGTCTTAGCCGTCTTAGCCGCAGCTTTCGACAACTCTTGCTTAATTGGCAATCCTTTCAAACCCAGGCCATTCAGAGCTGCACGACTAATCTGCACCGTGGGTTTCGGTGGCACTGAGGGCGGAATGACAGCAGGTGTGGCAGAAGTACCTACGTGAAGACGATCAAGTGGTGTGAAATCTGTCCAAGCGACAAAATTATGGGCTACGCACTAGTAGAGTTCTTCCCAGCAGCTAAGGCGGCTGCCTTAGCCTTAGCTTCACTTAATGCCCTCTTTGCGTCTTGCGCTTTCTTCCAGGCCTCAGCACGCGCTCGCCTATCTTTCTTCTTCTGCTCTTCGGCACTCAGTGCAGCAGAATCCGGAGTGGGGTAGGGGTAGATACTCCTGGGGCGGGTGGTTTCGTTGCAGAGGCGGCGCCTGCGGGTGGCCCAGTAACTACAGAAGGAGGAGGGCTAGGTGAACGCGACCGTTTTCGAGACTCACGCGGTCGGTCTCGATCGTCTCGCCGGTCGTCATACCGGCTTCTATATGAGCTCGCACGATCCCTATCTCTATTCCTATCTCTGTCTCTATACGAGTCGCCAAAACGTCGATCATCATGGCGGGGATGATCCCACCCATCTCTGTCACGACGATCGTCTCTCCTACCCTGATACCGGGGCCGCGTTGGCGAAGGAGACCTGTTATACGATGCGTGGGACTGCTTACGTCGCTTATAATCTGGGGAGGGTGAACGCGAAGTCGAATGACGAGCCATGCTCGGCTTTTGGGTCTGGCCTTGCAAGTGCTTGGAGAAATCAATGCTGTTGATCACGTGCCTACAGGCTATAGGCGCCGAGACGCGCTAATTCAATACATTCTGTCCCTTCATCTAGATAACAGTTTTAGGGCTTTATATGGCAAATAGTCTTGAAGACAAGGTCGACTCCCTTGCAAACCGGAACGTTTCTAGCACAGGTCTGCCCATTGAGCATTCATCATCGTCGTGTCTATAACTAACAGAATGTCTCGCTACACTGCAGATACAGATGCGCGATACCTTGCATACACTTCGCGTGTTATGACTGCCGTGAGAGCGTCTTCAAGGTATATCGCATATGTGAATGGCATTTATCCTCCGGGGAATTTTTTTGCACTTATCGCAGGCTAGTAGACATCTGATCTGGGAGAAGCGTTCCGTCCTGTGGTCCATCCTGCTGTCGTAACGGCCTGTTACGCTGTGTCATGGTTGTATCTCAGTGGAGATGTCGCCTTCGAGACATACAAAGCGAAGCGTCAGGGCCCAACGGTGGAAGATTTAGCGACCTGGTCAGAACCGACACGGCTTACTATGACTGCCCTCCAGAGAAGCGTCTTCCAATCAATAGCTTCTATGTGAGAATATCTGTTCTGCTATGCAACCCCTCGCCTAATTACTGTTTTCAGGGCATTACCAGCATTCACGATCCATTCTGTCGTCAGGCAAGCCCCATTCGCAGCCTTTGACGCGAAGAAACGTCTAATCAGCTTTCTTCATAAGATACTCGGTCAGAGCATTCAATAATGCTAAAAGCCCTCGAGTCAAGGGTCTGTGTCAATGTGTTGCTGTTTCGAGTCGGTTTTGATCCTCCTAATAGCTTGGGGTCCCAGCATAACCGGACTCGCTGTCATTCCTGTGCTACCGTTCTTATACGATCACCCTGTAGAAACGGCTACCGAAGCCGCATTCGGCTGGATCAAGGAGAGAATCCGCGAGGGGAGTGGCCGTGTTCCGCCGAGTAAAGTCGACTTCTAATTTAGACTGGGAAGCTCCATTCGGAAGAGTAACCGGTGCTGGAGCTCGTATCTGGGGCGCAGAAAGCGCGACCCGAATTTGAGATGAAATATTTATCATTCGGTAGACGATTCCATGCATGGCTGAACGCGGGGTACACGGTTAAGATGACTCATTGAATTTGTACCGAACCAGTTCAGCCATTTGTTGCTGGGCTAGTTGACTTGATAGCGCCACTGTAATTGGATGGCAGGTCGCACACAAGATCTTCCAAACATGGTAGGATGGGTTGTGCACTTTTTTCCTCTGCATCGCCACATAATTCAATGGAGTTACCTTCATTGTTGCATGATGGATCGACGTATAGGCATTCTTGGTAAACATCTACATGGACTTATAATATGCGCAGAAAACCTAATTTTCACTGTTTACTGACAGGCGGCGGTCAGCTAGGACGAATGCTTGCTTCTGCAGCGTCGCTGTTGAATTTAGACATCACAATCCTCGATGTGGGAGACGACGCTCCTGCGAAGCAGGTCTACGCCCCTAGGGCGCCTCGCGAGCATATAGATGGCTCTTTCTCAGACTCAGACAAAATAAGAGAGCTTGCAAAGCACGTCGACATCCTGACCGTGGAGATCGAGCATGTTAATGTTGACGTCCTTGAGCAAATCGAGTCATCTTCGAGTGTCAAAGTACATCCGAGCCCCCAGACTATTCGGGTCATACAGGACAAGCTCGCCCAGAAACTCCATTTCCAGTCTCAGTCACTTCCAGTAGTCCAATTTCTGCCTGTCGAAGCCACAACAGAGTCTGTTGGTCGTGCCATTGCCCAGCTAGGATTACCTCTGATGCTCAAAAGCCGGACATTGGCGTATGACGGTCGAGGGAATTTTGTCATTAGATCCGCAGACCAGATAAAAGAAGGTTTGGGAGCTTTAGGAAATCGTTCATTGTACGCGGAAAGATGGGCACCATTTGTGAAGGAGGTTGCCGTCGTGGTGGTTCGCAGCGCAGCCGGGGAGATCCTTTCTTATCCCGCCGTTGAGACAGTCCACAAGGACAATATTTGTCACCTTGTTTTTGCCCCATTACGCGCAGCTTCCCCTGACGTTGCTGCCCGCGCTCGAAAAATAGCCGAAGAAGCTGTCGTGACCCTCACTGGAGCTGGCGTTTATGGGGTTGAGCTGTTTCTTTTGGGTGACGGTAAGGAATAATTTTACTGTCATCTCTACTCAAATTGTCAACGTATTTGTAGGAGAGTTGCTCATCAATGAGGTGGCACCGCGACCCCACAACTCTGGTCACTACTCAATAGAGGCGTGTCATACGTCTCAGTTTGAGAATCACCTGCGCGCCATCCTTTCGCTGCCACTTGGGTCTACCTCTTTGAAGGTGCCATCAGCAGCGATGCTCAACTTGATTGGATACTCAGATAATGTCAATGAGATTAAGCTAATGACGGAGGCTGCACTTGCTCTACCAGGGGCAAGCGTTCATCTTTATGGTAAAGCGATTTGCCGCAAAGGCAGGAAGATGGGTCACATAACTGTTGTGGGATCATCTGATGCTGTTGTTCGTGAACGCTTGCGACCCCTCCTTCAAACCCTTCCCGACGCGACCAGTGCATCCGTGGATCTGTACGCGCCACCCCCACCGGAGAAAGGACATTCACATCCCAACCCTTTAGTAGGCATCATAATGGGCTCGGATTCAGATCTGCCTGTCATGCTGCCAGCTGCCCGTATTCTTGACGCATTCCAGATTCCATTTGAATTGACGATCGTTTCCGCGCACCGTACTCCCGACCGGATGGTTCAGTACGCCCGGAAGGCAGTGTCAAGAGGACTGCGTGTGATTATTGCCGGCGCAGGCGGTGCAGCTCATCTTCCAGGCATGGTGGCAGCACTGACAAGTTTGCCAGTGATCGGTGTTCCGGTGAAGGGAAGCACACTTGATGGCGTTGATTCCTTACATAGTATTGTCCAGATGCCAGTAAGTGGAATGCCCATTGCACGGGTTGCTCATTTATGAAACCATTTTCAGAGAGGAATACCCGTTGCAACGGTAGCAATTAACAACAGCACCAACGCAGCCTTGTTAGCCGTTCGCATCTTAGGCTCGGCAACGGAATCAGCCCTCATCACCATGGATGCCTACATAAACGGTATGAAAGAGGAAGTTCTAGCCAAAGTTGAGATGCTGGAAAGTGTCGGATGGGAAGAATACACTGTGAAACGATAAATTAAGAAGCTGTAAATTCGCCAGACACCGTCATTACAATGATTATGTACTCTAGATGTTTATCCTGAATTGAGTTAATGAGCAGAAATTGAGACACCACTGTTCGACTTTGATTGCGGATGCTTTCTACGATCCCTCCGTAGCGCATAGATACACAATAGTTCCGCCACCATACAAGCTAATATCGTCATCTTCAAGCTGGCCGCGTAACAAGGTGGTCCGTCAAAACAGAGCCGCTCCTTCCCAATCCCAGCTCGCCGCAGGATAGCACGTAATTGGGCAGGAGCAGTTGCGTCTCCGAGGCTCGCGTGTGCATCGAGATTCATCCCGAATGCGAGACTGAATAAATTCCCGCCTAAGATAGGTGCTACAGCGACGAAACCCCAATTTTGAGAAAAATGTGCAAGACCAAACCATTCAGCGGTAATGGTTGGTGCCAGGCTCCATGTGGCTCCATAGGCGAAGCCAAGGGTGACTGAAGCTAGGTTTAGAGGCATTTGGGCGGAGGTTGCGCTCAGGCCCAAGAATTGGGACAGGATAAAGACAAATGTGATCGGGATGAACCATGCAACGCGGCGGACGGAGAAGCGATGCTTGCAGAAATCCGCAACGAGACCTAAACTACGTGAGTCCCAAATTGGTGTGATTGGCACATCCTCTACCTATTATAACCCTTCCCAAACAGTTCGTAATACTGATGATAGAAACATGGGCCGCTTGCAATTTGGCAGCGAGTTCTTGATCCCAATCCTTCGGCCTCCCCTGGGCCACCAAGGCTTGAGTCAGTGAACCGACGTTGTTAATCCCTGAATCTAAATGTTGGCACGTAGCAGGGACAACTTTGAGGATCACCCACACATCAAGCCTGTTCCCGCAACTAACAAGACTTGAGTATGAATAGCAAGAACGGAAATGTAGCATAGCTCACGCAAAGAGAGGATAAAGAAAATTAGCCAGAAGTCTGACGTCTTGATTAGTTCTTTTCCATATATGTCAAGGATCATTTCATTTGGGGGGCTCGGGGTTCCGGTGTTTCGGGCAGTTTCGACGTCAGGAACCTCATGAGCCTCAGAGATGTCGTCTAAATCGACATGTTGATACATGGCTCCCGATGCTGGAAACTGGAGCCGAGTCCCAAATTCAGGAACCTGCAAATCGAAGGAAGAGGATGATCTCGATCGTTGCCTGTCAAACGCTCAGATGGAAGTGTCTTGAATGGTGATAGTGACCTCCTTACCGCACGGTGATTTCTCCTGATCGACGCCGATGAACAGAGGCGTACGAGTTCTCGTCCCCTAAATCCTCTTCCGCGGCGATCGGGGCGTATGAACCGCTTTCTCCAGGCTGTTGAACCACTTTAACAATCAGGGCACCAATTACCATCGGCAACGATGTTCCAAGCGCCAAGACTAACAGGAAATTGGATGTGTCCCCAGGAAATACTGTGTGAGCGAGTGTTGAAAAGACGAACGCAGAAAGTCCAAAACCGGAGACAACAAGTCCAGTAACGCTGGCACGCTGGCCGAAGTCAGAGTAGTAGGCGTGTAACTAGGGGGGGCAAAACCAACCGTATTGTCAGGAAAGCTCTTTGCGGTCGCGTTCAATGCAGCTGTGAGACCCTGTCAAGCGCGCACAATCAGGGGGTGACCCAAACGTGAAGATTATGAAAATGGCTTACGGCATTCCCACCAGCTCCACTGCAGTAACTGAATATGGCCAGGATGACCAAGCCAGACGTGAAAGTGTGCTCCGCAGCTCCAGGTAATCCAATGACTTCATCGTAAAACAACTTAATTCCCAGGTACCCGACTGAGAGTAGGATAACGGCGAGAATAAATAGTCTATCGACCATTAGTGTCATAATATTAGTCTCAAATGGGCGCTGACTTACATACGAGGACCCTGCCTGTCAGCAATGATTCCCATAATAGGACCAGTGCTGTACACGCCAACTGTTGACGAACTGCTTTCAGCGCCATCCAATAAATAGGTACACATTGCGCTTACGGTTTCCGGATAGACCTGAACTTCGGTGAGTGCTTCGTTCGCCTGCAGCGCTAACCACAGACACTAACCAATGATGTTTAACTGGGTATGGGATAAATCAAGTTTCGCCCCCATCTGAGGAGCATAAGCTGTTCCCATAATCAGATACTGCATTGCTTAATGCATTATTGATCTACCTGAATACACCTATGCAAAGTTCAGCTAGACTCGGAACGAAACTCGCTGAACACTAACATAGTTCGTCCCAGCGGCTACCATTGAAATTAAAAAATTAAAAAAAGCAAGAGGAGGTGCATAATAACACAGACCTAGCGCTCCGAGTACTGACCCCACCAAGGTGAGAGATCTTGCGAGTGAGGTTTCGTCAAGGCTTCTTAGCTTCTGCATCCAATGGGGAGGCATCCTCGATATTGTGGCCCCACGCAGTATTAGGTTGTGCGCGGGACGAGGAGGGCTATTCGAGACTCTCTACCCGTTTGACTTCAAGATGCCTCGACGAAACGGAGGAATATTCTTAATGTCAACTAGGTTCCCACGCCGCGGGCTCGGCTCCGGGAAATCACGCGGCAGCTCAGACGCGACGCGACCTCAAGTCATGCCCCCAAAGGTGAAAGTTGCAGAGAGCGGCTTGAGGGATATACGTAGTTTTTTCGGGAGGGGGAATGCCACGTCTCAAATATCTTCGCCGGGGCCTTCTTCACAGAGCTCGAAACCACCGACGCAGGTAAGATGATCAGCACCACTGAAGACAAGGCGCGTGATAACGGATTCATCACGTCTTGTAGTCGCCGGGGTCGGGGAACAAAAAAACTGCTGTCATAGGCAAGCCCATGAATTTGGTAGTGTCTAAGCCATGCAATTTATCCTATTTCTAATGCAGAAAACAAGGCATCATCGGCGTGAGTGGTAAATCCCCAGCTTCAACTCCAGCAATGAAAACAAACGAAATCATAACTCTACATAGGAATGCAGGGATATCTAATTCTTCCTCTAGCGGTTGAGTGCACACTCTTGTTGTGACCCTAAGCTCACATTTGGTTCTGTAGGATCAAGTCGGAAGCGAAACCACCCTGTGCTCATATCTGATGCAAGTGATGCTGAGCAGGAGAAGAAAAAAACAATCCAAAGACCGAAACCTGTCACACCTGCCAACTCTCCCTCAAAACCAACCTCAGTTACTGAAGAGACACCTCCACCGGTGGCACAACCTGCTAAGAAGAGACCAAGGGTAATTCTTTCCGACTCCGATGATGATGGTCCCCCACAACGGAAACCGGCTTCGCCCCAAAAAAAAGCTTCTCCATCAAAGTCGAAAGCCAATCCCAGTCGAAAATCAACTGGAGGGAAACGTGCACATCAGGGCGACGGCAGTGAGGCCGATGCCCAGTTCACGGAAGAAGACAAACCTAAGCCTCAAAAGAAGCGGAGAGCATCGACGGGCTCTAAAAAAGCGCGGAAATCTGTGGTCAATGAGGAGGAGGATGTTAAGACGACGGAAGAGGAAGTTATTAAACCACCACGGAAAGCACGGAAGCCCAACTTAAAAGGAGAAACAACGTCCGAGCCTATCCCAGTCGAGGCCCCCAAGAAGGACCCCCAGAAGAAGTGGATGTGAGTGCTTGTGGCCGAGTCCCTACGTTCTCAAATCAATATTCTGCAGACCACCTGCTGCAAAAGGACCGCCCCCAGCCCAAGGTTCCAAGCTCGTCCCAGATGGTGATCCAAATGCCCTTGCTGGGCTCACCTTTGTCTTCACGGGGGAATTATCTGCATTCTCTCGAGATGAAATCGTTGACCTAGCCAAACGTTATGGAGGGTACGCAATAGGCAGGCCAAACTGGGCTTCTTCTTACGTCACCGTTTCAGGCGAGTGACGGGTTCGCCTTCAGGCAAAACGTCATATGTCGTTGTAGCGAAGGCGCGGGTCCGAAAAAACTGGCTGACATCCAGCGACTTGGGATCAAAACTCTCGACGAGGACGGTTTCTTGGACCTCATTGGTACGCGCAAAGGCGAGTTAGACACGAAGGCAAAGGAGAAGCTAAAGAAAGAGGAGGAAAAAATGAAGAAAGATGTTGCAAATATGGAGAAGCGCGAGAAGGAAATGCAAGGGAAAGGGCAAGTCATGAATATTTCTTTCCGGAAATGGCCAATGATTTGGTGATTACCCGCAGTGCTGACTCTTCCGCCCAATTATGGACGACAAAGTATGCCCCGCAAACTCTGAAGGAGATCTGCGGTAATAAAGGTCAAGTTGAAAAACTTCAGGCATGGCTACGTGAATGGTGAGCCTGTGTGTCTCTGGATTTTAGACAATAGCCCGTTGACTTGATGCAGGGAAAAGAATCTTAAATCCGAGTTCAAGAAAGGCGGTCCGAACGGGACAGGGCTCTATCGCGCTGTGTTGATCACAGGACCACCAGGCACTGGGAAGACAACAAGCGCGCATCTTGTGTCAAAGTTAGAGGGTTTCCAACCTATTGAATTAAATGCTAGTGACGCTAGGAGCAAGAGGCTCGTTGAGGTATTATATCATCTCAAGTAGCGTTTCTTTCCGACTGATTCTCGAATAGAACAGCACAAACATCATGAACACATCTTTGGATGGCTGGATGGGTAGTCAGAGCAGGGTCAGCGAAACGCTTCATTCATGGTTGCACGGTATCCACAACCTTGATTTGTAGTCAACAAATGTGGCTGGAGTTGAAATCTCTGACAAAAGCGTTCTTATCATGGACGAAGTCGATGGCATGTCTGCCGGTGACCGAGGGGGGGTTGGGGCATTGAACGCATTGATCAAGAAGACTAAAGTCCGCCTCATAAGAAAATGCCATATTTCAGGTCCTGACGCATCGTTGGCAGATCCCCATCATTTGCATAGCAAACGATCGACGAGCACCGAAACTCAAGCCATTGACCAATACTTGCTTCTCCTTGCCTTTCAAGAAGTAAGTTCCTACATATCCTGGAACGTTAGTACTAACATTACGCTAGGCCCGAAGCCAATGCTATGAGATCGAGATTGCTGACTATTGCAATGAGGTGCTTTCACGCGGCCGTCCGTTCCTTGTCGTATGCTGACGAATTCGGGATCATTTTCCGTTAGAGAGAAGCTCAAAATCTCAGCCAATGTAGTGGACCAGTTAGTGCAAGGGGCGAACTCGGACATGCGTCAGGTATTGAATATGCTATCCACCTGGAAATTGTCGAGCGACAGTATGGACTTTGAGGAAGGGAAACAACTGTAGGTTCTTTTGTCCATTTGCTCTTCGGGTCTAATATTCCCGTCGCACAGCGCTGCTGCCAACGAAAAACATGTCATCATGACCCCATACAGTGTCACAGAAAAGATCTTGGGACCCTATGTTTTCTCGCGGACGTCGCGCGAGACCCTCAATGACAAAATTGAGTATTATTTCCATGACCACTCCTTTGTGCCACTCTTTATTCAGGTAAGACCATTATCCGAATACAATAAGTCACAGAACCCATGCGCTGATTGATCCTAGGAGAACTATTTGAAGCCAACTCCTGCTCGACTTCGTGGTTCGATGGAAGGGCCAGAGATGGACATGAAGCGACTCGAGCTCATGGACAAAGCGTCTAGTGCCATATCCGATGGTGATCTGGTGGGCGCCATGGTTATGAGGTGCGTCTCTCCAGCACGTCCCTGGATACGGCTTCTAACTGAGCTCCACCAGGGGCCAGCACTGGGGCTTACTGCCATTGCACGCTATCCATTCAACAGTTCGTCCGTCGTTTCACATATATGGGATGGGAGCAGGGTACGCCGGCAGCAATGCGGTTACTTTTCCTAGGTAAATGTATCCGCAATGACTCAAGAATGTTGGCTAACCCTATGAAAAGCTGGCTGGGGCAAAATTCGAAACAAGGAAAACTGCAGCGACAGCTTAATGACGTGCAAACCCGTATGCGTCTCAAAGTCTCTGGTGATCGACATGAGATCAGACAGAGCTATATTCCGTCTTTATATCCGCACATCGTGCAACCACTGATGATGAAAGGCAACGTGGGTTGAGGACTCTCCATCTCAAGGTGCTCGTCCTGATTGCACCCTTCATAGGTCGATGTTGATGAAGTCATTGAGTCGATGGACCAATACTATATCTCGAAAGAGGATTGGGATACAATAGTAGAGCTCGGCGTCGGTGACTATGCACAAGACGTTGTAATGAAGAAAATTCCTTCAGCCGTAAAAAGCGCTCTCACACGGAAGTGAGTCCACCTCCTTATTCCAAGTCACTCTTCACTGAATTCCGGGTTTTAGATACAATTCTTCTGAGCATCCTGTCCCCTTCCACAAAGCCACTGAGCTCGGATCCAGGCTGGCAAAGAAGATTGCCAAAGGAGAAGTGCCCGATCAAGAGGATGTCATCGAGTTTGATGAAGCGGAGGATGAAGTTGATGAAGCATCTGCAGAAGAGGACAATGATCTTTCCCGTGATAAATTTATCAAAGGAAAAGGGTCAAGCATGATCCAGGCAAAATCTAAATCTAAGGCAAACCGTAAGTGACATACGTGTGGACACTAGCTTTGTTGTATGACAACCTAGATACAATCTCTTGCATCGATACGGTAATATGATATACGTACCTGGGGCTCGTTACTCGAATATCCGAGTGCTTAATTAATATTGGCCCAACGCTTTCACAGCATGGTCAGACAGTATATTGTAAGCCTCCACTGGAAGGGGGCGATGTTGTTATACAGTTATGATACATGTGGGGCTGCATCGACCAAGTGAACATGTACGGATCAAGATCGGTTCCAGCCAGAGTTAAGTTCGTTCGAACCTCAGGAGAACACGCTACAAGAATCAATCCAATACCTTGAGACCGTCGAAACTTTTCTTTAACAACGCCTTCAGCATGACGTCTATGGGATTCATTTCTGGTTTCTCCGCCTTGGTCGAACCATCGTTTTCAACCACTTCCAACTCTTCCAATTCCCGTCTCAACTCTTCGTCACCATCCATAAAAATTTTGAGAAGGTTACCAGAGAACCCTGAGACAAGCGCCACACCGTTCTGAGAAGCGGTGACGGGTTTGCTACCTTCGTCATCGTCCAAATTCCAATATACCTGCGCACCAAGCGAACGTCAGGGATCGTTTCCTCAGGAAAAGCTAGAAATGAGCACTCACGATCTCTGGAACGTCATATCCAGCCTCAGCATACTGCCTTACAATCATGTCGTGATCCGTCACCCAGTCACTGTCTTGTTGTCCATTTCCATATCTCGCCCCCCTGCAATCGTCAAACTGCATGTCAGAAAAGATGAAGAGCCTCTTGACCATATCTTCCTTTTTGACGTTGTGTTTCTTTGCGAGAGGTAACAGCAACTTGAGGAAAACAGCTTGCAAGTCGGTATTCATTCCCCAAGAAGTCGAAGCCATCTCGCGGGCTGTCGCCGCCAAGCCTTTACTTGGGTCTATCTGAACTACTTCAGGGTTCTGGCTGAAAGTGATGAAAATATTGTTGAAAGGAGGAAGAGCGAGTTGAGCTGTAAGGATGGAAAGCGCAATGGCAGGGAAAATTGGCTGGGAGCTCGACTGTGGGTGGTCAATGTATCCCATGCTACCGCTCACATCGCAGAGGGCCAGGCAGTTGTTAAGTGACCCAGATTCGCGGAGGCGCTCCACCAGAGAATTGAACTGGGCATCAAGGACCCGCATACGAATATCTTTTTCGGCTGCAGTAATCTTCTTGTCGTTGGAGAGCTGGATCGCCTCGACCAAGGTGTCGTGAGGACCCAGAACAGCGCCTGTAATTTTCCTCTTTCCGGCAGCAACGTCCTGGACATACATGGAGAAGCGCTCAGCGTCATGCTTAAAGAAGATTCCTTTCGACTTGGACATGCACAAAGACGGGACTCGAGAATAATTGATCTTGTCCCACTGCTGGGCAGACATGAATATTTCTGGAATATGAGACTGACGACGCAATGGACCGACAATCCAGCGCCTGTAATAGCCTCGAATCTTATCCGCAGCGGCTTTCGAGAGAGGCTGGTTGAGATCAATGGAGGCCCTCAGTTCCGGCATCGCCCCTTGGGACAAGAGTACAATGGAAATAGCTGTCGCAATGTTCGTCATGCGGTCATGGGAGCCGCCCAGCGTGGGGGCCCATTTTGACACCAAACCAATCTTGTACGAAAACTCTTTACGTTCTTCGTCGGATAGCATTGAGTTGGGATCGGTCAGTTGTTTGAGAATCGCGATCTCCTCAGAAAGCTTTGAAGCAAATATGCGAGCAACGGAAATGAAGAGTGCCCGGAATTCGGGAGAAGATATTAACTTCTTACTCAGGTCATCGTAGGTCGCCTGAGCCCTCTTCGCCTTGAGTTGTGCGTGAGTCTCAGGAGGCGAGGTTCGTAGCGCCCGCTTCTGTCTCTTGGTTAGCCGGGGGGATGAGTCCTGCTGCTGTTTTAGCTTAGATCCGCTGCTCCAACGATGCGCCTTGCTAGGTTTGTCTCCTTCATACGTCCACAGCGGACGAACACAATCGAATCCAGTGAAGGGTAAGTTTGGCTTAGTAAGCTCGTCCGAAGCAGCCAACAAAAGAATGTTGAGAAGATCCTTGTAATAGCCATGGGAGAATCCCGCACGATATTCGACCTCGACACTATCATCTGCGTCTTCCTTATCAACTTCCGTCCAGTCACTGTCCGTAGTCTCCTTCTTTTTCTTCTTGGGAGGGCGGTCAATGATAGGCTCGACGAGCTGACTTAGGTTTGCAATGGCCGTACGAGGGTGATTTTGGAACAGCCAGCCAAACGCCATGTAAAATCCCTTTTTTTCAGACTTGCCATCATGAATCGATCGAAGATGATAAATGATGCGCAGGGTAATCGCTGGGTCCTCCTCCCAACTCTTTTTCAACAGCGGGTGCAACACGCTGCCTTGGAGATACCCCCCACTTGAAAAGAGATCGAGAGTCGCAGAAAGAGTGGACCGATATGCAGGAGACTCATTTTCTGTAAGCATGCGATTACCGACATCTTCACGAAGAGCAGTCATGAAAGCATTAGTAAGAGGCGGGGGATCTTTAGCCTTCGGAGGCTGAGGAGGAAGAAGAGAATCGAAGAAGTTTGGATTCTGTGGCAGGTCTCTGAGTATGGGGGCATAAAAGGCGAGGGGAACTGGTGCCTACCAAAAGCTCTGGGATAAGGGGCAAGACCACGATCTGAGATGAGTCGGAGATGGAAGGATCGTGAGTAACCATGGGTGCAAATGGATCAGGTTTAAGTTTCGACTGGGTCGGGACAGCCACGGTCGCAGACATTATCGGCATTATCGGCCTTCCACTGACACAGCGCAATGAGCTAAATATGAAACCAGAATAACGCGCGTAGAAGTGTAGATATGACATGAAAATGACTTTCTTTAGAAAGAAATAATTGTGAGATAGAAAAGACAATATGACCATGTTTTAAACTAGAGGGCGTGCTTCGCATCGCAACGACCTGCACAGCATTCACGGAAGAATGAAGGATAACGCGGAAAGTGCATTGAATGATATGTACAGTGAAGAAATGGTACATCAGAGGAATCAGCATCGGAAGTTATGTACAACGAAATTAAGTATAGTACACGAGGGGAGGGGGACGCTATGTACATGCAAGTTATGGTACAAGATGTCATCGTGTTAGGAATAAACCCATGCAGAAGAACCTCCCTGGTGTGAAGCGGTATTGGTGACAGCATGTCATGCAGTTCGAACACAACGAACTTGCATTACGGTTACATTGTCGCAGAACAGGGACAGTGTTACGTCGATTTCATGCCGAGGATACAACGGGGGAATTGAGACTGTCCGAACGATGGGCAATAGCCCACCACGTGTTCAAAGAGGCAGATTGGGGTGGCAGGGAGGGTTCCCAAGTGTCGTGGAAATAGCAATCAGAGGAAAATTCATTATAACAACGAACTTAGACATCGACATCGATGTGGTGAACGGAGTTCAAGGGCAGATAGTTGGAATATGGGCTGATCCTTGGGAAGACTCAGACACGACGGGTGCGGTGCAAGAAATGAAATACCCACCGAGTTGCGCTCTAGTGAAATTAGAGTGATATCGAAGTTCGGAAATAGAAGAGCTGGGAGAGTCAACGATTCCAGTCTTTCCCATCCAACGAACATTCGAGGTAAACATGCGCAATGGAGACAAGAAAGTGATCGATAACGATGGATTACGCTTTTACAGATTATCGAATACATCGGCATGCCCTTGAGAGGGACCCTTACACCATTTAACGTGTACGTTACATTGTTCACGAAGACATCGTGCGAGACACTAGAGATGGAAGATGAACGTTTGATCGGATTGGCTGTTGGAGGAGTCACGCAGAATTGATCACACCAACTCAATTGTATTATACACGTGATGTCACAGAAGAGTCAAACACGTAAGCACAAGTGGCACAAACTACGTAATTTCACTAGGTGGAGAGTGACACTGCTGTGCAGGTAATGCTCATGTATGTATATAACGCACGTTATGCCCAATCTTACATATTTCTGGCGCGCGTTTGAAATTATCCAAATTGAGCATTCCCCTGTCAGGGCACGCCCGCCTGACCCGGCCCCACCTAACCCGGTGCCCCACCATCCACTCCTCTTGACCTCCCCCCTCTTCCCCTTTTCTCCCTTCCCTTCCTTCCTCTCCTTCTTTTCTATTCTCTCTCCTCTTTATTCCTTTCTTATCACACGGACGACTTCCTTTGTATCAATGTACCATTGACCCGAACCTGGACACATGTCAGGGACCAACCCGGGGTCGAGAGCGCCCGGGTGTATTGCCCGAGGCTGAGGGTCCGGTAGGTATGACGCGGGCGCGCGTAGCAGCGGGCCCGAAGCAGACAAGGGTCCCTGGCCACTAAGACTAAAGTGGGAAATGTGTTATTGTCATTATCAAGGGAAGTGTAAGCTACTTGCCTAAAGTGGGAAATGTGAGAAGAAGGTTGCTTCTCAGTTCCCACTTAGGCTGTGTTTATATACATGTGGTTGAAGGCCACATGGGAAGCGCCACGTCATCCGAGCACACAGCCACCTCCGTCTGGGTACCTCCGTAAGAGGTCCTAGGAGCGTCCGGTGTGTCCGGGTTCGGGCGCATTACGCTGCAGCCGGGTCAATGGTACATTGATACAAAGGAAGTCATCCGTGTGATAAGAAAGGAATAAAGAGGAGAGAGAATAGAAAAGAAGGAGAGGAAGGAAGGGAAGGGAGAAAAGGGGAAGAGGGGGGAGGTCGGGAGGAGTGGATGGTGGGGCACCGGGTTAGGTGGGGCCGGGTCAGGCGGGCGTGCCCTGACATCACCCCCTCCTTAAGCCGCTTCGCCTCGAAGCGGCCAGGTGGTTCTCCCTCTCTCTCCCGGGGGCTTGGGGGTGCGTTCTGTGGAATTCCTCGATTCGGTCGGGGGCGTGGGTTAAGTGGTCCCGCTGGAGCCACTGGTTCTCCGAGTTTGGCCAGCCCGTGAATTTTACCAGGTACCAGAGTTTCCGGCGTAGCCATTTGGAGTCTAATACCTTTTCAACTTCGTACTCCTCTTCTCCATCTACGAGTTCCGGGCCCGGGCGGGGGTCGAGGGGTCGTTCTGCGATTTCATCCGGGTGGTGGGGCCTGATGTTCGTTACAGATACAACCGGGTGGATCCCTTTCTGTCGTGCGGTGAGTTGGAGTTTGACAGCGGCAGGGGAGACGACTTTGACTATCTTGAAGGGGCCGAGCCATTTGTGGTCCAGTTTCTTGGTGGGGCGGTCGGTCGTGTAGTTCTGGGCATTGAGCCAGACTTGGTCACCCTCTTGGTACTTGGGGGCTGCTTCACGGCCCCGATCGTAATAGCGGGCCATCTCGTCTGCTGCATGTTCTAACGCCGCCTTCGCCTCCTCTTGCATTTTCATCATCCTTGATGAAAAGGCATCAGCAGCCTCTACTTCGGACGTACGGGTGGGTTCTGTCCCCATCCTGGGGTGTTGCCCGGTGTCGAGTTCGAAGGGGGTCCGGTGAGTGGACGAGTGGATGCGATTGTTGTAGGCGAACTCTGCTAGCGGGAGCCAGTCTGCCCAGTCGTCCTGGCGGTGGTTGACGAACACTCGGAGGTAGGCTTCGATTTCTTGGTTGACCCGCTCGGTTTGTCCGTCCGTCTGGGGGTGGTAGGGTGTTGAAGGGGTGAGTTTGACTCCAAGGAGGTCTGCGAGCTCTCTCGAGAAGTGGGAGACGAAGGCACTCCCCCTGTCACTGAGGATCTCCTCTGGGAGCCCGTGATGCTTCCAGATGTGTTCTAGGAAGAGTCGCGCTACGCCCGCTGAGTCTATCGTCGTTACGGTGGGGACCGCATGGATGCGTTTGGACAAGCGGTCCACCACGACCAGGATGGCGTTGTACCCCTTCGACTCTGGGAGCTCTCCTACCATATCCACTGAGATTATCTGCCAGCGGTGGGTGGGGACTTTGTTTGGGGTGAGCTTCCCAACCTTTCGTGAGGGGAAAGGTTTGACTCGGTTGCAGGTATCGCACCCGCGTACGTACCGCCCGACGTATTCTGCCATCCGGGGCCACCAGTAGTCACGGGAAACGAGTTCTAGGGTTTTCCATCGCCCCGGATGCCCCGTTGCCCGTGCGTCGTGGTGCAACCGTACCAGGTCATGGCGGAGTTGCTGGTCTCTCGGTACGTACACCTTTCCTCGGTATAGGATTAACTCTCCTTGCTTCTCCCATTCATCCGACCTCAGGGTCCCTTCTCCCAGTTCCCGCATGGCTTTCACCACCCTCTCGTCATGCTCCTTCGCTCCACGTATCCTCTCTAGGATCCCTGCCTCCTCTCCCTCTACCGAGATCGCTTCTGTTGCCCGGGCTTCGAACCAGGTGGGTTGGAGGAGTGTCAGCCCCTTGTTGTCATCCTTCCCCTTCGGGTGGTCAGCGCGTCGTGAGAGTGCATCTGGCTTCCCCATGAGCTTCCCTGGGCGGTGGACGAGGGTGAAGTAGAAGCGGGAGAGGAAGAGGGACCAGCGTGCTTGGCGTCAGTTTAGCCTCTGGGCCGTGCGGAAGTACCCCAGGTTGCGGTGATCCGTGTAGACCTCAACCCTCTCTTTGGCACCCTCCAGGAAGTGCCGCCACTCTTCAAGGGCTCGGACGATCGCGAGCATCTCCTTATCATATACCTCGTAGTTGCGCTCCACGTCTGTAAAGCTTTTGGACATGAACGCTACCGGGTGGAACTCCCCATCTGACTGAAGCTGAGAGAGGACTGCACCGGTTGCGAAGTTGGAGGCGTCACACTCGAGCCTGAAGTGGCCGGAATCAGTGGGGAAGGAGAGGACGGGGGCAGTGGTGACGGCCTCCTTAAGGGCGTGGAAGGCGTGGTCCTCGTCCGGGCCCCAGTTCCAGACTTTGGTCTTCCGGGTCAATGCATGAAGCGGGCGGGCTTTCTCAGAGAAGTCTCTGATGAACCGGCGATAGAAATTCACAAACCCTAGGAAGGACTGCACTTCCTTTACCTTGGTTGGGGTGGGCCAGTCAAGGACTCCTCTAATCTTCACAGGGTCCATCGCGACACTTCCCTCGGAGATGATAAGTCCCAGATACTCGATCTGCGTCCGCTCGAACTTGCACTTCTCTGGCTTCAGGAAGAGCCTCCTCTTTCGCAACGTCTCCAGGACTTCTCGGACGACCCTCCGGTGCTCCTCTAGGGTAGTGGTGAAAATGAGAATGTCATCCATGTAGCAGATGACGACCTCTCGGTCAATGAAATCCCGGAGGATGTCATTCATCATGGTTTGGAAGGTCGTGGGTGAGTTACATAGCCCGAAGAACATTACCAAGGGCTCGAACAGCCCTCGGTTGGTTGCGAATGCGGCCTTCCACTCGTCACCGTCCTTGATTCGGACGTTGTTGAACCCCCAGCGCAAGTCTAGCGCTGAGAAGTACTTGGCATTGCGGAGGCGGGCCAGGACATCAGAGATGAGCGGGAGCGGGTATGAGTTCTTTACCGTGATCTCATTCAGTTTCCGGTAGTCCTGAACTAGCTGTAGTGACCCGTCCTTCTTCTTAACAAAGAAGACTGGGGCCCCCATCGGGGACTTGGACGGTCGGATGCGTCCGTTCTGCAGGTTCTCTCGTAGAAACTCGTCCAGCTCCTTCTGCTCTGGCCGCGAGAGTGGGAAGGTCTTCCCTCTGGGGAGCTTGGCATCCGGCACTAGATCAATGGCGTGGTCCCAGGGTTTCCGGGGGGGTAGTTGATCGAAGGCCTCTTTCGAGAACACATCCCGGAAATCTTGGTATTGC